AAATGTTGGTGTATGTGGCGGACGACTAAATCAGAAATTTAACGTAAGTGGGCAAATAATTATGGATATCGATATCACTGAGTAAATAAGCGATACTTTCATGACAAGTGATATAGAGATAGGAATAGGTGGATAATTAATGAAGTAGAAGTCTCTTTGGGATATGATTATTAACTATGTGATGTCATTAGATTTTAGTCTCTATAGTCTCACTGTATAGTTGATATAGAAACTGTAGGTGTAGAGAATCCTTGTGCAAGTGGATGAAACACTCAATTTGGACTAAGATTTATATAAAAAGGTATGTACCATTACATGTATACTATAACTGAATTAAGATTTGTTAGAGTTAATGATAATCTGATTTCAAGATCACATCATATGAGTCTTAGTTGATAACCATTCGAAGGATGAAATCAAGATATTTTTGTATGAATCTGAGTTGGTCTCAAAATTTAGATTTAGGCATTATTTGTAAAAGAAAATATGGCTGATGGCATTTTGCATTAGCAAATATAGTATTTAGTAGAGTATTGAGACAGCCCTTGACTTTAAGCTTTATGTTTTTCTTAATATATTGACACAAAGGTGTCAGTTGTTACAATATCAAATAGTCAAGGTGTGATACACTATAACACTATCCCTAATCTTTTCAAATCAGAACAATACACCAAAAGTTACAAAAAGTTTCTATTTGCTTGTTTGTCTGGGGAATTCTGACTTCAAAATGGTCGATAAGGAAGTCAGAATTTTATCAACGCAATTTGTGGTTGGATGTTAAGTGGTGTCTTACCATTAAACTATGTGTTTTCTTAGTGATTCCTAGGACTCCTTCCGAAATCACTGCGTAGAGTTTAAAGTTGAATTGATTTGATATATAAAGGCATTCAAGCAGGTACATGTAATTAAAAAAATGATGCATTTAGTTTTTTGTACATGAGTCTACTGCCACAAATATGTGCTAAACTTCGCTCAGTGATCCTTGATTTTAATTAGACAAAATAATTCAAGTTCTTTTCATTGTGTAGAACCACAGAAGGAACACAAGAAATTTCAAACCATATGTCATTGATTTGATGCTGATGACTCATTTGAAATATGATTTCTAAAATGTTAGTGCTTAATCATTTTCCATTTCCAAATAAGGGTCGAGATTTAGTTAACAAGTCAAAGAGCATCTGGCTGGCTGGTATTGATCATTGAACTCAAGATCGTCAATGACATTTGTATATCTGGAATTCAATTGAAATGTGTAAGTTGCTTTGTTTATATTCCTAATTAGTACAAACATCATTGATCTTATATGGAAAGTGTACTGTTCATGCTGTCAAGCACATTGAAGTAAGTTTGTGGTACTTCCTTTAACATTTCTTGAAATTTGTAGAAATGGATGAAATGAGACTTAGACACTTCTCCCTCAGGAGACAATGCAAGGAATGGAGATCAAATAAACAAACAATCAATCAACCAATCAATCAATCAAACAAAGGAATTCTACCACATCAAGATACAATATTACAATGTAATAACTTATAATAGTATGTGAACCATATTTGAGCTTTGTCTCTCTGTCCTTATAAACACAAATTGGAGAGAACTATTATAGATAAAGGAGAGGAGGGGGGGGGCACAGCTAGGAAACAGCTTTTGGTAGAAAAAAATGTATTTGTATTTTCCCATTTGACTCTTGTATTATGTTCATCTGTTCATTTTGGTTTTCTATAAGGTTTATCTATTGGGTATCATCAAAGGTTATAAAATCATCAATTGTGTTACTCTTTATAGCCATCGATTGTTCAATTCTTAGAATATCCACTCGTTTGTATTCCTCTTGTGCGAGTGTTGAAGAATGCGCTGAATGTTGATTCTATGTAGGGCCTCTGTTATATCAACACATCGTGGCATTAAGTCGTTTTGTAGATGTTTGAGCCACCCGAGGCTAGGCACACTTTTAATGTGCATTTTCACATATCAAAGAATTTAATAATTATGAATATAAAACATTAATTAAAATACCTCTAAGGTTTAATCTGAATGCTAGATTTAAAAAAATGTTAATGTACTTAATGCACATTAATCATGAGAATGTTGATTTAAAAAAATCTTTCCCCTCACTCAAGATTATATGTAACGTCTTGATATATGGCCTGATATATACATGTTGTGTTAAAATAAAGGATTGGGCAGGGGTCATTTTGACACTTTATAAAGTTGTAAAAATAGTAAATAAATTAATATATAAGCTGGTTATTTTTTTTACTCTACCAGAAATGATTGTTAATATACCTTTAAAACTTCAAATGGTCAAAACTGTACAGATGCCAAATAAGGAATAGTGATATAGGATTTTTTTTCATTATTTTATTTGGCTGGCTTAATATTTTATATCCGGACATCCTAAGTTGAGCTGTGTAATATTATATCAAATGTCAATAATTTGTACAAATGTGTATTTTACCAAGTAAAACCTTGTTTGTGTGTACTGTAAACTTAGTTCATAATTCTGTGTGTTTATCTTTTATTTATATATAGAGTTATGTGTGTGTCCACATTGAAGTACCGAAGTAACCGTCATCATCTTTTTCCCATTCTTTGCCAAAAGGGGAAGCCTTACAGTTAATTTTAGGATGGAATTTGTGACCTTCGAGATAAGTCATACTACTTTTTTTTTTATATGTATTCACGTGCTTAGATAGCACTTTTTATTATTGTTTACTCAAGGATTGACACAGAATATGTGACAAAAATCTATTAACCGTAGGACTGTGAGAGAATCCTTGTTAATATTAACACACGACAATTTGACACATACGGTACAATGTATTTACATAATATTATCATTAGATTATTTTCTTTATTTATTTGACAAAATAGCCCTTTAAAACACTGCAAAGATCTTCTTCACAATAAAATGACTGCTCAAAACATCTAAAATGAACCGCCATATTCAAGATATGATTTGAAAGGTGTTTTTTCTATAAGTATGTTTGAATTTGGAAATATAAAAAGGACAGAATTTATCAATTTCAGTGAAAAATCTTTTCAAATTGTCTAAGAAAGTGACCAGATCAGCTTTACAATGGATTTTAACACGGGTTATCAATTTCACACCCAAAGTGAAAGATGCGAAAATAGAGCTGTCAATCAAATTCTGAAAAATTTTGAGAATAGGAATTTGACATTGAATTGAACAGTTGGTCAAATGTAAATAAAAGAAATGCAACGTCTATATGCATGAAACTCTTAAGACACATTCAATAGAAAGAATAAATAAAGATTATGAAATACCAGTTTCTTTATCCCCGAATACTGAAGGGCCCTTTCTTCCAATGCAAATCTGGATTTTCTATTCTGAATTAAAGTTTATTTTGGTTAAGAATTAACATAAGGTAGTTCCAAGAGCCATTTCCTCCACCATGCAGGTTTTTACATTGAAAGGTTTCCCATGATTTTCTACTGGTTCAGTAACTTGAAGTTAAACAAGCTTAGGTCAGTGTTGACTATGCACCCATATTTTACATGAGGTTCAACATGGGAGTGGAGAGATACATACACTATAGTCAGTTTTATCAAGAACACATATTCTGAGTGTATACTGTTCTTATGCTTGAGACATAGTGTGGAAATGAAACCTTTAATGGATTATACAATAGGATAATTATGAACACGAATGAAACAATAGAATCAATATAATGAATAGAATTCTTGAAAAATAAACAATACTATTTGAAGGCTAATCAATATGCATATAATGTATATGCAGTGTATACTGACATGGCTATAGTCAATAAAAGAAAAATTAATACTGAATGAATATTTTAAGATCCTCACATTTAGAGATGTGACAACTTCAAGCGATGTCAAAGATAGAATCTTAGAATCATAAACTGAAAGGATACTTTGATTTATATAACATTGAAGGTCGCCAAATGGAATTGACCTTTGCTGTAGATATATGTAAGATGGACCTAATACACAGACTTCAAGTGGACAATATTGATGCCCTTAACAACTGTGATAACACCAATGATACAACTGATACATCTTGTGACAACAATGCTATCATATCTGTGGTATTTATGACTGACAGTTAACTCATCATATTACTTATCATAATCCAATATACATTCTCTTATCCAACTGTTTGACATTAACAGGAGTTGGTCAAAGTTAAGGTCAAATATCACTGAAAATTTGACACAAACAACTCGTATAGGAGTCAATATTAAGGTCAACGGGAAAAATAATTGACAGAAACAACTTCATATGAGCAGGCATATATAAGTAATAATTCAAAGTTGATGTTGTAGTGAAACTAGAATTCAACTTGTTTCAGATTTAAGGTGACATTTAATGGGAGAATAAAGGTGTAGGATATGGTATGTGGAGTACCTAAGCTATAAACTTGCCAAGGACAACCTGCATTCACACTTCATATAAACTTTGCCAAAAAACACAAAGTCATCGCATATTAATGCATAGGTCAGATGATTATGTGTTGACTTTTAATTACCAGGTATACAATTAACAAGGAGTTAATGTATGATAGATATTATTGTAAGAATCATAAAGGAGGATTATATTTTGCCATATTTGGTCATATAAGGGATTAGTCATTATGAGTTGCTGTAGCTGCTTTGGTCGTAGGTCAAGTAAGTATCAAACATGAAGTGTTTAACTTAGGAAATACTTCACAAATATGTGATCATGTTATGTTAAGAGTTAGGTTTGCATACCAGAACATTCATAGGATATGGCATTAACATGCAAAATGTCACTACCTACCATTTGTTACAGATTCTGACCATCGAACACCAACCATCAAACACCAACTGCTACCCACTGTTTATTAAAAAAAGTTGGAGACTATAAGAATGTGTCACTACTTTTGGCATTATTTTACCCCAAGTACCAATGAAGTCAAACAAAAAGGCAACCACCTTTTAAAAAAATTGAAATTTAAAAAAACATTCATGTTTTGTACCGTCATGTTTTTCCAGATCCTAAAGAGGAGGAAACAGTGCCACCTATTGTTGAAAAAACTGCTGGTGATACATCAAAATTGGGGGCAACCAACCTGAGCTTCATCCCTGATGTGATACAAAAGAAACAGAATGGTTTAGATGTTAACAATGGAGAATTGAACAAAGAAAAGGAATCTTTACAGGAGATAGATCCAATTAAAAGCCCTGAGTTCGAACCTAAGCCTGTATCAGATATTAAAAGTGTACATGTAAATGGTAGCACAAAGGAGACCAGTGATACTTCAGAACCAATTGTTGCAGTGAATAGTGCCACAACAGCAGTTGAAATAGTTGATTTGAATGACATGAAAGATACACACAGAGAACAAGCCATTGATACAGTCTCAACTGAATCTAAAGCAGTAAATGGAAAAATAATTGAATCAGAGAATGCCAATGTGAAAATTATTCCTACACCAGGAAACGATTCTGCAACCTCAGACCCTGTTAAGATCACAAGGATGCAGTCTGAGACAAGTACCGATACGAGGTCTTCTACAAGCACCCCAAGCTTTCCAAGGTTGCCACCAGATGGCGATGAATTCCCAGAACATTACACAGATGGAGAAGGCCACATTGTTGTTCCAATTCTCAAACCTGGAGATGAGGATCTAATTATTAAAAATGTCAGTCTGAATAATGATGCCCCACCTCTCCCATCATCTGTCCCCCCTCTACCAACAGGCCCCCCACCTCCTGTACCCCCTGTTGATGATAGCATAGGAGATGGCCCATCACCATCGGACCTCAATGATATATCAACAACAGATGATGATACATCATTTGGTGAACTAGATAAGAAGGACACTATGAGTATTGATGCAATGGAGCTACTTTCACAATTTCATCCTAGCCTTTTAGACAGGTCCAAACCAGAGGAAACTGTCACTGAGGCTCCCCCTATGCAAATAGATACAATGGATACAAAGCTCAAAAATGGACTATCAGATAAAAATGACAATAGAATCAAAGGTGAAGTAACATTAGATGTTAACCTAAACAAAACAGAAGTAACATCCTCCAATCTATCCAGTCCACCCGCCAAGGTTCTAAGTGCCTGGGAGTACCCGGCCCCAGCTCCCTCAAAAGAAGAACCAGTCGAAACAAATGGCCTTAAAGATGATGTTTTTGATAATCTACCAGCCCCCACCAAATCCAGCACATTACCAGTTTTATCTAAAGGAAAGCCTCCAAATTATGACTTGTATGGAGCCAGAAGTGAAAGAACTGCATCTCCAGCTGTAGAAGTGAATGGAACATGTGGTGACTCCATCAAGTCAGATTCTCCAGTGCCATCTATAACATCTCCTGGGAGATCATCCAGCATTGGTTCAGGATCTCTCAGTCTGTCCAGAGATGGGTCAGTCTCCCCTAATCTTGCATCAAGTAGTGAATTATCAAGGTGGCGTCGGGCAAGTGTTGACTCTGATAACGAGAGTGTCTCCTCAAGATCATCCAGTGGAAGTTCTAGGAGGTCATCATGGGCGCCACCTTTATTGAGCCAAAGTAAACAACGCCGACCATCATCCATTATTGAATCCATAAACGAACAGAAGAAAAGTGAAGGCTCCAAACTGAAGGGCCTCCAGGTGCCAGGATCTACCTCCTCTGCAAGGAGGGTTTCTACTGGGAAAGTTGCAGATATGCCCAAATTAGGAGGAGTAAAAACCTTATTGCCACCATTGAAGAAAGACTTGGGTTCTATTCCTGTTAAATTTGATGCCAGTAGGAAGAGCCAAACATTACCAATTAGACCTACGAGGCAAAGTTTGCCAGGTAATTTATCGTATAAACCATTCAGTCTGAAATCAACCACCACACCGTCGACTGGTGATATATCAGAGGAGGAAGTGTCACCAGCCAAACAAGGGAAAACTAAATCACCAGTTAGCATTCAAAAGACTCCACCAATAAAATCACCACGGCGACAGCCAGTATTCACTTCTCCAGATGTCACCAAGATAGAACCAAAAAATGAAATTGTAATTGACACTGGAACCCATACAATGCATCAGGAAACCCCTGAAAGTATAGCTCTTCCTGATAGTTCCCCACCTGAATTGCCATCCTCTCCGCCAATATTACCAGCATCTCCTCGACCGACAGACGATTCTGTTATATTGAGGGTTGAGAAGAAGTCAGTAACACTACAAGAAACACCACCAGACCTTCCATCCTCCATGCCAACTTTACCAGTCTCTTCACGACCTTCTGAAGATGATATCATAGTAACTTCTGACAAAAAATCATTCAAACTACCCCAGTCTTCACCACCAAAAATACCTGCAGACACTGAACCTATTGTTAGTAAATCTAGTCCTTTATTAAGTGCAACAAGACCACAGGTGTCCCTTAAGCATGAATGGGTCACAAAAACACCTGACACTGACGCTCCATCTATCCCGTCAAACACATACCCTGCTGTTGATAAACCTCTCAAAATTACACCAGAGACATCCAACTCTACAGTTTATTCAAGCCAGATTAGTTCTCCTCGTAAGGTGACAGACAAACCAAATGTGAGCACCTTGGAAATAGGAGAGCCTACCTCTGTCAAGATCACCATCAACTCCCCAGCAAAAAGGACTCCATCACTAAATGTTGAATCATTACCAAGATCACCTGCTGCAGTTGAAGTTCATGAAGATACCGAGTCTTCAGATGATGATGATCTGCTTAATGAGATTGATGCATTGATGGCTAAAAGCCAAAAGAAGTCCCCTGTGTTTTCCTCATCAACTGTCGTCTCACTGGCTCCCACAATTCAGGGAAGAACAAAGCCACAGAATGTATATCCCCCTGTGGAGGCAAATCTTTCCCCATCTAAAGTTACAATTGGGAGAACCCAACCCGATGCGCCATCTATCCCAGCAACAAAAATAAACATTCAGACTACATCTATAAAAACAGAAATCCTATCTGAAAAACCAGAGTCTAACTTTGAACCTATTGCTATATCAGTTAACCCCACATCAATGAAAATACAATCAATAGACAATAAGCCAGAAGATACAAAGGTCAAACCTGTAGAAATCAAAGGACCCTTTGCAAATACAAAGGTCGAACCTGTAGATGAGCAAAACACTGCTCCTGTTCTGCCTCCATCACAGCCACCCAAACTGGTAGAACCTGAAACGAAAGTTGAACCAAAGACAGTGGAAGGACAAGAACCCTGTAATGAGAAAACTGCAGTTGAGAAATCTAAACTGACTGATACAGAAATATTTGATTCAAAACCATCCCGTCCCTCTGTTACCAGAGGTGCTATTGAGATGACCCACACTGATACAAATAGTACTTCATATTCTTCAAAATCCTTAACTCCAGAGACAAAATCCCGCACCAGTCGCTACAGCTCTGACAGTTCACCAAGTCGATATAACGCTGAATCGACAACTCCCGAAGTCCGACCTCGCTCCAGTCGTTATAGCTCTGACAGCTCGCCAAGTCGATACAGTGGAGGATCTTCGACCCAAGAAACCCGACCACGCTCAAGTCGCTATAGCTTTGACAGTTCAACGAGGGAACCATACTCCAGTAGAGCTGATAGGCTATCAACATCTAGGTATAGCAGTGATTCCTGGAGGACTGATAGGTTAACCACTAAGCCTGTTAGTGAGGATGCTCCATGTGGTAAAATACGTAAGTTTATGAACCTGTTATAAAAATTGAACATTCATCATTGTAAAACAGATATGTTTAACTTGTATAATGAGTGAGATAGCAATGCCCAAAGGCAACATTTCAACATACCAAACTCCTTGGTATGTTTGAAAGTACACAACAGAGTCAGGGTTATATTGTTTCGATCAATGCTCACTATACTGTATGTCATTGTCATCTCATTATATTGAGTGTCATGTTTACATTTGGGGAAAACAAAATGTGTCTCCTTTGTATATATCCATACATTTATATATGGACAAAAAATAATTAACATTTTACTGACCAGCACATATAATTTTTTGATTCCGTCCTGTTACAGTGAGCACAGAGCCTGATGGGACCAAGACAATAGAGATCACCAGGGGAGAGTATGGCCGTACAGGGCTGGGCTTCAGCTTAGAGGGGGGCAAGGGATCAGCCTTGGGGGATAGACCTATGGCAGTAAAGAAACTTTTTAAAGGTGAGTTTGAAGGGAAGAAGTATAGAAGTATGATATTAGATGTTCAATAGTAAATAAATGAATGACAAGCTTCCAGATGCTGGTCCATTAACACGTGTTGATTTCTCGCACATATTGCCTTGGAAATCATTGATCAAAATGTTTCACATTAAACTGTAATGAGCAAATTTTTGAACCTAAGTATATATCATTTCATACACGATTAAACGTGGCAAAACATGATCATCAAAACTTTATTTTCATCACAGGAGATATTCACTCTATCGTTGGTGTTTAATTCTCTGGTGTGTCAATATTTCTGTAGATTTGTTCTGTTTCTATATTAACATTCACCACCTATCTTCTTGAACTAGGGGAGTGGATCACATTGAATGCAGATGTAAGTAACATTTACAGGACTAATGTCATAGTGTGATGTCATACAGATGTCGTGTGACATCATGTGGTATATTTAGTACTACTCTGTTTGGTCTTGTTTCCCTAGTTAAATATAATAAATATTAATAAAAGTTAAATAAAATAAATGATAATTTTTTATACAAAATAATCAATTACTAATAAGAAAATGAATAATAATTATGATTTAAGTAATTTTATTTATAAGTTCGCTTTCTATACTGAACCATCGCTATTGAGATTATTTATCACTGTGTCCAGAAATGATTTCAGTTGTAGTGTCCATATTGTAACGAATCTGTGCTGTGTGTTAAGTGAGTTGTTGGCATGGTGTTGTCTTATTACTACTATTGTCATGCTGTATTTGATGCTTATTATTTTCTCATATTAAGAAAGTCCGAGAATGAAGTTTGCTAATCAATTAACTTTTATATTTTACACATAGGCATTTTAATGTCAAATATGACAAGGTCTAAAAGTTGCAGCACAAGGCCCAACTTAATTTTTCCCTGTCAAGATGCCAGTCAGATTTTTTATTACACTTCACAAATTTCAAGAGTGCTATATTATAGGAGGTTACGTTGGTACATCTGTGAGGATGGGCAGTGTTGCAAAGCACCACAAACATCTTTTTATTTATTTCCTAAGTCATATTACAATACATTTACTGGTATTTAATATTAAATCACATTTTTAATATTATAAAATGGGTTCAGAGTTAATTTGCCAATTTTGGTGATATCATTTAGATATATCCTATATTCAAAATATCAACTTGTACCCTGTACTTGCAGCAGTTTGGATTGAGCAATTATAGTTTTGGTAATAACATTAAGTGTTAGCTATTTGCATGTCAGCTCATTTTTGCTTTATATTCACTTCTATTCAGAACTCTCTCAATAAATGCTCATTTTTAATCTCAATTTTTGTGTTTTGGTCATCATCAAAAGCATAATACCAAGAAGTGCTTCATGGGTAATAATGCACAATGGAGGTTAAGAGCCAGCATGCTCCAAAGTATCGATGTTTTATTTGCTCCGATTCATCAGCCGGCGCTCGGGCGATTGAGCATTTTGTTCAAAATTGAATACAGTTTTGACCAGAATACTCAATCGGACTGGCACCAGTTAATGAATCCGAGCAAATGTGATGTAGGCATTAGGACACTGAGTCATGTGGCACATTTTCCTCAATTGGGTCAGCCCTAATGTTTTGTGAATTGTGAAGTATATAGGAAAAGTGCATCCATGGTCATCTTTCACTTTTACTGCAGTCTCTCACATTTATCATTATTCCTTTTATCAGCCTCTTGCAAGAGAGAGAGCTCTAGAATAAAAAAGGAAATTCTATTATTATTACAACACTGTTAAAGAACAGAAATTTATGACGAGTATCAGATTGTAGTCATATTATTAATTGGATAATTCAGACCTCAGATTTTAAGAATGGTCAATGTCTTCTTATTATACATACATGTATGTTATAATAATGCACATGTAGATTCAAATAATCTTTGCTTTTTTACTAAGATATCTTTCATTAACTAAATTATGGTAGATGTAATGCCTGATATATAAGTTTTTATAAGTTCAATTAAAAGGCTTTGAAGTTTTTTCTTGCAATGGAAGCTCATGAGAAACCCATTTTGATTTTGATCCATCCAACTTTCTTTGCTGAGAACATACTCTTAATTAAGTATATTCCACAAAGTAACAGACCCCTACAGGATCTTCTACACTTATGATTTGATAATACCATGAATACTTCAAATTATTATAGCATGATAACACTTATACTGTCTTATCACTTAGCCTATTTCTAAATATTTGAAGTTATTTTTGCATTATAATTGAGCATCTGCCTGTTTGTGTTGTTGATCATCTTGTGTATCAATATGTTGATTTTTGTCATGTTTCAATTCAAATAAACACAAATGTTATATGGTTGTATTATACATTATATGGTTGTATTGTAAGTTATATGGTTGTGCTGTTTTGTATGCAAACTTGTGATCACCTGTTTTTGTTACCTTAGCTTCATAAAGTGTCATATTCATGAATTAAGATTATGTTTGAATTCTCATATTTGACAAAACAATTTCAACCTCATAACCTTACCTTTATAATAAAAGATACATAAATTGAGCCATAAAATTTTGTGAATATTTTCAATTCTTAGATCATATGTCATACTAGTCTACCATCAAGCCCATGTTCATGAATAGAAAACTATAAAACAAGAGAGGTTCTACATAATCTGTTAAGCTCCATGTATCAATTATGTAATTTCACAGGAGTTTTCGTTTGAATTGGTATGGATAAAGTTTCACATCCTAAAATGTTACTGTATGCAAAATGTCTTTGCTGCTTCTATGCACATCTACAGTATGAGTTTGATGTCGCGGTCGTTTTATAGATGCCCAAACGAATTTTTCTGGCTGTACAAAGCCCATAATGTACAGTATGTCACACTTGTGCAAAGAAGCAATAGAGTCTAGCAGCTAGAGTCTGGAGGATGTTACGGGACCTTCTGTTAATTACTTATATTATCTATATGTTCTAGGTGGTGTAGCAGAACAGAGTGGACTCCTACATGTGGGTGATGAAATATACTCTGTCAACGGAGAGGATTTCACTAACAAGAGCCATACGGAGGGCTGGAACTATCTGAAGACCTTAACCGAGGATAAAGTGAAGATCAGATTGAAGTCTATACTTGATTTATAGACATATTATGAACATACAGTATATAACCTGTCTAAACTGAATTGAACCTTTCTTGGACCTGAGTTAAAGATTTCATGTTAAGTGGTCTTTATTGTGAGGTTCTGGTCACATGGGAGTCAATGGGATATCCAAATATGGGACTGAGGTAATCATAATATAGTGTCCACATTGTAACAGATTTCGTGCTCTATAGATTTTCGAGGAGTGAGGCTGTAGACAGACTACAGACTTATAAGTCTAAAGACATTCTGAACAAAGATGAGACAATAGACAAATCATATAAAAACATTCTGAACATATATGACTGATGCAATATTATAATACTATTTTTAGTAAGGCAAGAGCAAGTGGAGTATCAGAAGGATTTAGAAAACATTGAATATGTGAAAACTTCAGTGAAATAAAGGAGGAATGTGTGAAAATATATGTGAAAATGTGAAACATTTATGTGGAAATAATGTGAAAGAAGGATGCAGTACCTATTATATGGACAACTTTTGATGGAACAAAGCCATTGAATTGAAGTACTGTCAAATAACATTTCTCTATGCAAACTGACAATAAAAATATGGTGAACATCGAATTATCAAAAAGCAATGTGATCTTTATATAGAAATTACATGCATGATGTATGTGAAAAATATTGAAGATTTGTATGTGATCATTTAGAGTAACAATGTCAGCTATCATATGTGATGCTCTATCTATTTGATGTCATGTGACATCATGTATCTGGTGTCATGTGACATCATGTATCTGGGGTCATGTGACATCATGTATATGGTGTCACGTGACATCATGTATTATAAGGGTGAACTATGCAATACTTTATACACTTGTGCTTAAGAACTCTGAACAGTTCGATCAAATAATTTTATATTTCATAATCGAAGATATGTTGAAATAGGATGGAGCATTTCAATATACTTGTACATTATGTCTGTACAGTCGTTGAGAATTTATGCAAATTAAGGGTTTAATTAAGTTGCATGTATGTAAAATGCTCCATTAACCTATTTTAAGAGAAAAGTAGGGATTTAAGAGAAACGTAGGGATCAATGTGTGACATATATAGTCTTAAAATGCAGGAGCTAAAGGAAAGCCAAGCCCTTATACAATACATGATAGAAGACTCTTTAAGTCTGTTAAACACAAAGGTAAGGAATCGGGTTTACAACTCCTTTAACTCAAACCAAATATATGGGTTAACTACTCCCTTAATTACAAATGTATTCTGAATAATTTAAGATGCTTCCAGGTTTGATAAAACATTCTAGCTGCACCACATTTTGAAACAGTTTATATCTAGCTGGCTACATGTAGATATAGTACATTTCCTGGGAAATGTTTTGTTGGGAACATAAGAATATACATGATATAGTTTGACTGTTCCATTTACATATTAAGTATATTGTACTTATGATTCACTTTATTACAATGGTAATTTTGACATATGATTTTTACACATTTGTACAAAAAGCTTCCTTTGAAATTTGTAATGGTTCGTATATAAACTAAAGAAAGTTTAAAATGTGAATTGACTATATAAAAATGAATAAAGATATATATTATATGGCTAAATTATGAAAATTATTTATACTAACGAAACACTATGTATTTGCATAATAAAATAATATTTGTATAAAATATATGTGTTTGTTTGTGAATAATCAATGCTGAATAGAATGAGTAGTATATATGTGATACAATATGTCAGGGATTACTGTTTGGTTATGTGAAGGACAAATCAACAATAATTAATCCAGTATTAAACAAACAATTGTTTGATCAAACCACAGTAAAGCACCTTAATAGCAGAGTTTCTAAAATCATTCAATTTAATATGTGATAAAACCCCAAAACATCTAATCCCCAAAGAAAAGGGTAAAAAGTTCATTGTATAGTTGTATAATCAAAATTGTCAAATAAGACAATAAAAACCGTAAATACAGTACAGCTGTGGGTAATATAATCAAAAGCATGAAGAACAACATTTCAAAACACAAATACCCAAAATCCCCCTCAATAATGCCTTCAAACCCATGGGACCCCCTCGATAACTTAACTCTACAAGTAGATGCAAAGGGGTCACAAGGGCTTGAAGCGAGACTTTGATCATGGATTTACAATAATTTGTCACAGTTCCTGGTTTGATAATGAACACAATGAAGGTTAAAGGAATAAAGATAGATAGCAGGCTCATAGTTTGCAGGAGATAAAGTGATGTAGTGATCCCTGGCAAGATCCTGATTATGACTTATCCAGAATGTGTGACAATATATAAATTGGATGAAAATACATATTACATAATTTGTAGATTAACAATACACACTATACTATTCAATATCAACTTTTTGGGTTACAGTGGTGTAGCCGGGATCTACAAAATAGCTATTAATTCGAAAATTCTTTAAAAAAGTATACCAATGAAATCTAATCACATATTGCCTCATCTATCTAATTTTGCCTCAACTATTTAATGTTACCTCGTCTATTTGTAAATTGGGGTGAGGCACTGCCTCTTGTCTATAGCTACACCCATGACTGGAAAAGATTTATAGGATATTCTATGATTTTGAGGAATATCATTTTTATCTACGAGGTGATATTGATATCTTCATGAGAGAGCAAAGCGAACGAGTGCATATATCAATATCACCGAGTAGATTAAAATGATATTCTGAAAAAAATCATAGGATGTTCTTATTATCCAACACTTACAAGGAGTGTACTAAATGTAGAATATCATTGGAATATGAATTTCATGCCAAATAGAGTCATTATGGCGGGAAATCAACAAGCGGAGTATATCGTCACAATATCCTCCGCATATTGGGTTTTCTGGAGTATATCATCACGATATCCTCCGCCCGGAGTATATCATCACGATATCCTCCGCCCGGAGTATATCATCATGATATCCTCCGGTTATTCATTTTGCCAATAAATATCAAATTTATTTTTTAATGTTATTATACATTTAGTACACTAAGTGTAGGATAATTTCTAAAAATAGGTGAAGGATAATTAGGAAAACAGTTTATAAAGCATTTTATATTAATGAGTGATGGTTCTCTATAATTTATCTTGCAAAATACATATTACAGCCATTGCTTTAACATTAGATGCATTTGTTTATTTTTAAAAAACTGCATAATAAAAAAAGTAATTTCTTACAAAGATAATTAAATTGATTAATGACAAAGGAATTAATGGTTTGTGAAATGAACCTCAATTGTCCCTTTCCAACTGCTAAGTATTAATTCAAAGGTGTTTAATAAAGTTGAAACTTGGAAAATGTTAAAATTGTGGATTAACGGATTGATTTTGGCAACATATACGTTTCGGGGCATCTACGCACAATGTAACTGTCCACGGAATGTAACGAAACTCCATGAGGAATATTGCAAGGCTGATTTTGGTAAGTTAATGTGATCAGCGAACATTTGTTGGAGGAATGAAGGAGGGGGGGGGCATATGAATGTCAAGTGGATGGGATGAATTACATTAACAAATACAAATTCTGTTGAATACTGTTATTAACTGAAACTGTTCATGAAATGTAATGTATTTTAAAGAGTTAATAAGATATATATATTAAATAGAGAACAATGAATCTAAAATGGTCTACAAATTAGTAGAAAATATATTATAATTAGGGATGAACATAATTTGGTTCTTCATTGAAAGGGGTAACAGCAACAATTCTCATACTAAATAAACCTGAAATATTAAAGTGGCAACATGGCCTGTAGAGAGAAAAATTGAAAAATTTTCTTTTCTGAGGTATCAAAGCAATGTTTGGCTTAACATCTTTGTCAGACATATTTTCTTAAAATGTATGGACATGCCTATCTATTTCAGCATTTAGAAGTGTAAATTAAATTAAAGAGGATACCAATAATATATTTTTAAGATATACTACATTTCAAAATTTTAACTGCAGGAATTTCAGCATAATTCGTTCAAGCTAAAAAAATTATAAAAGAAAAGAAGGTTTATGTTAAAAAATATTGAATGTGAAAGTTACGAATCATTATGAATTGAAAATTTAGTTAATCAGTATTAGGATAAGAATAACAGCCATTGGCCCTTTAATATTGGAAAATACAAGCTAATGACAACTGATTTTTCATGTTTCCAGTTATCAGAGTGATTCCATTGAATCAGTTCCCCAAACAGGGTCTTAACAACCAGAGATATTACGTCAAGTTGCTGGAAGTGTTCAAGGTATTTACCATTGTCCTAGTTACTACAGTAAAATTTGTCTAATACGAGCACCATTTTCAGTGTTCATATTTCGTTTTTTAACAAATGAAATAATCAGAAATAACAAAATAGGGACCAAGAAAGTTTTGACATTGAAATAACTAAATCCAATATTTCATAGGGTCCTAAACATCTTATGGAGAAGGTTGGAAAAAGAACAAGTGTGTTCACTAAAGCAGAGTTAAACAGATGTGGCGTTTACATGGAATTGGATATGAAGTATTTATTAATGGGTAAACAATAATTTGTTTCTTAAGTTATACCTTTTGGGGTCTGGATTGTTTGTCATTTTAAAAAAAAGCTCTTTCTCCTTATTGTCTGTATTTGACAAAAAAAGCTTTGGAAACAATTAGACTATTCAACATTCATTGAAATGAAGTGTTCACATTGACAGGTGTTCACATTTCAAGATTTTTTAACATTGAATTCTATGACATGACAGATCAAAAATTTGGACCAAAAAGTGTTTACATTTAGAAGTATCCAGATTAGAGAGGTGTTCAGATATACAGGTTTCATTGTACAGTTCCCACTAACAAAATACACAAAATAAACCAAGAATAAAGCATTGTTGTTTTGTTGTAGTGTATCACTATAGTGACCAAATTCTATATTTATTTCAGGTTACTTCAATAAGGTAGATCGTAACCTTGGTAACAAGAAGATGGTTCTACATGCGTGTCAAGGGACCACAAACCTTTGGGAAAATTTACTCTTCAAACACAGACAAAGACTGAGAAAAAAATTCAAACTTAATTGTTGATAAAAATACCTATTTAACGAGATTTCAAGTGATGGACAATACATGCACTGCTTATGCAGGCAAAACCATTGGTGTGAAAGCTTTAACAACGTAAATATATTTCAATCATTCATTTTTCATCGCAATGTTGTTTTTGTTACCAGATCAGTGAATAACTGAATTATAATATTGGAATCACGTCACAGTACTTATAACCATTGAGTAATTTGATTAATTTTTATATGGCTTTATGGTTCAGGTGAAATACACCATTTTATAATCCTTTATTCAAGAGTGTTGCTGTCATTTTTCAAATATGTGAATTATGGGAGACAACAAAGGTCCATTTGCAGTATGGCAAGTGATTTTAGACAGTCATATATTTCACCATAAGTATTTTCTGGGTATAAATACAGTGTTTTTTATTAAAACAATGTATTTTCTTTCAAGTGAAGTCCCCGTGATAGAAAAATATCAATCCAACTCTCTGAAAAATTATGGATTAGTACCTTGGCACTTTTTAAAAAATGATAGGCTTATTTTCTAAAAAGAGAATCTTGTTTTTCTCAATTTAAACATATCGAAAGTCTCCCCTACATATATTAACAATTTCTGAAAAGAGGATGGGTATTGATTTGAAATGCGTTAAAGTTAAAAATTACATATCCCATGTTATTTTCCTATAGGGAAAACTCATGCTATCCATTGTTTTCAGCATAATTTTGGTCATCGAAAATGGATATCTTCAAAACTAGACTTTCAACTGTTCAACACCATTCTGTTTTTGAAGATGTTTTAGACCCCCTTGTTAAATAATCTTTTCATGCAATAAAAATCAGAAAAGGGAGATCCTCTTTTGAGTAAATAGGTTCAATATTTTGAAAATAATGTTGACAAGAGGTCTATATTCATAATTCGAACATGACTGTATTCACGGCTTCTATAAACTGTAAACAAAGTCAATGCTTCAGCTGGGTTATATTCGAGATCAATCACCCAGTTAAAACGTGTAATGTGTGACGTCATAACGGTGGGTCGTAGTAATGGCGGACCATGATGAATATTCGAAACAATTTGGTGAGTTTTCATGTTCGAATCGTAATATAGACCTCAGAGCAGGGTTACTAGTTTCGAATAACACCCAGCTGGTCTCGGCACAAAAGCTTTCGAACCCCACTGTATATTACAGTGAATTACAAGTACCATACTTGCAATAAATAAAACCAATGCATACTTATACGTCATTAATTACACAATTATGATCAAATAATTAAAAAATGTATTACCTTTATAGCTAATTATTTATTTCTGGCATATAAATTCCATTATGCAAAACTTCTCATCCACATGCCATTAATAACATAAAAACAAATAATCTATTAACTTTTTAAGAATAAACAAACGTTACCATCCAAATAACATTTTTTCATAAAATAAAGTTGGACATCTGGACATATAATCAAGGAAATGATGAAGCATAAATCATGAAGTTAGACACATAGATCTGAGATATATGGATAAGATCCATAGTGAAAACTACTCATACTTGTAGCAATGCATAACCAAGACTTTGCAGCTCACTATTGTACAGAAGCCAGGGCAGTCAAAGGTGGCTACCTAGCTACAGCCTCCTGGCAAGATAGCTACATGTTTTGTAATCAAGTCTTCATTGCTTGGGTCAATTGGAAAGTTAAGCTACAATTTGCCCAATTGAGTTTTAACTTGTAAGGAAAATAGTTTTAATTGGCCTCTGGAAAAACCTATTGAGAGAGAGAGTTAGTTTGGAGTAATCATGTAACAATTACACATTCATGTACATTAAGTCCTCCTTCAAATGTACAGATACCTTTTCAAACTCCAGAATATGCCTGTTCATTACCCTAAATAGATAAATTGTTTAATGATTTCTAAGAACATATCACTAGTCTAGAAGTATGTATTCTCATAAAAATAATAATTTTTCACATCATAAAGTAATATTTTATTCATCTCATCTCATTAGGTAAATTACTTTAACAATGAAAAAAAATTAACTGAATGATATTAACTTGCATAAACCATAAATTGGCAATAAACTATTTCCTTTTTATGAAAGACAGACAGAATACTGTTTACACTTTTTTAATTAACATTTTATCATCTACTCCAGTTGATGACTCCACTCGGGAGCATCACTATATTTCTCAGTCTCTTTAATTCCCATGTTCTGCAACATCCCCATTGTTCTGGCCCTCGTTTTCTGTCAGATCCTCTGTGTCTGAAGCACTCTCACTGTCTGTATCAAGTCCATTGTGGAGCTGAGAGAGCTCTTGGAGGGAAAGACTTGTGGTTGAACTGATGGATGAGTCCAGAGCTATATCTCCTATCAGGATGTAATCTAACCCCTGAAAACAGAGAGGATTATTGTTTAACATGCATGTATAATAAAGGACATGAAGAGCAATTTAATATTTGTTTGTCTGCTTCAGTTGCAAGCATCAAGGATTTTATGAGGCATAATCAAATGATGTCTACATGTAAAGACTTTCTTTTAAAGGTCAATGCCATTGCCATTACGTGTAAATAAATAAATCAAATCAATGACATATTTTCTTTTCTCAGCTCATCTCAGTTATTACAGACACAATATCAAGTTTAATTCAAGTTCATTCTTAAGAGCTCACCAGGAATACAAAGGATGCTTATTACTGAGTTTAATTAAATAAGATACCTAGCCTTGATTGTTTTGATTCATAAGTTGGTTTCTTTACAACATCCATAACCATCAGGGGTTGCCTTAAAAATGTGTGTTCTCCAAAACGTTGTACACGAACATAAAAAATAATTCACTGAAGAATCCATGAAAAACTTTAAACCTGAGAGACAAAGTGAGAACACCTCAAAAGTAAGGCAAAAACAACATAACTGGAGTATTTACCTTCCAGTGTTCTGGCCTATCTACCAATGCATTCTCCCTGAGGTCCAGCTTAGTGAGTCTTGAGAGGCCTAAGATCATGTCATCGTCTAAGTCCTTGATCTTATTGTTCCTCATGCTCAATGATATAAGACTATCTAAGTCTGTTAAACACAAAGGTATGGATTCAAATATATTCCCATCCATATTCAAATACACTAAATTATTTAACTTCCCAAATGGTTTAGGAAGATCTTGAAGTCTATTATCCGCTAATGTTAACCACTGTAATGTATGTAAATGACTAATTTCATCAGGTAAGAAACTTAATTCATTATTTCGAAGTCCTAGTTTTTCTAGATGCTTTAATAGACCGATCTCTTGTGGAAGACTGACTAGTTGAGTATCAGAAAGCCATAGTTGTTTCAAATTATGGAGGTCTCCTATTTCAGATGGTATCACTCCTAGTGGATTGTGGCTAGCACTCAGATATGATAGTAAATGGAGCTGGCCTATCCCAGAAGGCAACATTGTCAATTGATTGCTGTCGAGAGTTAATTCCTCAAGATTGGAAAGATTAACAAGCTCTTGAGGTGGCATTAATAATTTGTTATCGTTCAGCAGTAGTCTTTTAAGATGCCCAAGTTTTTGAATATCTGAAGGCAATATGGCAATTTCCCGATGACTCAGGTTTAAAACTTCTGATTGTTTGCCATTAAGATTGTCATTGATGCACTTGATAACCTCCTGGTCTCCCATTGCATTTGTATATCAATAGCTCTAGCTCTTTATTCAAATAGTATTTTAGTTTCCTTCTGACTAATTTAGGTCCTAGTATCAGCTTTCCTGAAAAAGTAATTCAAACATCAGAATTAACATTATGTGAGTAAATCTATTTCCTAATCAGACTATAACTCCAATGTCTCCAATGAATTAAAATTCGAAGCAAACGCGTGACATACAGTGTACATGTATATACGGATGAAAATTCCGAACGCACTGCATTATTGTTTCTCAGCATTTGTTCTTTTTATGTTTTCTCGTGAAAAAAATGCTTTTTGCGTGACATACATTTATTCTGTCATGCAAAAAACGAGCATGACTTCAATTTCTTCAGCAAATATGCAAACTGCAGGACAGTTGGACAGCCTGCAAAGTGCAAACATGACTTCAAAATCACCAATAATTTGAGTGTCATTGTTTTCCTCCAAGTTAAAGATCTATTCTCATGATTCTGAATTGAATAGATCTAGGCTAAAGAATCAATTGAAATTTCAATTCAAGAATATGAAGAAATTGAAAATAATTTTAGAAAAAAGTTATACATTGAAATCATGTCAGTTAGGCTAGTCTATACATTGAATTTCAAACTGGCATACGATGCATCTAAAGCCATATTGATTCAATGTAAATATACACCAAACTTACATCAAATAAACCCATATCCTTGGAATAAAGACGAAATTCATGAGGTTGTCAAGTACGCCGAATCCATTTTGAATTTAGCAGCGCCATCTGTCAAAACATTGGGTCAAGGTCACAAAAACCGCGAAAAACAAAAATGACAACAAATATCGAAAACAGTTTAATTTCAGCGTCAGCGTAAGTATAATCAACAACTTTTATGTAGATTAAAATCAGGGAATCATCGAACATAATTAGTTATATGTGTATAACTGTATAGAATGTGTGAAATCGGATCCACATGAGGTCTGCAAAAGATGCATCATATTTTCAAAATCAAAGGATTTTCAGATGATCATTCATTGAATGATGATGGATCATTGATTTGAATCACAGAAAGTTGTAATTGTGCAGGTTTATCGGGTGCCAGTACAATATCACCGAATAAGTACAAGCCCATCCAAAGTTGGGGGGGGGGGGTAGTATGTATCCAACAGACTGACTAGAAGTCAGTCTGTTATGATGTACTACTTTCCTGTGGAAATTGCAGTGAAATTTTTTGCACAAAATTATCAATTAGAGGAACCATTTCTTCACTAAAATAAGCATTACAAAATTTCAATTAAGTAGTAAGGTACAATTAAATGCAATAAAAAGTAACACAGCATATTGTCAAGTGGAAATAAGGCTAGTTGAAGTAAAAATGTGCAAATTAATTTTACCAAATCGGCCATTTTGAATAGCACTTCCTATGTAAACAAATATTGAAAATTACCAAACTTTAACATAGGTGCCTTATAGTCTGAATATAATTCAGACTAAATAGGATATAGTCTAGGGGGGGGGGGGGGCTAGTATGTATCCAACAGACCGAATATAATATTCGGTCTGTTATGATTGATATATTTCCTGTGGAAATCGCGGTGATATTTTTTGCACATTAATTCCTTGTTTATTATAAGAATGTTCACCTTGAAAATTGGTGAATATGTTGAAGAGATGTTCATCTTAAACTAGAAGCAAAAATATTTGTATAAGGCAGGTACAAGTTGATATAAAATAATGAAATGTTCAGACTCACCAAAACTTCAGGATGTGTTCATAAGTAGATCGCGAAATCAATGTCAAGGACGTTTGAGTTCACGAGATCCAAACGAGATATGCAAATTTTGAACTTTGACAACACATGACCACTTGATTACCTCGGCCTTCTTCATGAATATTTCCGCTCTATTTACTATAAATGAAGAAAATTAATCGGGATAATGATAATAAATGACTAGATCTAATAAATTCCCGCACAAATGGAATTTAGCAATACGCTTCCGTAATGTTGCTCCGTCCGCTCCACGTGTTATTTGTTTACAAATAGACTGACGTCACTGGCTAAATCTCGTTTATCGTGAGAATTGGCACTGCCAAAATGGCTTGACCTAATCAATGGCTTCGCTACAAGAAGCGTCTGTACATTTTATGAATATCTTCAGTAAGAGGACAATATACGAAAAAATAATATTGTAAGTTCTTTATAAGGTAATCATTTTATCATTAAACAAACTTATTTGTAACATTTATACAACACCACATTTTACAATAGGTGACTTACAGTCTGAATATTTATTCAGACAAAGGATACAGTCTAGGGGGGGGCACATACGATCAAATACAGGATTCCGTCTGGTACAACCGTGGCAATGTTGACGAATTCTGCAGGAATCTGGTGCAACCGTGGCACGTTACAATTTTGTGTCACAACCGTAGCTATGTACTATACAATGTTACATTATGTAACTTTGTTACAGTTGTTACTGACAGCATAACACTCTTTAGCATTGCCAGAATTGTGACAGCCACTGTTACATTGAACAAACATAGCCGATATTGTAATGGTGCATTATTGGAAACTGTCACAATTGTTACAGGTAGTGTTACAGTGATTTTCAACTAAACTATGTTATATGTTATATTTTTCGACATTGTCATGGTAATAACTGACATTGTTACACTACATCTATTCTATTTTCTTAATACTTAAAGGTTCTTGCCCTATATTATAATGGTAGCCTTGCCAAAATTGGTCTCTTTTACTTATCTTGATTTCTATCCAAGATCAGATAGTAAAAAAAATACCGACTTGGGGAAGGCTAGCCAATGGGTCAATGAAGGAAACTGGTATTATTTTCAGTTTACTAAAGGAAAACAAGAAGCGTTCATTGGGTATTGAGAAAAAGCGAGACAGTGCCCTGAATGAAGAGAACAGTAACGTTGCTGTACAGTTTGCTCAATGCAAGGTAAGCTTTTGTGTAGCAAATGAATAATGGAAGTGTCACCACTAGCTTTCTTACCATGTCATATTCCCAAACTGGCATCAAACAATGCAGCATTCAGGAACTATTTATTCTGAACATGGATGCTCTGCATCTGTTAATTTGAAGTAAATTATTAATATAAAATGGTATACGAACTACAGGCCCATAGCCAGGATTTACCAAGGGAGGTCACTTTTTAAAAAATTCCAGGGGGTTCACTTTTGACAACTCTGGCCCAAAAAGGGTCAAAATCTCTTGAAAAACTGCATGATTTTGAAAGAATTTTTGGCTACTCAACCCCCCAACCCCCCCCCCCCCCCCTTACCTTGGCTATGGGGCTACTGGCCTTAGCTACATGGCGCGCTCCCAGATATGAGGTGCAAGTAGTAACTGTCTATGATGTGCACAAAGATGGTTCACAGTGAACTATTAAGTGTGCCAAAAGTTATAGATATCCTGTATGTTCTGAGTTGTGGGTAGGTGGGTATGAGGTAGGAGGTTTTTTATACAAAGCCGAAAAATTGTTATAATCCTGTAGGTGCTAACTATACATGTATTTGTAGGCTGATTTTAAAGAGTTGAAGCAAAAATTGATCCAGTTACAAACAAAGTTCCATTTTGTGAAGAGTCTAGCTACAGATGAAGAAACAACAATAGATGAAGAAAGATTAGGTGAGTGTTCTCTCATTCCTTCAACTAAATACAATGTATGTCCATGTATAAATATTCAAAGCTCAATAATCTTCAAAATAGGAAGTGAACTGTCATGTATTTTGCTGATAAAGTCAGGGAGTTAAGAAATACTACATTGTATGGGCGGAAATTAACTCAACTTTATTAAAGGTGCATGCACCAAATTCCACACGCATTAGTGAAAGCTAGACTAGAACGGTAGCATAGAACCATTACATGAATCTCAACAGGGGTCTCATTGGCAGAAGGCAGAAGTCTATTTTTGAGGTGGTATTGATTAATATATATGTGCATATTGATCCATCAATGAAGTTCATATGACTGAAGGAATACAATGGTTTAACAGGATGATTCTTTTGGACTAGAAATGAATTTAAACTCACAAGCCAGATGTCATCATAGGCTGTGAGACTAACCTGGACAACACCATCGACAGCAAATGGATATTCGGTCAAGACTACCGTAGCCCACCTCCAAACAGGAAAGACCGAAAGAAATGTGCTGGCGGTGTCCTTATCGCAGTCAAAAGTGACTTCATATCAGTCGAATATGAAGCGACAGCTGATTGCGAAATCATATGGTCCAAAGCATCTCTATCAAATGGGGACATACTGTTTGGATCCTTCTATCGTCAACCAAACAACGATACTGGTGCTTTGGACTCGCTCCAAACATCCCTCGATAAACTTTATGCTAATGGTAATACACATATGAAAAACATCTTCCTATGTGGTGACTTCAACTTACCAGACATCGATTGGGAGAATGGAACTATAAGGCCTAATTCTCAATATTCTAATGATCTTAATGAGAAGATGATTACAATAACTGATGATCATGGCCTAACCCAACTAGTCAAGGAACCAACTAGACAAAATAACATCCTTGACTTAGTATTCACTACATGCCCAAACCTCGCAGAAAGAATCTCAGTGGTTCCGGGCATGAGTGATCACGAGGCAGTCCTATGTGATATAAACCTAAAAATGAAAATTCAGAAAAAGAAGCCTCGTAAGGTCCACATATACAAGCGGGCAGAATGGACTGGACTTAAAGAGACTCTACGATCTAAGTTCAGCGAATTCAAAGAGAACTCTGAAAGTTGATCAGTTGAAGACAACTGGTCCTCCTTCAAATCCACATTAATATCGTCAATGAATGAGCATATTCCAAGTAAAACTCTAAGTGGGAAATTCAAAGTACCCTGGATTACCACCAGGATACTGAGAATGATCCGACAGAAACAAAGACGATATAATGTTGCCAAATGTTCAAATGAACCTCATCATTGGCATAAATACAAATCACTACGGAAATTAATCCATAGTGAAATTCGTAAAGAACATCAGCGCTACATCAACGATCTGCTTGACATTGATGAAAGCGAAATCATAAATGAGAATGTTCAGCACAAAGGCATTACCAAACGCTTCTGGAGCTACATAAAGTCTAAACGCAAAGATGCATCAGGTATCAGCGTGCTGCGTAACAAAGATGGCGACGAAATAACAGACGCCGCCCAGAAAGCAAACATCCTCAATGACCAATACAATTCTGTATTCACAGATGAGGATGCCACTCTACCGACAATGGTACCTAGTCAAATTCCTGAAATGCCAAATATCAAAATTTCTACAAAAGGAATTCACAAATTGCTAACTGGCCTAAATCCATCAAAAGCCACTGGACCCGATCTTATTCCGACTAGGGTCCTGAAGGAATGCAGTGACAGCATATCACCATTCCTTCAAATAATTTTTCAACAGTCTATCGATGAAGGCTTAGTGCCTATGGACTGGAAACATGCCAATGTTACTGCTATCTACAAAAAGGGACGAAGAGATGAGGCTGTGAATTACAGGCCTGTATCTCTGACGTCAGTTCCATGTAAAATAATGGAACATATTATATTCCATCATGTTATGGCCCACTTTGACCTCTATGAAATTCTAGTAAAATTCCAACATGGATTCAGGTCAAAGCACTCATGTGAAACACAACTTGTCAATACAATAGAGAATATAGCTCGGGCCCTCGACAACAATAAACAAACAGACATGTTGGTATTAGACTTTTCCAAAGCGTTTGACACGGTGGCTCACGAACGCCTCTTGCTCAAACTCGACTATAATTATGGAATTCGCAATAATAACTTGAACTGGTTCAGATCCTGGCTTGTGGGAAGATCACAACAGGTAGTGCTCGATGGTGAATCAAGTTCAAAAACTACAGTAAAATCAGGAGTTCCTCAAGGAACAGTTCTTGGACCACTCTGTTTCCTTGTTTATATCAATGATATGGGCAATAACCTATCATCCTCAGCCAGTCTTAAGCTTTTTGCTGACGACAGCCTTTTATTCATGACAGTCGAAAGCAAGCAAGATGCATTAACACTACAGGAGAATCTTGATAAACTGGTCTCCTGGGCATCAACATGGCAAATGAAATTCCATCCATCAAAATGCTATGTGCTAAATATTCACAAAGGTAAATCCCCTATCATGCACAATTACACCATGCTAGGGGAAAACCTTAAGTCGGTAACACACATCCCATACCTAGGAATTGACATCACAAATAACTTACGCTGGACTACACATATTCAAACTATTGTATCCAAAGCCAATAAGGTGCTTGGATTTCTCAGGCGCAACCTCCATCAATGCCCTGAAAAAGTGAAGGCTCAGGCATATAAGTCACTAGTCCGGCCTAATTTAGAGTATGCGAAGCTCGGCATGGGATCCATACGGATAAAAAGATATTGATATGTTGGAACAGGTACAGAGAAGAGCAGCCAGGTTTGTAACCAAATGTCACTCAAGGGAACCAGGCTGCGTCACCAAAGCTCTTCAAGACCTACAGTGGGAGCCACTGAAGGAGCGTCGAGAGGCTGCTAGAGTTTTCCTTTTCTACAAAGGAAAGCAGAACCTAGCAGCCATCGACGTGCCTCCATACTTCCGCCAACAGATCAATACCAACACTAGGTTGTATCATCCTTCTAAGTTCATACAACCATCAACTAGAACGGATGCATACAAACTTAGCTATTTCCCTAGGACAATAGCTAAATGGAACACTCTACCTGGTGACATCTTAGACTGTGACAGTCTAAGTAGTTTTAAATCATCATACTATGCCTATGTCAATAACTGCAATTAAATAGGTGTGTTTTTTTAATATAGATCTATGTTTTAATGTAAAGGGTCCCCAGTGCACAGCAACAAGCCTGCACTACTGGTAAAGAGGGGTGATGTCAATGCAGTAGCCTGACAGTCTCCCCAGGTAAAATGAGTTGTAAACCATAGATCTATTTTTAAATGTTAAGGTTTTAAATTATATTCTATTCAAATTCTATCACTGTTAAATTATATATCTGCTTTATATGGGCTTATTGGCATGTTCTAATCAGTGGACTGGCCCCAAGAAAAGATGGACTGGACTCCGGGCCATCTTTTAGACATTGCTTCACAAAATTACTAAAAAGTGGACTTAACCCTCTATACTCCATTATGGGGCCACACTTTAGGTTTTCTGTAAGTATTTTGACTAAAAGATGGCCTCAAGCAATACATATCTAAATTTGAATTTAACTTATCAATATCATTATCCCAGCAAATGAAGTTCGATAGGGATGTCACGAAGCCCTCCATTTATCAAGTCCTTTTCCCAAGCACAATAAAAAATATGTGGATTTTTAAATTCCTTTCAAATTAAGAAGATGGAATTTAGAAGGTTTGACCACAAAGGTTCAAGCACAGACACACATGAGTAGCGGGATGAGTAGACGGTGTTTTTCTAAAATATAGCTTTGTTACATGCAAGAGGAAGGCATTTTAGTGTAGATTGGAGAGCAGGGGCATAGTCAGCTTTCAGTCAGGGGGGTACGATCGCCAAATTTTTGGGTTTCAGTCAAGTGGGTGGATAATCGTGGCATAAGCAAGGCAAAACAAAGAAATAAGATCTGTTTTGAGCTAGAAGCTTAAAAAAGCATTTTAAAGCTCTTTTCTTCCATTATCTAATGGTTCTATTTTTATTGGTTATGGAGGGGATGCGACCCATCACATTCCCTTCTGGCTATGGAGAGATTGTGTTACCCGTAAGCAATTCACTCACAAGAAATGGAATATTGTTTCATATAATATATATTTGTTCTCTCATTAATATGCTACTGATCTCCAGATGGCAGGTATTTATATTAATCCAGTTGTTTCTTCCATTCTAACTTATTAACAAGAACACAAACGTGTACAATATGTCCATACCGATGGGTGGTCCTTAAGTTTTTATCCCCAATGCCCAATTCTTTAATCAGTTGAAAATACACGATTTTAGGTAAAAAAATCAAAATGGCAACATCAGCCAGAATGCCCAAAAACTAATCAGGTTGAGATTTTCATACAAAGAATCACATCTGAAAAGTTGAATTCGATCTTTCAAATGGTTCTTCTGTAAACCTGTAGATAAGTCTTTGCACACAAGATTCAGGATGGAAGATTCAAAATGATCACCTTATCATTTACCCAGAATGCTTAAACTCATCCCTGAAAATGTTAAAGTTGACATGGCAGATTGATATCAAGTTAAAGTTCAGCATGTATCCAAGTTTCAGTGTGATAATTTGGATCACTAGTCGAATTATGAAGCAAACAAGTGAATGTCTAGGATCCCTGCATGTTCATGTATAACTCAGTAATACTATGTATGCCAGATAATCCACTTGAGCATCGCTATATCAAAAAAAACTTCATTAAATCCAGCAGCAGAAAAGACATGCTAACTACTGAACTATTTTCATCATGTCCATGTACCCATTGTGTGAATTCAATGTCAAGTGTGGTCATTTCCATAAAGATTATGAAGCATGTAAAGGACCTTATGCACCCTCCATTGGGATCTCCCCATGGGAAAAAATAATTCATCTGATTTTTCAAAATGAGAATTCTGCTTCAATTATTACATTTATATGCACACTAGTATCTTGTTGACCTATATTCAGCACTTTATTGATGTATAGGCCACTTATTAGGGTCATAATTCAATCATAAAGTGTAGAGGCATAGATTCCAAACCAGGAAGTATTTTTGTGTCTGTCAAAATCCATTTACATCCTACGCATCCCTGCATCTTATCCAAATATTTTACTACATAATGAAATATAATAGTATAATCTTTGGTTTTACTAACTTGTATGATATTTGATGAGTGTAAAAGTTGTTTTTGGAGCATTTTTCTACAGCCATTTTGTAGGGAAAAAAATGATGAAAAAATGTACAATCTTTTAATTTTAAGTATGACCTGAATCGATTGCAAACTTCATATTTGCACATTTGATGAGATAAACCATTTGTGTCGTATTGTGAAATTATTAAGTTTGCAATCGATTCAGGTCATAGTGTATTTTTGGTATTTCTGTGATAATCAATGGAAACCAATGGCCTCTATTGGGATCTGCTGATATCCGGCCTCATGTTAAGACACTGGTGCACAGCCCAATGTAAGTCAATACAACCTTACTGAACGAAATGATCCCTATCTCAGCTTATGTGTGTCCGAGCACTTTAATATTTTCCAAAGTATTATATGACATTTTATTCTTCATGTTACACCTACGAATGATTCATTTTGACCATAGGGATATTTGCCAATAATTGCACCTTGTCCTTTGAGATTTAGAGATAAAGTATGTAAAGGTATTATAACCACATGCAATTCAACACTTATGGATTTTAATTTAGGTGCAGAAACCGACTTTTATCAATAAGTGATAATATATAATTTCATTGTTACCAGCCAGCCCGAAAAAATATATAATAAATAAAAGTGATGGTTTTGATAAAAGATAAATTACCAAAATTAGCAATAGATTTGATAATTATCAATTGTTTTTATAAATTATCAGATATTGCTTATTTCACACGAGCCCTTTTCTATGAAACAATTGCTAGAAATAGTTATCAATAAAAGTGATAGTTTTGATGTGACTAAAATTATAACTGTTAGCAATAGTTTTGATAATTATCAATATTATCTGATATTATTATATTATTATTATTATTATTATTATTATTATAATAATATAATTATATATATAACAGATTTTTCAGATTTAGTCTTTATAGGAATAAGCGAAACTTAAAAAGCTACCATTCAAATGACATGGGGCTGGAAAAATTAGCAAATAAAAGTGACATTCCGCACCTACCTCCATATTTCCCTGCCATTAAGAGTCGACCCTTTTAATGGAATGATAAATAATTCTGATAAAGTTACAAAGCAAAAAAAAATGAATGGTTTTATAATCATTTTACAAAAATATAATTCAACACTACGCCATATGTTTTTTTCATTTTCATAAAATATATACTGAAGGAACTACTGACTGCAAACTTCTATGATATTTTCAGTAAGGGAACATTTTATATCAATTGGAATTCACATCTGTCCTTACAAATTGATAGTTGTGGAAAAAGAGTAAGTATATTTAATCAATTGTTTTACCATCCCCCCCCTCTTCAAATTAAATTGAGTTAAGGTTGGTTGTCCAGCCCCAGGGTTCAACATTATAACATGAGGAGCTTCACTTTTCAAAATATACAGTCAACATTTGTAAGCTAAGGGAAACAACAAAGATATTTAGGTGGCGTGCAGATGAGTGTTAGGTAGATTGTCAGCTAGATTGTCCCCATTGAAAAGAATGTGAAGGATACTTTGACAAATTATGCAAATATTATACAAGCGTGGTCATACTAAAATTATAAAGCATGTCAATTTTAGATTTTAGAGATAAAGTATGAGAGGCTTGTAATTCAGCTCTTCCAGATTTACTCTGCCTTAAACTTACAATGGAATGCTATTGATTCTGATATATTTACAAAAAATGACGTAACTTCATAATTTTCATCAACAATAGAATTCAACTATATCTAGTTCTTTTATTTCACAGCTTAAAACTAATGATTGCAAACTCCTCCAACATAATCATTTAATAGGGATAATTCTATATAAATAGGGATACTCACATACCCTTACCAACTGCAAGTTATGGAAAGTTTGTAATTAATTTTTTTTAGCATTGTTTACCCCCACCTCTCAACATTAAGCTGTCTCGAGACTGTTTTGGGTCATGTAAAGTTATGAAATCAGAGCTTCATTGTTTGTGATAATTGTTACTTTGACAAAATTATATAAAATTTTAAAGGGATACTAAGATACAATAGTTGATGGTGTCTGGTACAGATTATATCACTTGATAAGGTTTTATGATTCTATTAGGCATGCACCTTGGGTGGGTTGGATCACTCAGTACCATCCTTTTACTTAACCCTTTATACTCCAGTTTGAAGCCACTTTTTAGTCATTCTCCTATCAAAATACCTAAACAGTGGCCTTTGTATCAGTCCACCTTTTAGTCATTTTAACCACACAATGACTAAACAGTGGATAAGGCCACAGAGTCCACTAAATTGGAGCCAGTCCACTGATTAGAACATGCCGGGCTTATTAGCCTTTATCAGATTATTGACATAGACATAGACTAACTGGGATAGAGGCATATAAGCCATGAAGATAAAGCCATCTCTTATCCTTTTGATGAAAGTGACTTTACATTTATTCAACAACAATACGTACATGTAAACACTAATATTATATTGAAAGAAGCATGGTAAACAATCGTTATACATATTGTACTGTGTTGTTGTGTTATCTGCATGATACAAAGTAGTGCTTCTCAATTACTAAAATAATGTCAAATTGATTTTTCTTGTATGAACACTATGAGATTAACATGTTTAAGATTCTTATTTACATAATAATATGTGCTTAAATTTTTCTGACTGATCAATGTCAAATCAACAAAATGATATGTTCCAATTGAATTTTTTAACTTACTCAAAGATGTCTATAATTTTGATTTTTCATGGCTAACAGTTTTTAAGATGGAATGATATTACCGAACTTCCAAAAATACATGTCTTTTAACAAGCTGAATTTTTCTTTTTTCTTTTAAACTTCAATTTCTTTTTACTTTTCACTGGAGGATTTGGCAGCCTAACACTATTTGTCCGAATAGTTTCATAATTTGAGGCTCCTTCAACATTTGTCTTATCAATTTCCTCATAATGGTGCTCCGTTGCTTCTTCATCCTTTAAGTCCATAACTGTGTTATCACAGGCAATATTTTTGTTAACATTGTTAGCCGTAGTGTCCATCTTTGTGTTGTTCCCTCTATCTGTGTCATTGTTACGACGCCTGTGTACCACGTAGACACCCAAAATAACAAAAATGAAAGCAATACTGAGTATAACGAAGAGGATTATCACTGTGGCCTGTAAAGCATGGATCTGTCGCTCATATTGATCTACCATTTGTTTATGTTTGGTATCGACTACTCTTACTGTACTGGTAGCTACAGAAGAGGAAGTTCCAGAAGTCGCAGTTTCAGAAGAGGCAGAAAAGCTTGAGGTTGATTTACCTGGAGATGTTGTCAGTGTTGAAGGAGTCATTGTTTCCGAAACTTGGGAAGTAGTAGACATAATGCCTTGACCATTTTGAAGAACATAAATGTCAAACCCGAAGCCCTGATCTGTTACATTGATCAACTTGATATCAGATTCTTCATCTCTTCCTCTTTTACAGAACCTTAGATCACATATTACTAGTGTTGCATTGCTGTTGTAGTTAATGACATTAAATCCTTGTTCACAAGCATGAAGCATACATTGTCTCAAGTCCCTTGCTTCATGAATCATAATGGACTTGTCACAGTTAGACATCAAACATTGGTTTTTAAGTCTTGTAAGCACAAAAGAAGAGGATCTGCAATCTGGAGTACCTGGGAAAGGTAGAATGAGCCAGTTTGAGTCTGTGTCACTGTTGTAACATTTGTTATCATTGAAAGTATACGTAAACCTCCATCCTGTCCCTTCGTGGTTACTTCGACACTTCCCGGCAACTGAACGACGATATGATGTCGCAGTCGAATCATATAGAACAAGAGTTTTGCCATAGTTGCAAAACATTTCTTCAACTATTTCATTTCCACATGCTTCATAATCATCTTCGTCACAAGCAAGATGATAGCGAGAGAACCCAATAGTTTGATTTTGGACGCTGAAGTTACAAGGTTTCGATGTATGGGAGAGGCCATAAACAAGTACATTGCTGTTACCTGTAGCATTATATAACTCAAAGACATAGTCATCAGGTAAATAGGCAGAATATGGTGCTTTCCATCCGCAATGTTTCGTTTCACAGATCGGTGGTACTTTTTGAGGGTAAAAGTTAAAAACATTCGCTTTAGCTCCACAAGCTAATGTCATACATTCATGCAAGTCTGCGACAGTTCTGGTTGTAATTGGAAAACAATTTGACGCAATTGGTTGGTCATCAATACGCCATGTTCTCCTCATGAAATAAGAGTTATGACATCTTGGTGCGTATGAATGTGGCTTTGCATATATCCAAGCTTGAATATTGTTTCCAACCCTCAGCCATTTGAAGTCCCAATCAGTGCCATCTGTATTTGACATACATCTGAATATTGCACAATACCCATCCCACGGGCCCCACTGTATAACATTCCCTTTTCGCTCGCATGCTGTAGAAAAGCAAGTCTCTATTGAAGGTCTTCCAAATCTATACTCATGTATCATTTGACAGGAGGGAAGGTAACTATCATTTTCTGGGGCTCTCACCAAGAGGTAGTCACCAAAATAACAGTCACCTAGAAATAAATGCCTCTTATTACATATGATTTATTCCCATTCATAAATTTGAAAACCTGAAGTTGAAAACAAGATGATATATGTATGTGACAGATACATGTATGTTAACCTCTTGAATCGCAGGCTCTAAAATCAGTTGAAATCAGAGATTTTTTCATTTTTGCCACCTTTTGACATTATACTACATACCTATACAACTTCAGATGCTCAACTTAGTAAAATTAGACGGCAGAGATCATATCTACACATTTTAAAACAATTTTTGTGTAAATTGGATCAAAATTGTTCAAATATGATCAATTTTAGTGAAACATTTTGTGACGGATTTTCTCGTCACTCTGGGTTTCAAGGTCATTTCCGAGGTGATGAGAAATCTCGTCACTCCAAGTAGTCAAGAGGTTAATCGCTCATTCTCCGTTAAGGACAGGGTGCATGTTGGGAAATTTTCTGCATTCCTCAATTGAGTAACATGTTATTTTTTAAACAAGAATAACTCCTTCCCCAAATTGTCTTCATCTTCCAAGTTTGCACAAAGAGTGCACTTATGTGCCTAGAAAAGCCTTGTGAGAAGGTTTGTTTTGTAAAATGTATAAAAAATGAGAAAATTCAGTGAAAAAAATTTCTGAAAATTTTCTGATTTTTTTCACTGAATTTTCTTGTTTTTTATACACTTTATGAAAACATCCTTCTCACAAGTCTTTTCTAGGCACATAAGTGCACTCTTTGTGCAAAACTGGAAGATATAGACAATGTGGGGAAGGAGTGATTCTTGTTTGAAAAATAACATGTGACTCAATTGAGGAATGCAGAAAATTTCCCATCATGCACCCTGACCTTATTAAGCGTGACTTTTGAGGTGTCAAAATATTAATTTTTCGACCTCAACCAAAATACTAGCTCTACTTAATTCATGGATGGCTATGGTCTGTGGATGAAAAATGCCAAGTTTCACCAGCCTTGTATCAAAATTAGAGAAGTTATGACGCATTGTATAAACAGTATGCTGTAACACACATTTAATTTACGAACCTAATTTACGGGACACCTCTAAATGCTAAAATGACAAATATTGTACATCACATACTTATTTCCTTGGTTAAATATCAATCTCATGGTCCTAACAAGTAAATTGATATGAAAATATAAGTTAGTTTTCGTATTTTCAAAAAGCGTGTGTCCCGTAAATTAATCTCGTAAATTAATTTAGGATTTTAACTAATTATAACACAAGAAATATGAAACCATGATCAGGAATATAGCTGGTTTTAAAAAGAGACCCAACGTGCCTAAATATCTGTTGTATTAGATTTGTCATAATATGTCTGCATGTTCTTTTAAAATGGCAGTCCCGTAAATTAGGGCAAAAATTTCCATTCTAGAATCCATAAGTTGGACTAGAATTTCTGATTACATGGACCCTTTGTCATAAAAAAGCCTCGTTTGTTGGATCAGGTATCAATATGTGATTAGGTTGCGATCAATACATTGTTGATAAGAAGCTTATATACGAGACCAGGTTGAAGTGTCATAGTCTGACTCGTAAATTAGATACAACTGAGTGACAGAATCCAACATCAAATTTTTGAAAGACTAGAATATGGACCGTGAGGTTAGGTATTTTTTATGAAATTAGATACTAGTATACCGAAGATACGTTATAATATGTTACATAGCGACTGTATGCCATTTGTGTACAATGAACAGCAACTCTATGTTCACTTATCACTTGTGTGACAGGCCATTCTGGGTACCCCCACATACTTCAGACACCTCTCGATCAGTAACACAATATGGTGCATATGTAATATGTATTTAATTTTACTGCCATTTCATAATTTTTGATAAAAAATGTCATTTATACCATAAAAAGTGCATATATTTTGATTAACATCATTATGAAAAGCAGTTACACCATTTTTCACGCTTAACGGAGAATGGCTGTAATAAGGATTGAAACCATCCATAGCCATTGTGAATTATTGTGTTTTATGGATTATGGCAACGGCTTTGCAAAAAGATGTTGACCCTTTGAAACACTTATGGACTTTTGAGACTGGATTTTGTCTATCCCACATCATTTGACACTGAATGCTCTATTTTGAGATACAAGTACTACTTTTTATGTCACCATTAAAAAGTGGTGACATATTGTTATGGTCTCAATTTTTTGTGACGGCGGATGGTGGTCGGCAGTTGGCAGTTGATGGTTTCTTACAACTTCCAATAACTTGTTATTTCTTATCTCAAACTATTTTTGATGTAATGAGTATTGGCTACCATTTTCTAAATTTTTCTTCAACATGTATTATAATGACTTCAGTGTGACTGGTATACACTTAGAGATTGCTTTTTCTTGTGTGGTTCCATTACAACTTTTGGTTCTTTCCCTTTGGCACTAGTACTTAGATATTTATGCCTGAATTGTTATATTGAAAAATGATTTATATTAATGTCAGTTTTCTTTATTAATAAAACATTCTTACCTGGACATGGCCGTTGTGCGACAGATTGATGTAAAACAGCATTGAGAAAGAAGATCAGAGACACCAACAGCCGTTGTGCGACAGATTGACGTAAAACACCATTGAGAAAGAAGATCAGAGACACCAACATATTGATATATAAACTCTCAAAGACTGAGGGAAAAGCTTATAAATGATTGAAATATATTAGTCTTAGAGTAAACACTAAGTCTTATCAACATTTACACTTTGAACAGGACGTTTTTATATATTAATTTATTGAAATGACAGATAATATATTTTAATTTTATCATTATGCATTAAACCACTTGATATTCTAAGAGGAAAGCTAGATACTAGATAGTAGTTGGAAACCTCTCTTGATCTGTAAATATTTTGACTGTTGAAAGTAATTTTCATACTAAAATAATAAATGATTACATTTACATATGGAACTGCAATAACAAGACACAGAGTGAAAAGTATTGCACCCTTGAAGACTTACCTTGAATACTATCCTCATTAGTGAAGAGGTCAAAGCTTTATTTTTGTACAAAAGAGTAAGAATACTGAATGATCAGTGGTAGTGATTACATGTACAATTGATATGTTTTCACATACTATTAAGTTCACCGCACATTTTTGGAAGTGAAATGGATTTTATCAAATTCAATGAATGCAGAAGCAAACAAAAGCATCGGCTTTCAAAAATAGCATTTCAGAAAAGCTTTTTCCAGTCAGAAATGAATTAATCTTTTCTCGTAAAAGTGCGGTGGAGGGGTGTCCACTAAGACAGGTTTTGCTGTAATTATTTCAGTAGTGGTATAAGATTTAAATTAAACACTTGTACTTTAAGTGTCTCACACTCTAACTCTCATAATAAACACCAATATTAAATAAATTCAGAATCACCCATATCCATGCATACTAGTGAATTTATTCATATTTTCATAAAATTAATCATAATTTAATGATGTAAATGTACTATATCAATTCATAAGGTGATTATCGCCATCATTAGAATATTGACAATATTTGTTTTCATGGCGATAAATTAAAAGCAGAGTCACTTTAACATTTATTTTGTTTGGTTTTCAGATGAAGAGATCAAAGATTCCAAACTTGATATAGCTGAAGCCAAAGGTGCTCTTGAGGAACTGAAGACAAAGATCACTGCTTGCATAGAAACTGGAGAACAGGGTAAAAATTTTAATGTACATTATACACCATGCTTCAAAATGACCTCAAATCTTCCATCAACTGCCATTTGTGGAAAGCTAACCCCCATATGTTATATATCATATGAAAGCTTGCTCCATTCTGGACTGTTATGTATAGATAAATGTTTGTCTAAGAACATATTTTCTAATAAGTGAAACTGTGTATTAACTCATTGCTGACCAACCCCGAGATATCTCGTCTATGACGTCATAATCGTATCTGACCAACCCGAGATATCGGGGTGCTGTACAATAATTGTCACACAATTTGTACCAATAAGCTTTCAAAATATTGTAGGGGTCACATGAGGAATACTGTTTTGTGCAATTGAAATATATTTTCATCATTTTGTCATTGCTGTTCACAATGGTATTAAACATAGCAAAGAGGGATGATGGTTGAATAATTTATCTAATCTATTAATTACCCTTTGCATTCGTTTAACTTCACTTCTTAAAAGAAAGCTTCGTCTTCACTCTTTCAAACTAAAATAAACCTGCGAACTCACCGTGCCAATCTGTTCGTCGGCCAAATTTGACCTACGTTCTTTATATGGTCATTCCTTCTGACGTCATTCTGACTAGAATGAGACATCTGGACAATTAGCTTTACACAGAACTTTCAAAGTAGCATACTGACATCATGCTGAAATAGGTTGAAATTGTACATCTAGTTCCACCTTAATGTTTCATAAATTGTATTTCAGAGTATAGAAGGTAGAAAAATTGTACCTCTAGTACCACCTTAATGTTTCATGAATTTTTTTCAGATACTAGAAGGTAGAAAATTATACATGTACCACCTTACTGTTTGATGAATTGTATTTTAGATTATAGAAGGTAGAAAATTGTACCTCTAGTCTCACCTTAATGTTTCATGAACATTATTTCAGAATACACAACATGTCAGAATGACCTTGTTAGCTTGGAGCAGTTGGTCACCCAGGTTTCTGCTAAGGTAACACACAATTACAGTCCAGCTTATTTGGTAAAGTGAGGGTTTTATAGAGTAAGAAAATTGCAAGCAACATTAACTATTGAACCAGATCATTCCTTTACATTCAATCCAAATATATTTTCCAGAGGAATGATGATATCTTATCAAAAGGTAAAGTTTTTTAAGATTCAAAGGGCAAAGATGTGTAGTCTCCCAAATGATTTAATGTACTGTACATATCCCCTTTATAATAAAGTGAGTCTCCTATTTGACTAGTATACATCGGGCATGTGTATTTCAGAGGATAAAGATGTGTAAAGTCTCCCAAATGATTTAATGTACTGTACATATCCCCTTTATAATAAAGTGAATTTCCTATGAGACTCGTATAAATGGAAAATGTTTAATTCAGAAACAAAAGCTTGACAGTCTTGTTGCTGAGCGAGAACAAGCCCTGCAGTCACTTGGGGATCTTGGATCATCAAACTTCATCAATGATATCTCTGCCATGGTAGAAAGTAAGGTATGAAAATATTTCAATCTGGACACTTTAGGAATCAAAGACAGTAATTGACACAGCACATGCTTGGTTCAAATGTTTGGGAGATCACTCGGCAGGTTTCCCTATTAGACAAAGGTTAATTTTCTTCTAAACAGAGAAACTAAAAGGCATGGAAAATATTTAAAATATATATTGACATGTAACGATGTAGCAATCTTTAATTAATTATTTTAATCTGAATTTAAAGATGAACATATGAACATAAAACTTAACCTGAGTTTTTCTAAAAATGACAATCTTTCTAAAGTAAGACCGAATAATTAATACAAAACAAACAATTTTATGGCATTGTCTTTTGTATGGATGTATTGAATGGAATAAAAATAAAACACCAAATCTAAAATAAAATTACAGAAATCAGAGGTGAAGGAGTATTCAGAGAAACTTTCCCAATCCAAGAAAGCTCTTGATGAGCTTGCTAAGACAAAGGAAGACATCAATGCTATTATCCAAGAGTTTGATGCTTCCACCAAGGAATACATGGCTGTGATTGGAGACCGAGAAAAAGAAGATAAGCTTATGAATAATACAAAGAAAGAGGAAGATGAATTGTAAGCACTAAAATATGTACTCTCATGTTGTATTAAGGTAAACAGAAAGGAATGTTTGATCCATGGCTCTAGCACGTTTTTGTTGTTTTCCCCTATTTGACCCATCATTATTACATATGATGCCTATGTGGAGGCCTAATTAATTAATTTAATTACATTTTCCATTTTACTCAACCTACCAAAACCAAAAATAATGCCTTTTTGCTGAAAATCTATGACATAACCAAACATAAAAGCACTTGATACCTACATGTAACATTGAATCTTACAGTTTGTCCAGTGTAGTTGGTTACCTCCAGCACCTTAGTGGGTTAAGCATAGAACATCTCCATGGTGACCAACTGAAGGTGAAATTCAACCAACCAGAAGGCAAAGATGAAACTGAGGCTTTGACCTTGACCATGACTTTCAGATCAGAGCCACCTAGCCCATGTGTCTTACATAAAGCAGAGGTAAATGTTACACCAATGCTAAATAACAAATAATAAAAAATGTCCTTTGTCCAGGATAAAAGTTTATTGATTCAGAAGATAACGTGTTTTGAAAAATCAATGTAGGGGTGGGCGAAGATTAATGGCACCAGGTTTTGATGAAAGAATTAATCAGTAAAGTAAAAAACATATTGATTAAATTAACTAAAGTAATAAGAATTATTCATTCACTGCATATTAATCTTCACTATTTTAATTACGATCATTCTGTATCAAAATGTCAACTGTTTTAATGTTTGAAATGTTGTTCGTGTATGGCTAGAATTTGATAATTAAAACCCTTATATGAACTCCATTGTTGTTATTAGGTGAACATTTCTACATTAATTGTTGATGACATCATAGAGCGGGCTATAGCACAAAATGACTGCAAATATCTCATACAAGAGGTTCAACAAAGGTGGCAGAAACATTTCTCTCTACTTCATGAGATAACTATTCTCAGAGAGAGGTGAGTTATTACAGGGTGGGCTATGGACTTTATGGTACCCTGTTTTAACTTAATCAGTAACCTTTTTGGTGTGTAGAAAGAGTCGAAATTTTTGCTGATTTTTTAAAAATAATTTTCCTTTGATTTGATCTCGATCTTTTTGTTTCAAGTATTTCATGAAGAATTAAAGGTTGTGTATACCTATTAAAGTGATTTTCACTCGTAATCCAAGCTTTAATTCAGCATGTTTCTGTGTATATAAGACAACGGCCAAATACTTTCGCTATTAGAGCACTTTCACATCTGATTAGATAGCATTGAATATTATTAAATATTACTATTCCCTTTCTATTGATGAATCCAATTATTTTTCATATCTTGATTATTGCATAATTACCATACATGTAGTTTTATCTTTCAAACTCATGTGCTTTAAAGTTTCCTTCATTTTTCAGGTATGCTATAGATTGGATATGTAATGAAGGTGTACTCCGCATGATGCTTGGTGACAATGGACATATTGTTTGTACCTTAGAGATTCAAGATGGCTACCCAGCAACTGGTGAAGTAAAACTAAAGTCTATAAGTGGCCGGTCTGAAGATAGCCCTGGTGATTTGCAGGTAAATTGGAGTAGCCCATTTAAAGGTTTTATGTATTTAGTAATTGTGAATATTTTTTGGGAAATCTGAGGACAAAAAACATGAGGGTAATGTTATTTGAGGTTTTGATATGGGGCATATCCTGAGGGAAATATCTTATAGATATCACAAACAAAGGTTATTCAAACATCCCCACATTAATAAGAGTCAAAAATAAGGCAATTTCGTCTAACTCCACCTTTTATCCTTTTGGGTCATGATTTTTGTAACCTTCCGGAATGTGACATAAGCTTACAAAAGCAAGCATGCTAAGTTCAAAGCAGTAACTTCTTTTGATGTTTTTTGTAAAATGATCAGAATCTTCTTCAAAATTGCAAAAAATTCTGCTGGGAAACAAGTCTTTTTTCTATTTCTTTCCGACCCATATTTCACAAAATTCAATATTTTTGAAAAGATAACAAACACTCTAGTATCCAACTTCCGGTCGCAAAGAATTGAAATACAGCGTTTAATTTCAGAATTCCAATTTTATAGAACCAAACAAATTGCAATAGAAAGATGAAGTATTAGGCTATAATGGACATTTGAGATCTGTTGCAGAAAAGAAAAGTATAATTTCATTTGAAGGGTGGTCAATTTATTTTGTGTGTGTTAGTGTAAAATGTTTGACACAAGTGGCAGTTGTAAAGTACCGTAGGTGATCACATGTTTCTATATTTGTAGCCTCCACAGAAGTCCCCCACTCTAACAGACTGGCTCCATTATCTCGCCTGCAGGTACAACAGTTCAGATGAAGACACAGACTCTTAGGACCAAAAATACTAATGGACAGATTTTAGTTTGATCGGTGTATCTTCTCTATTGACTACTACCCTCTGCCTAGTATAGACTATATCACCGTTTAGCAGCCCCGCCCCCACGACCAATGTCAGTGACATCTCTGGTCTTAAATCATTTCACACCTACCATGCTAACCTATTCTCAACCAATCAGTCAGCTTTAAGGAAAAACTGCTTAAATGCGTGCACAATAATTATGCGATTACGTCAGAGAAAATGACCATATAGAAAGTCGTCCGTATTTCGACGACGATCTCTGATTCACTCGGTGAGTTCAGAGATTTATTGAAAACTGAGAGTTTTTTATATAGACTATCCCAAATATCGGAAGACTAGAAAGATTTGTGAAATCTTTCTGTTTCTTCATATTTTTCAAACATCTGGAATTAAAAAGATTTATTTTGATGTCTTACTATTTAATTAGAAAAGAAGTCAGAGAAATGATAAAATAATTGAAAATAAGATTATGAAAATACCCCTGTATTAAAACATCTTGTTATTGATTTGTAGCTTAATGTAACAAGGGATGTTTCCTATCATTAGTAATTCCTGTTTGACACTTAAGTACAACTGGTTTAGATATTTATACATGTCATTTATTGTATAATTGTATTATTTTTACATCATAAAATGTTGTTCATTAATTAATGTGTGTTGACAACAGAATTATTCTCTCATACTTGTAGTAACATCGTTTTATGTCATACATAATACTGTACCAGATTTTCTCTTAACAAGGCCACTGGCTTCAACATGAATTCAAAGGCATTTTTAATTTTAATGTTTTCCCTTGGAATTAAAGGCACATGTGGCTTTCAGAAAACATCCACTTGGGATTTATTTGAAAAACAGACAAAAGCCAGCATGGAACAGTTGCCAAGGGGTCACATTTTAAAAAATCTAAGGGGATCATGTTTGACAACTTTGATCCAAAAATGGCCAAAACCACTTAAAAGTGCTCAGAATGGTAAAGAAACTGCTTGATTTTGAAAGAATTTTTGGCCAGGGAACCTCCCTGACTATCATGGGCCTGACTTACTATCTAGCAAATATGCAGCATTGAATGAATGTTGTGGATTGTGGATGGCCAAAACAAAAATAGGGACAGATCTTTGAACAGTTCCTCACTGAACAGGCTTGATGACTGAAAAATTGCTAATCATCCTTGGGCAGTATTATTATGGCAAGCACATTTAACCATCTAATGAGCCGGCCTTATTATGAGAAATCCTGGTACTAATGATACGATACATAGTGAGTATTATAATAATTTACATTTAACAGCACATACTAAATTATTATGTACAGTGAATTTGTACATCATGTGCCTAATATCGACTACATCATATATTTTTACACTTGGAGTGTTAAAGTTGTACATATTTATTGAGAATAACGAGAATATATCTACATTTAAGTGCTAATTATAATGAAATGAGTATTTACTTATGATTTTTAAGGTAATATAAAATAACTGGTGATACACGATGTCGACTCTCATAGAAAACAACTAACCTTTCGAAAATATTCAGTTAATTGTAAAAGAAGACTTCCTCAAGTGTGAAACTTTAAATAGAATATATCTGTCCATACTGTATTTTGGATTTAAACCTACTGCAAAATATGTATATTTTTAATTTTAAAAAGAGATTGTAAATACCCTGAACTGAGTTAAACCTCAGATGCCCTAAGACATACACCAACATGAGGTGTTCTCTCCATTCATTTACATGTACATGTACCTAATTTGTGCATTCGAGTCTATGGCTCTTTAACCTCTTGAATCCTAGGCCCTAAAATCATTTGAAATCAGAGAATTTTTCATTTTTGTCACCACTTGACATGCTACTACATACCTATACAACTTTAGATACTCAACTTAGTATTATTACACGGCAGAGATCATTTCTACAATTTTTAAAACAATTTTTGTGTAAATTGAATTAATGAAAATTGTTCAAATGAGAGTAATTTTAGTGGAAAATTTGTGACCGTCACTATGGGTTTCAAGGTCATTTCTGAGGTGACAAGAAATCCGTCACTCCAGGTAGTCAAGAGGTTAATCATATTGATGAAACTTTAATAAGTCCCTACCACAATTTTTATTTGTTATGGTTCAGTAGTTTTTGCCAATATTTCCTTAAACTGATTTTTAACCTATAGGGCCTGGTTGTCATCATAGGCCTCATTTACATGTTGAGTTGCCTTGGGGGTCTCTGCCGCCTTTGAGGTCTTTGTGGTTTGAAGTTCAGGGGGTGCTTCAGGGTTCAGCTTATAATCAACCTTTTCACTCATGCCTCTGAAGTTGGTCCACAGGTCCTGGAAAAGCATCATCAATAAAACCGAGATTGGCAGTATATCCAGGAACTATTTCTTTGCTTAATGATTAAGATAATATAAAAATGAAATAATCTAAATTCGAACCCTTTGGTATTAAAAGCTAAGGATCAGAATTGTATTTTTATGGATTCCACTTATTGTTAAATTACATAACATTACACGGTGGCTCAAAAAACTGCCCAAATTGTAATAATTTCTTAACATACATTGCATATTCAATTACCCTGATTTTTTGTTGGATTCTTTTTTGGATCTCCCTGGATATATCTTTGAGGTTTCAATTAGATACCCCCCTATTATTATAGGTTATGCTATCACAAAATCTATCACAAGCTTCCATAACAGCCATAACTTTTGGCCAATCATATTATAGAGCTTCCCCTCATTTTTTGTGTCTCGTGTAAGATATTTTCTAAATTCGTTGAATATTATACTATAAGAACATGTAATTTCTCTTTCACACAAGGGATATATGGCCATAACAGCTTGATCAAGCTTATGTTAAATGCAAAGCTAAGCCATTTGTTATCTACATTCAATTTAAAAAAGACAAATATGGATGCATAAATGTTACAAAAATCTTTGCATGACCATAGAACATTCACTTTAAGACCTGCAGAGATTTGTCCAATGTACATGTATTTTTGGTACTATAGCAGCCAAATATTAAGCAATGAAATATACAGGTACATGTATATAAATAGTGAACAATTAAATCTTTACATTAATATCCACCATTGATTAAATCCACTGGTCTTCATTGACATTTGTTGCTGATGTAGCAGTGCTGTTCATATTGCCATTGGTGTCATGGACAGTTTCTTTCATATTGTGCCCATCCTTTTTACTTGATTGTTTAAAGTCATCCCATAATTCCTGTGAATGGAGTGAATGCAAAGCTATTTTAGTTTTAACCAGGTGTATATTTTACATTGGTAGTCCTGCATCAAGTCTCTAAGGTTGCCCCTCCCCCATTTTATCATACCTGAATAAGGTATGATATCAGGCCCGTAGCCAGGATTTGCCAAGGGGGGGGGGGTTCAGTTTTCAAAAATTTCCAGGGGGGGTTCACATTTGACAATTTTGGCCCAAATATGGCTAAAATCACATGAGAAGTGCTCAAAATGGTGAAAAACTGCATGATTTTGAAAGAAATTTTGGCCAGGGGGGGGGGGTTCGCCCGAACCCTGCGAACCCCCCCTGGCTACGGGCCTGGATATTGTTGTCATATTGTTGTAAATAGCAGGCAGTGTGGTGGCATCATAGCTTCTTTGTACAGTATGTGCATTTCCAAATCTGATTTGATCACTTTTCTTAGAAAAAATCTGAGTAGTTTTTTTAGCATCCTTGGGGGCTATATTTTTAGGGATGCTGATCAAAATTTGGGGGTATGATGTTACCTTGTCTCTCTGAAGTTCACTTTAGGGGAATACAATTGTGGGATTGGAGACTTGATGATACAGTAGACTACTAGCCTGTCTTAGTCATGTATGTTAATTAGCATAGGTAGTTTTCATTTTCAATTAAAAAGCAATATTAAAGGCAATACTAGTATACAAAAATATTTAACGCCAGGCTATACTACAGTATATAATGTACAAAAAATTGACCCATTTTAGTATTGCTAGGGTTGATTAGTAAATATTTAGGACTATTCTATACATAAAAAAATTAATATATGCTATACTAATACATATCACTATCCAGTAGTGAGTAAACTAATGGTAAGCAGTTACTGCAGTTGTTAGAGAGACCTACCCTGTTAGATTTAATCTGTATTCCTGTATAATCTTCTGGTAGCACCCACATCTGGTCATCATCGAATAAATGTTCCCCATGAGGTTGGTTCCAGATTGGAAGACGTAGTATGAACCCTGTAAGGAAGAAAACCCTCTTATTATACTATAATAGCACATTCTACATAGAATGAGCGATGTAAGGAGTAAAACGCTGTTATATTGTACTAGCTCCTTGTAAATAATATAAACCCTGCAAGGAGTAAAACGTTGTTATACATGTATTATACTGCACAATATGCATAGTATGAACCCTGCAAGGAGTAAAACCCTGTTATACAATACTACACTGTAGGTATTATGAGCGCGGCATGAGTAAAACCCAGTTATTACACTATACTTTCACATTGTACATAATATGAACCCTGCAAGGAGTAAACCCCTGTTATACTGTAAAACATCATTATACTAGTATCAAGATTTCAAAAAGCATGACTAGGACTTAGTTTAGTGATTGGCTGATATCTGTAATATCGATATGGATCACTTGGTTTTACATACCTACAAGAATACCACTGACAACAGCTATAACTAATGTACACATTAGAGCTGCCATTTGGTACCCTCCTTGTGTGCCTGCACTACGGCCATAGCCAGGATCGATTCCCAAGTGGTCTAGATTTAACCCTGTGAGGTTTGTGGGAGTTCTGGCTGGGAATGTCTTGTACAAGCTGGAAAATATGAGAGGGGATTATCATGGAAAATAAAGAGAGTTTTGACACAATGCAGGAAAATGTAATAAGGGTTTGGCATAATGCAGGAAAATATAGAAAGAGTTTTGTCATAATGCAGGAAAATGTAGAAAGGGTTCTGTCATAAGATAGGAAAATATAGAAGGGTTTGTTTAAGACATGATAATAGAGAAAAGAATTTGTCACCAAACAGGAAAAGGATTTTGACATTAGTCAAGAAAATGTAGAAGTCGTAATGCAGGAAAATATAGAAGGGTAAAGGTAAAGAGAGTTGTCATAATGTGAGGAAATAATGTAGGGTTTATAATGCAGGGAAATATGTGTGGCTTGAGAAGGCTTGAAAATATTGGTACTCCAACTGTTTCTGCTTATACATATACCTGTACTCCTAGTTAGTGAAAATGTACCTTTCTTCTCCATAGATGTCTGGAGTTGCTAGAGCTGCCATTATTGCCCCTACAATTCCTGCTATCAGGCCAGGCATGCCATGGAGGTTGTTCACCCCACACGTGTCGTGGGTCTTCATCCTGACGGCTAGGAATGGCTGCAATAACATCATATAAAGCTTATGATTAGTTACACATACATTATTAGAGCGAAGATTGTCATGAGCTGATTAAGTGGGTATCTACTACCTTGGTCAACCAATGTCTTATTTACTATTCCAAATATAGATAGTAGTTTCTCCAAAGTAATAAATGTGATACTGACATTAATTTCAATATGCTTTTATATCAGAAATGTTGGGTATTTTTAGGAAATATGTTTTAATATGATACTGAAGAGAAAAAATCTGAATATGGACACAATTTTCAAAATGATGCTTCACTATCTCTATTTATACTACACAAAAGTTATAACTTAACAAAACATGCATATATTATCATGCACGATGCATGTACATGTTAGCATGCATGGTGCATGTACATGTTAGAATGCATGGTGCATGCAAGTGTTAGCATGCATGGTACATGTACATGTTGTAATGCATTGTGCATGTAGATGTTAGAATGCACGATGCATGTACATGTTAGAATGCATGGTGCATGTACATGTTAGAATACATGGTGCATGTACATGTTAGAATGCATGGTGCATGTAGATTACATGTTAGAATAAATTGTGTATGTACATGTTAGAATACATGCATAGTGCATGTACATGTTAGAATACATGCTGCATGTACATGTTAGAATGCATGGTACATGCAAGTGTTAGCATGCATGGTGCATGTAGAGTACATGTTAGAATACATTGTGCTTGCACATGTTAGAATACATTGTGCATGTACATGTTAGAATGCATAGTGCATGTACATGTTAGATTGCATGGTGCATATACATTTTAGCATGTGTCGTGCATGTATATGTTAGACGAGGTTTCTTATGTTACACGGCTAAAAAGTTGCTAAATATGACATTGCCATGTCATGAAGGGTCTTTAAATACACGAGCTTGTATTTTTTATGTTATGTATCGAAACAACTCATGTCAAAAGAAGTAAAGGGTTTCCAAATATTACGCTGCCCTCATCGATTAAGAAGCATCGAGGATATGTTTGTTTAGAAGTGATACCTCGAGGTATTTCAGTCCCAATGTTGCTACTGCTCCCGCTACACACCCTACGAGAATAGAGCCATATGGGTGGAGCATCAAATCTGCCGAGGTTCCCACTGCGACACCAGCCGCAATCGTTGCGTTTTGTATGTGGTCCTGAACAAAACAATCGTGTACAAGACATTCAAGGGTCGTGCTTTGAGAAATAGTAGAGTATCGCTCATGTCAATATGATGTATTTTAAGTTAAATGTATCGAATTGTGGCATGGGTTACTTGTGTTTCCTAAAAATGAAACCGTTGATTTCCCTTGTGAAAGGTTGAGAAAAAGAAGACCACTTTTATTTTCCTCGAGAGACGTGTTATACATGTTACATATTATATATAAGATTATACAACACGAGCCCCGAGGTGCAATATACACCCCGTGCAACACACACCATCTGTGATGGGAACAAAGCAGTTTCCCATGTGAAGGCTGCATTTTTGCAAGTGTGATAGACATAGAAAAATTCTGTGAAGTTGATATCATTCCTTTCGTCGTGGGGTCAATATCTGCAATCTGTGTGCTTCAAATCATTAACCATTTATGGGTGCAACCTCTCTGTGATGTGTCTAAATACTTTACCCCATGAAGGAACTTAATTCCAAGTGTGGCGACACACCCTGCCACTGCACCTACTAATACAGCCCCATAAGGGTGGAGCATCATGTCGGCTGGTGTGCCAACTGCAACGCCCGCTGCTATCGTACAGTTCTGGACATGTCCCTTAACACCGATATCAATAATCATTTACAATAACCTGATAACACCGCGAATTAATGGCGTTTCGATTGAAGGTTAAGAGTATAATAACCATCTTATTGAAACATTTTTGGTTTATATCGTGGTCGCCAAATGAATACTGAACATTTACGTGAATATAAAACGTCGTGTTTAATCGTACTGCGCCTTAATCTGCTGCGGAGACTGATCGGCCATCTCAAGTACGTTGTCAAATCAGGCCTACTTGAAAAATTATACAGTAAAACCTGTCTTAATGAACACCTCTGTCGAGTGAACACCTGTTTCTCGTGGACACCCTTTCTTCGCACAAACTCTACTGACTTCTGCATAGATAACATCCCTCCCCCTCCTCCCTGTAATGAACACGTACCAACACTTGTCACTGTACTCGAACGTTTTTTCACGGCAAGAAAATGTTCAACACACAGGTTTTACTGTATACATAAAGAATAATAATTAATATTTTTGATATGATATGTTACAACCATGTCAGTCCCACCTGGAATTATAAAAAGAAAACATTATGAATATAATGATAAATATGTTATTTAAATCTAATATGAAAAGAAATAAGCCAATCTCTAGCTTGTCTATTCAAAAAGTTACACTATAGCGTCGCACATAACTTTGTACACATATAACTCATATTTTTTGTTGACATTTGGGGAAAATATAACTTACAATTTCAAACCTGCTTTTCTTATCAACGAGGGATGAGACTGCGAACGACATGATGACCCCAGCAGAGAGGGCAAAGTATGTGTTGATGACAGCCCTGTAGCGTCCATCGTCAGTGGCCGACACAACGCTGTTGAAACTAGGCCAGAACACCCAAAGGAACAGGGTCCCTAGATGAAGAAGAAATGATTTCCATTCGTATGTGACTTGGTGATATCTGTAAAGGGTATACAGTAGTTGTGCCATCTACTGTAATTGTTAACTACAATTTTTCCAACTCAATATCCATCCAATCTTTGACGTAAGAACCCATATTTTAGTCAAATTCTGGTCATTGCTGTTTCCAGGATACTGAACTGAGTTTCAGTTTTTGGCCAATTTTTCCCATGTGTGATTTGAACCATGATACTTGGTAAATTAATGTAACTTTGGAATAGCTTTAAAATGATATATGACACATATTATGGAGACATCGGTATATGTCTGCCTAGGAGGGAGATCCCATACTTTCGGTACACCCTTTTATTCTATTCTACATATTAAACTATTATAAGGGAATAAGTTTGTGAATATGAACTCAAAGTTCGCTAGTGTTAACCACTGTAAGGTATCTGTCCTTTTCACAGAGGAACAACTCCAAGGGTAATGTCATAGTGTAATACTGTACCTATCATTGAGAAATGGTCGGAGTGGTAGCAAGGGGCCCATTTGTGATGATCATGAATCTCATCGTGAAGCTCGTCGTTGTACAATACACGTGCAACAGCAATACCAAAGTAAGCCCCGAATGCGTGGACGAACATGGATCCTCCAACATCAGTTACCTGAACAGAATACCATGAGAAACTCAATACACATGTATAGTTAGAGGATGTATCTTCCGAGAAATGGTATTTTCTATGTATCATTTTATTATTTAAAGACTCGGGGGCATCTAGCCTTGCCTTAGTCTGTATTTTCTTTTACTCATTTCGAATTCAATACCATTGTTTATCAATGATATAACACGTATATGGGAAGTTGTTAACGTTATGTCCAACATGTCCATCTTAACCGAATCTGAGGCAAATCCTATCCAAATGGATCATGCTTAAATACTCACCTTGAAGACTTTAAGCCCCAGATATTCGTTGGCCTGGAAAACTACTATTTCAAAGAAGGCCATGATGATAGCCTGCACCAAGCTGACTTTGCCTAGCACTGCACCAAATGAGATCAGCACAGCAGCTGCCGCGAAATCAGCTGTTAATAAACTGAAGTAAAGATGTACATTTTCAGTTTACTGATCATCAGGTCATACAGTAAGAGATGTGTTTGGTTTCTTGTTTCTTACTGATGTTTGTTGAGGATGCATCGCTTTCAATGAATGCACCAATAAGACATATATCAAGAATAAAACTCAAACTCAAAAACATTGATTTAGCTCAAATTGCGTTTGGCTTACAAACTCCAGTTTCAAGGTCCATTAAATGTTAAAAGATAAAACAACATTGAGATAAGACTTACGTTTCCATGTTGACTACGATCATGTTCCTCTCGTTAAGATGAAAGAATCCAATGATGAGGGTGGCCCATTGTAGGACAAACGCTGCCACCAACATATTCAACCCAACGGCGCTATAGCCATAACGCTTCAAGAACGTCATCAAGAAGCCGAAGCCAATGAATATCATAACGTGGACATCTTGGAACACTGGAATAAAAACGAACAATTTCTATCTCGGATTTGTAGGCTATTATCACAGGTCATGAAAGTCATTCCCGAATCAAATCCAAAATTGATTAGGACACACACATGACTGTACATCTAATGGCTGTACATCATGTGGGCTATAACAGCCCTCGGAAATCAGGTTCTCATTTGGCGCTTGGGCGCTGGTGGTCTTGATCGGAATCCCATCCACAAGTTGCTTCGCTCTTATCAAGACCTAATAGTTGTAAAGTAGATGCATCCCAATCTATCAAGGTATTAAGCAATACACTCGATGATGAATGAATAACAAATATCATGAGATTAGAGTTGAAAGCCCATGCAAATATCAAAGAACAAATACAAACATCAAAGAACATAGAAGGTGAGTTGATCTGCATTTTAAAAACGGTCGAGGCAATTAATATATATGTTCAACCCAGAGGCCTGATGAAAGCTCCACAAGCCTGCGCAATATATGCAACCCACTGCGGTACCGCTATTTCCAATTCACAAAGGGACCGCCCCAAGGGGACCACAAAGTCAGCATCACCGCAGATATCTTGTGGTACCGCGGAAATTACGTCATTATCGTGCGGTACCTCTGTACTAACCGCAAGTCACTCTCTGAATGAAACTAGCATAAGTTTCATCAAGGAAGGGAAACTCAAAACTGCAAACACCCTAAAACCACAACCCAAGTCAAACATTCATGTACAAGTTGTAAGTCTGCAAAAAATGTCACTTATTTATTTTTTAAGTTTAGTTTGGATCAAAATTGATTTAAAAATACAATGTATTTTATATCAAAATCAAAAGATGTACGTAATGTTGATAGCTTGCGAAGATATTTTCGTGATTAATATTAAAGGGTATAATGGCATTTGGTATAACGCCTTCGGTACAATGCGCGTCGGTATAATGGGTTTCGGTATAATGCGTGTCGGTATAATGGGTTTCGGTATAATGCGCGGACCCCGTGGATAGTACGAGTTTCTCCAAGGAAAAATGATGTTTAGATATTTTTTGAAGATTGCAATCTTCACGAGTTATTGGCCACTGGCGGATCAGGGGGGGGGGGGGGATGCGTATGCATTACCAAAACAGGACCTTAAAATTCTAACAACTTTTGGTTTTAAGGTTTATTAACTTTTTAAATGTATTCTAATGATTACTCTCACAATTGGATCTCTATCACTCTGCCGCATTGATAACTTTCATGTTCCACTGTCCTAAATAGTGAGAGCAAACAAATTAGTAAATGAAATAAATATATTAGATAATACGTATTGCAATGTGTTTAATATGTTTATTCTTAGAACTCACACTGGTTCTCAGTTATCGGTGTTAACATAATAGTTTTGGTCTATCTCAAGTGGTATACATAGATAGCAAATGGTAATATATCTCTTTGAAGTTGTACACCTGCAGGCCGCACGATGCGCTTGTTTGTCTGACGCGGAAGGTCAAGCGTTCGGTACGGTTAAAGAAATGCACTCCGTCAGTCTGTCCGTCTTGATTGTAACCCAAGCATCAGTGGGCCGATTTTGCTCTTGTATTTGATGGAAATGCCTTATCGTGCGACGTGATATTATTATAAATGGGGAAATTTATCCTCTTGGAATATTGCATTTAGTGTAGTATTATATTATGTTGCATTTTGTCTGCAAATTCAATCGAAAGTAATGCTTTTAGGCCGACATTAAGAAAACATTCTTTAAAGGCCCCATGTAAAGGTCAAACCACTTTGGCTTGTATTGTACATAGTAACAAAATGTTTCAATTTCAAAATGTTGTTTTCTGGACTTTTTTCGAAAAGTTCGAAAATGCTGGTTGTCACACATACTGATATGCAATAGTTTACACCAAGGCAAAGCGTCTATTCTAATTTATTTTGAGTTAGAAAAATAAAGATGATTTGATGAAAATTAAGAGAGATATTAACTCACAATCGCAGCAAAGTAAAGGCATTTTGAAGTTTGGGTTTTCATTAAAAGCAATGGTACAGAAATGAAAGCACAAGAACACTTCTTTTCAGCTTAGGAAGACGATGGATACCAGATAAAGTATTATTTTATTTTGGTATAAAGAAAAGATTCATACAAGAAAAATTATGAATTTTGAAAATTACGCACCTTATATGAACCTCAGATGAACTTAAACAAGTAGAAATAAATGTTTTCAACTCAACCGGAAAAAAGCTTCAAACTAATCATATTTACAATAAGCATTTATTTTAGATTGAATTATTATTGTATCATCCTTCATTCAAAGGACTTCATTTATTACTCAATTATGGAAAGAAGTGAAATACCCTTGGACCAAGGATGTTGTTGTATCGCCTTCATCAACTGGATATGCTACTCCGTTGCGTTGCCATTGTCCCGTTATTGTAAACATTTTATTTGATTATTGATAACCATTTATTAAGTAATAACAATTGACCATTCCAAATTGCCTTTAATTGTTTCAAAATTATCTCTTTCTCTAATACGGGCTTCCGTTCCATAAGAATTGCTCAAACACAGCTGGGCATTCAAGATTGTTTATAACATTAATGTATCTATAATGCAGATAATTACTATTTGATATCTAGACACTTTGATTAAAATGATGAGCCCAGGTGCAAAGGATTTGAGTGTGTATTATGTTGATCACTGTCCCTTGTAGCTCTGTAACCGTCCGGGGGTCAATGACCACCGGGGACAAAATCCAAGTACCCGCTAGCCATTGCTGCCAATAAGCCATAAATATAGAAAATATTTTTCCTCAGTTAGCTTAACATCTTGCAGTTAGCTTTTTATGTACGGTATAATGTGCAATAAAGTGCGTCCTCTTTTTGTGAGAGTTTCAGCAATCTTAATTTTTAAACGATCCTTCAAAAATTAGATTTAGAAGAGCATCAATATACAGACAATTAACATAGGCTTAGCCAAATTCAATTAACGCAACGTGTACAAAGTTTTGTTTTCTTAATTATTTTGTATTTTTTTCTATTTGGAATTGGACTGCGGTTTATGATTAAATTAAAAACAATCCCCAATAAAATGTTGATATTCTAGACGAAATGATTTATTATTACTATTGAAGTTGACATCTTCCTTAAATCCTAGAATCTGACTACTTCCTAAAATTTTAAAAGTATTTGAGATTATGGCATTGATAAAGGGCACTTTAGTTCAACATTAGCATTGTTTATCACAAAGCGGCTTATGACTTCTAATCTCAGTTCTTCGAAATACATGATAATTCAGAGTGACATCCTGTCTACAACTGTATATAAATCGAAGTGCCAGATTAAAGAGTGTCACAACAGCGACAGACGATCTGAACCAAAGAACACTCTGCAGCAAAAACAAACGCAGCGATTTATCGAACGTGACAATTCAAGATCCCGACGCTCACGGACGCAACATCCAGTATGGGGTCCATAACTTTTGCAGTGTGTCTTATTGTCATTCAGCAAGGTAAGCAAACGTTGGTCATTCAACTGTAATGATATTGTCAATTATGCGACGTAATCATTTTGTTTTGATGTTGAACCTTTGAATCATTACTTGAAACAACTGTTATATCTTCTATACTAGTACAGAAATTACTACAACTATTGTCAATGGCAAAAATGAATATTTATTTTACTTTGTTCTTCATATAAGGTCAAGTGGTTTAGATATTTCCTGAATGGTATAGAAGAAGTATAATCCGTCATTTCTTCACACTCATGGGATACATTTTGGAATATTTGGGGTTTGTTTTACCTTTGAATGATTATTGTCTTTAATGTTTCTTTTATTGTTTTTTTTTTGATATTCTTTATTTATTCGCTACTTGTTGTTGGGCGTCATTGGTATAGCGCATTCTTTGGTACAATGATAAGTTTCTCCGCTTACTTTTGTCCTACTTTGAGTCTGGCATTTTGACAAGTGTGTCAAATATTTAAGTAACTATTAATAACGATATTCTATATACGTAAGATGTGTACAATTTAACATAGTATGTTACTTATCTGCATTGTATCCATTAATGTCTTAAATGTGATTTGTTGTATGTACTACTGCACTGAATTTTTTCCATTGTGGCACTGTTTAAAAAGTGACAAATAAATAAACAATAATTAATAAACAAACAAAATTAAATTAGCATCCCAACCGGAGCCATGGGAATCGACTGTGAGAACATCGGTTTAAATCAGTGCAAATAATCTACATGATACAGCAAGTAACTTACATTTATAGTGTATGGTTATCCGTAGTTACAATTGACTTCAAAGTAGAAACCAACGTTCTTCACATGTAAGTGAAGTAAACAATGCCTTCAGATCAAGAACCTTTCATAAAACTCGTACAGCGAGTGTCGAAATGTAAATTCATTAATAGTGTTTTTTAAATGAATTTCTCGGACCCGCATTGGAGTGGTGTAAAAACTGTTTCCAAAACAGTGTAATAGCTTTATAATAAACAATATTCTATATTCCAGTAATTGCACAATGTCCTCCTCGTGTACCAGAATACTCGAAGCCCGAGGAAAACAAACTGTGGAGAATTAATACTCCCATGTATGACCTGATAATCTATGGTACAAAGCCTGGAGAAGAACTCATGCCATCAAAAGAATACAATGGTAAGTCATTCAGTTTGCCTATTTGGACAAGGTTTCAAATGGCACCCAGGTCATTGCCTGGGATGTTAAAAGTTTGTTCATTTCTCTCATTCTGATTATTCTTCTGAAAGTTCCTTTATAAGGCCAATGAAATGACGGGAATTGATTATACAAGTTGAAAACATATCTGTTGCACTAGATTGTGGTATTAAAAACAGAATTGGGATAATCTAATCGACATATAATATATTGAAAACTGATGATTTAAAATGCAACAATGTTCAAATTCATTGAAAATAAGAAAGCAAATGACCATATTCATTGTCAAATATAGGTGACTTTCAAATCGGGGAATTATCATGAAATAAAGTAAAAACTGTTGTACATGATAGATTCGAATGACCTGTAATGATGACGACAAAAACACCGAAGACAGTGATAATGCTAATATGTTCTTATCAAATATACTTGATATATGTTTGTGTAAAGGGCCTGGGATTATTGCTTTATGTTAAAAATATACATTTTGCACTTAACTTACGTTGTATATTTGTAGTTGCTGTTAGATCTCTTAACCCAAAGAAGTCTTTCCTGAAATTTCGACTGGTCTCCGAGTCCGAAGATGAAGTTTGTGGTTTCGGCAATTTCCGCCAAAAGCCGTATGACAAGTATCAAATATTGGATGAATGTCCTTTTATGATTACAAATCGAGTTGATAATAAAAAGCCAATTTCCAAAATAACAATTAGATGGACGACTCCTGAGTGTGGATGTGTCAGATTAAGGTATTAAAAATGTACAAATTTTTACAATATTTTCATGAAACATTTCATATGAAAATAATTTTAATTTTCATATATTTTAGATTGATAATTCTAGTACTTGAAAAAGTTAATATTATTTTCATTGAGTGTGATATGTTGTATGCTATCTCCATTTATCCATCGATCAGTAATAAATAATGCCAATTTCTTTGAATATGATCTCATACAGTATTTATCTCCATGATGTTTGATTTCAGCGCTGTTATTATCTCAGACGATGAGACCAGTCACATTGCCAACGATGACCATTTAACAAAGAGAGTATGTATACAAGGTAAAAAATAATACGATTACTTTATCGAACATTTATTTTTTCTCCACAATCTAAAGCTATATTTTATCTATACAGCTTCATCCTTTTCAAAATTATACATGGTCTTGCGGGCTATAAAGTAATTCAAATTCTTAATTGAGTAGTAATTTGGCTCCAGGATTTAATTCATGCATCGCCATTATCTGCCATGTCATTGCAATGTCATTTCTGTATTGTTTTCAAAGAGATACTCTTTCATATAATATGCAGATTTTAATACAAATAATTTTGCCCATCATTTCTATCAATATTATTTATAAACATCATTTCTTCACTGCTGGAACTAAGGTACATTTTGCCGAAAGAAATAAATTCATATCCAACGCATTTTATATCGCAGGTGAGCCCAAAATACCAGAGAAATCTGTCAGTCATGTTGTACCGTCTCCGATGACTGATGATGTCAGCGACCCAGATGTACAGAGTGATGAAAAGGAAATGATTGGCCTTGAAGATGAGGAATCACATTATGGCGACGTGGATGATGATGAGGATGCAATGGTTAACAAAACAGCTGAAACACATTTAGACAATGCAAAGGGTACGATAAAAAGGACTGGTAATGGCAACCCTGGTGGAATTAGGAGAAATATAGAACGGGGTATACAGGCAGTCAAAAGGGTCTTTAAACCAGATATGGGAAGATTGCAACCACACAGGGGACAAAGAATGAGACAAGGACACAGACACCATGAGGTACATATCAAAATAATAATCAATCTGTCTGATGTATGTAAGTAAACCTATGAAAATTAAGTATTTTGTAGACATTTGAGCAACGTGGTTATTATGTTGATGAGGTATCTTGCAAGACATTGATGAATGGCTGGTTCAAAAAATTGTTTCTGCTCATTGATTTGATATAATCATATACATTGTAATATTAATTTTAGAGAAGCAAAGACTGGAGTGAAAGAGTGGAGCACATGTGTTCAAAGATTAAAGAAGAACGTGACATAGAGATGGGTACCTTAAATCGATGGGGATGGAAAGTCATGTGGCACCGTATTGAACAGTTCTGGGCAAAGTTAAATGGGGATGAAGCGACAGACATTGACGAGATAGCTCAGGAAAATCTGAATGCAACCCAAAAATGTTGTACTCAGGTATGTGGTGTTATAACTAAAGATAAAGAACCTTACATGTAAACTTATGTACTGACTTGTTGATTGTATATAATAAGTGAACAACGGTCATTTTATTTCATCTTTTAAAATAAATCACACGATTCACTTTAAAACATTAATGGACATTAATATATGATGTTGTAGGCTGATGATGCACGACTAGATTGTTTCCAAGGTCTAAAGGAACGGAGGGTAGACATGATGTGCGAGAAGGGACTACCTACAAATAGTGGAAGATGGATCAAGCCCAGCCTAAATATTGCTATTGAAAAATGCTGTGATTTTAAAGGTAAAATAGTTAGTAGTACTTGCTTACTATCTAGGGAATACACCCAACTAAATACCCTGGCTTAACCAATTGTAAACGAGACCAAAAGTATTTCTAACAAGGCACAATTTTCTAAGTAGGTTTGTATATTCATGTTATAAACAGAATACACATGAACGTGTCTTGAATTATCCATTTGTCCAGGTGAGGATCGTTATGACTGCTTCAATAACACCAAACAAGAATGGAAGGCTAACGCTAAAATGACTAACACTCGATGGAGAAAGGAGAGTTCTGATAAGTACTCGAAAGAATCTGAAGACACACTAACATCCAGATCATCATCAAGGTCATCATCAGCAGAATCCTCATCAGAAATATCAGCAATCTCCGACGAAGAACTTGATAATGCCATTGACGTAGTGGTGGATGATATTGATGAACTGGAATTCTCCGAGGATGAACTAACGATAGATGATTTAAAAGAAGCAGAATATGACACAGTTGATGAACTTGATGAGAGTGTTGAGGTCACTGATGGTGTCAGCGAGGATTCCAGTGACGAAGTGAAGAATCCACAGGGCATGAGACGAAAACATAATCACCACCCAAGACATAGAGGAAGAGGAATGGGTGAGCAGGTTCAATTCAAAAATAAAAAAGTTAAGGTTGCATTTTAAGTGTAAGTTGACAAATCAAAAACAAGAGTAAGAAACTTAAAGTGCAATTAAAATGAAAAATAAGATCATGCTTCGGGAAATATGACATAATATAATTACATAAATTGATATTTATTTCAGCAAAGATATTGAAGCATTACTGCTGCAGAGCAGGATTTATCACAGCAAAGAAGAGCAAAAGAACTGTAGTGTGCAAGAACAGAGCCAAGGGTTTTGACATGAAGTTGCGAAGGTTAACAGGAATGGCCAAGAGAATCTGTTTCGTATCATTCAATAAATGCTGCAGCAAAATTTCAACACCAAAGTAAGCCTTGGTATTTTAAATTTGATAATAGTTTTTTGACACTTAACTGATATAATTTATTTCTGTTTGGAAATGCTGTTTGTAAGGTTAAATTTTACCATTATTAGGCTAATCATTACAGATTATTTAACCATTTCTTATCATGTCTAGTTATATGTAAAGTAAAGCCTCTCAATAAACTAGACGCTTCTCAACAATATTACCATAGTTAATCTTAAATAAAAACAATTGAATTTTATTTTTCACAGGCCTACAACAATAACAGTTAATCCATCAAACACAGCAACTGCAATCTACAAGACTACAACAGAGGTAAAGTGTATTGATATAAAACAGAATCTTAAGATGTTCTGGACAAATCATTTGATTCTGGACTTGTCATATTTTTTTCAACGAAATCACATCCAAGGGTTGAATTCAACCAGTCCAGAATCAAATGATTTGTCCAGAACCTCTTAAGATCCTGTTATAAGATAAAATATAATTCATTTCATCTATGAGCAAATGAGTTTTACAATCATTACCCATCAAGGTTGGATTTTATTCAGCGAGCCAGACAACAACAGGAATTAATTACAGTGGAACAGTCTTTCTATCATTACGTAATTCGAATTAGCCTTTTTTTAATTCATTTCAAATTTAAAGCCCATTTAGACAGTTGCATTTTCTTTAAATTAGGAAGAAGATTTAGAGGAAGTTGCCAATGAAATCTCTGAAATAGAGTTCTCCGGAGGTGAGATCAGTGATGCCGATATAGAGCAAGCAGAAAGGGAAAGTGTTGCAGAGCTGGAAGCTGATGACACAGATGATGAACAGGAAGAGAGAAAAATACAGAAAGATACTAGACGACCAATTAAAGGTGAACATAAGAAAGAACACCATCGTGGACGTAAAGGAAAAAGTAAGTGTTTGAAAGGATAACAATTTAATCAAGAAATAACAATAATTAAAAATATGTCATTTAACACACAGTGTCAGTCAAACAGACAAGCATTAATGTTGTGATGATTTTGGAGGAATTAAAATAAAAAAACGATAGAATGTAAGCAAGTTTAATGGCATAACAAATCTCCAGTGATTGAAAGGTACAGTTCAGTGAAACGTATAGTAACTGTTTCTGATATTATCCTAGAATATAGTGTTATATAGGTCTCACTCAATGAATAATATTTTGTATTACAGAAATACCTATGCTGAAAAGAAAATGTTGTAGAGCAGGACGCATGCAGGCTAGAAAGGAGAATATAAGCGAGATAGCGGTCTGCAAGAGTGATGCATTTGGCTTCTTGAAGAGACTAAAGAGAGTTGGACCATTCGCAAAGAGGATTTGTTTCTTCAGCTTCAAAAAATGTTGTAGTTATGAACCTAGGTGGGTCTAATTTTGGAATTGTTGTAACTTAGGATTTAGTGTCAAGTTATGAACTAAAAGCAGAGATTTTTTCTAAGAATTGTTAGCTACAGTGTAAAAATCGACCCCAGATCTAATTTGAGGGAATATGGATATACTAATATTTTTTAAGTCAAGCTCCTTATTCAGTTTTCATTGTTCAACTGTTTGAAATAGTTCGAACTTTCAGTAGGACCTGCCTATTGAACTATCTATCAGCATTTCTTGAGTCGCTTCAGTTCTTCATGTATCAACTATCTTCACTCTTAAAGTGATTCCTTGACAATTTCAGGACAACAACAACTACTACACCTTCTACCCATAAGCCTACAACTACAACTACATCAGAATCCTCACCAGACATATCCTTATCAGCCTCTAACGAAGAACTAGATAATTTCATTAACATTATGATGAATGAAATTAATGAACTGGAATTCACAGAGGATGAACTAACAATAGATGATCTAAAAGAAGCAGAAGACGACACAGTTGATGAGCTTGATGAGAGTGTCGAAATCACTGATATTGACAGCGATGAAGATGACCTCAGTGAGGACACTGAGAAACCATCGGGCATGAGACGAAAACATAAAAACCACCCAAGATACAGAGGAATGGGAAGAGGTGAGCAGGATCAACTTTAACAAATCAAAAAAACTAATCAATAAGTTGCTTATTCGGAAAGGTCATGTTAAAACATTAAGTGTAAGATCCACAAATCAGAAACAATAATTGAAGACTTATAATGCCATTATAAACAATAGTAATACGTTTCAAATGGTGATGAAATATGACACAATATAATTATATACATTTATTTTTATTTCAGCAAAAACATTGAAGAATTTCTGCTGTAGAGCAGGATTCATCATAGCAAAGATAAGCAACAAAACCGCAGTATGCAGGAACAGAGCCAAACATTTTGTCATGAAATTCAGAAGGTTGGCAGGAATGGCCAGGAGAATTTGTTTCATATCATTCAATAAATGCTGCAGTAAAATGTCACCTCCAAAGTAAGCTTTGATACTTTATATTAATTATCATTTTTAGGTCACCAAAATGATGTGTGAATATTATCTCCCAGTTTAGGAAACAACATAAATAGCAAACAGCAAAACAAAACAATTGTGTCAATTTTAACCCTCTATATGTTGGAAAACGTATTGAAATCTATCTTACTCAGTAAGAATACCTTTGCTCAGCCTGATCTTGTCCAATAGGTCACTCTTTCAGTAGAACCAATGCATTTAGCTATGTATCAGAATTTCCCGAGTCGTTTCAGTTCATGTATCATTGTCACGTATTATTGTCGTGTTTAAAGTGATTCCTTGACAATTTCAGGACAACAACACCTACTTCGTCTCCTACTCATATGCCTCCAACTGTTATGACATCAGAATCCTCATCAGAAATACCCTTATCAGGCTCCAACGAAGAACTTGATAATGCCATTGACGTTGTGGTGGATGATATTGATGAACTGGAATTCTCAGAGGATGAACTAACGATAGATGATTTAAAAGAAGCAGAAGATGACACAGTTGATGAACTTGATGAGAGAGTTGGGGCCACCCATGGTGACAGCGATAATGCTGACTCTAGTGAGGAAGTGAAGAAACCACAGGGCATGATACGAAAACATAATCACCACCCAAGACAAAGAGGAAGAGGAATGGGTGAGCAGGTTCAATTCAAAAAATGAAAAAATAAAAGTTGCATTTTAAGTGTAAGTTGACAAATCATTAACAAGAGTAAGAAACTTAAAGTGCAATTAAAATGAAAAATAAGAATTTGCTATAATTACATTAATTAATATTTATTTCAGCAAAGATATTGAAGCATTACTGCTGCAGAGCAGGATTTATCACAGCAAAGAAGAGCAAGAGAACTGTAGTGTGCAAGAACAGAGCCAAGGGTTTTGACATGAAGTTGCGAAGGTTAACAGGAATGGCCAAGAGAATCTGTTTCGTATCATTCAATAAATGCTGCAGCAAAATTTCACCACCAAAGTAAGCCTTGGTATTTTAAATTTGATAATGATTTTTTGTCACTAAACTGATAAAATTTATTTCTCAATTTGGAAAGGCTGTTTGTAAGGTTAAATTTTACCATTATTAGGCTAATCATTACAGATTATTTAACCATTTCTTATCATGTCTAATTATATGTAAAGTAAAGCCTCTCAATAAACTAGACGCTTCTCGACAATCTTACCATAGTTTATCTTAAATAAAAATAATTGAATTTTAATTTTCACAGGCCTACAACAATAACAGTTAATCCATCAATCATAGCAACTGCAATCTACAAGACTTCAACAGAGGTAAAGTGAATTGATATAATATATAATTCATTTCACCTATGAACAAATGAGTTTTGCAATCATTACCAATCAAGGTTAGATTGTATTCAGCCAGCCAGACAACAACAGGAATTAATTAGAATGGAACAGTCCTTCTAGCATTACATAATTCGAATTAGCCTTTTTTAAATTCATTTGAAATTTTAAAGCCCATTTAGACAGTTGCATTTTCTTTTATTTAGGAAGGAGATTTAGAAGAAGTTGCCAACGAAATCTCTGAAATAGAGTTCTCCGGAGGTGAGATCAGTGATGCCGATATAGAGCAAGCAGAAAGGGAAAGTGTTGCAGAGCTGGAAGCTGATGGCACAGATGATGAACAGGAAGAGAGAAAAATACAGAAAGATACTAGACGACCAATTAAGGGTGAATATAAGAAAGAACACCATCGAGGACGTAAAGGAAAAAGTAAGTGTTTGAAAGGATAACAATTCAATCAAGAAATAACAATAATTAAAAATATGTCATTTAACACACAGTGTCAGTCGAACAGACAAGCATTAATGTTGTGATGATTTTGGAGGAATTAAAATAAAAAAACGATAGAAAGTAAGCAAGTTTAATGGCATAACAAATCTCCAGTGATTGAAAGGTACAGTTCAGTGAAACGGATAGTAACTGTTTCTGATATTATCCTAGAATATTGTGTTATATAGGTCTGACTCAATGAATAATATTTTGTATTACAGAAATACCTATGCTGAAAGGAAAATGTTGTAGAGCAGGACGCATGCAGGCTAGAAAGGAGAATACCAGCGAGATAGCAGTCTGCAAGAATGATGCATTTGGCTTCTTGAAGAGACTAAAGAGAGTTGGACCATTCGCAAAGAGGATTTGTTTCTTCAGCTTCAAAAAATGTTGTAGTTATGAACCTAGGTATGAACTAAAAGCAGAGATTTTTTCTAAGAATTGTTAGCTACAGTGTAAAAATCGACCCCAGATCTGATTTGAGGAAATATAGATATACTAATATTTTTAAAGTCAAGTTCCTTATGTTGAAGAATGAGAGCACTTTAGCTAAGCCTGATCTTTTGATGGATCTTATTCAGTTTTCATTGTTCAACTGTTTGAAATAGTTCTATGTGTCAGCATTTCTTGAGTCGCTTCAGTTCTTCATGTATCAACTATCTTCACTCTTAAAGTGATTCCTTGACAATTTTCAGGAGAACAACAACTACTACACCTTCTACCCATAAGCCTACAACTACAACTACATCAGAATCCTCACCAGACATATCCTTATCAGCCTCTAACGAAGAACTAGATAATTCCATTGACATTGTGATGAATAAAATTGATGAACTAGATTTCTCCGAGGATGATCTAACAATAGATGATCTAAAAGAAGCGGAAGACGACACAGTTGATGAGCTTGATGAGAGTGTCGAGATCACTGATATTGACAGCACTGAAGATGACCTCAGTGAGGACATGAAGAAACCATCGGGCATGAGACAAAAACATAAAAACCACCCAAGATACAGAGGAAGGGGAAGAGGTGAGCAAGATCAACTTTAAAAAATAAGAAAAACTAATCAATAAGTTACTTATTTGAAAAGGTCATGTTAAAACATTTAGTGTAAGATCGACAAATCAAAAACAATAATTGAAAATTTATAATGCAATTATAAACAATAGTAATACGTTTCAAATGGTGATGAAATATGACACAATATAATTATAAACATTTATTCTTATTTCAGCAAAGATATTGAAGAATTTCTGCTGTAGAGCAGGATTCATCATAGCAAAGATAAGCAACAAAACCGCAGAATGCAGGAACAGAGCCAATCATTTTGTTATGAAGTTCAGAAGGTTGGCAGGAATGGCCAAGAGAATTTGTTTCATATCATTCAATAAATGCTGCAGTAAAATGTCACCTCCAAAGTAAGTTTGATATTTTAAATTAATTATCATTCTTAGGTCACCGAAATGATGTCTGAAATCATTTCCAGGCTCGGGAAACAACATAAATAGCAAACAGCAAAACGAAACAATCGTGTCAATTTAAACATCTATATGTTGGAAAAAGTATTGATATCTATCTTACTTAGTTAGAGTACCTTTGCTCAGCCTGATCTTGTAAAATAGTTCACACTTTCAGGAGGACCAATGTATTTAGCTATGTATCAGAATTTCTTGAGTCGTTTCAGTTCTTCACGTGTCAATTATTTTCACTTTTTAAATGATTCCTTGACAATTTCAGGGCAACAACAACTTCATCTACTACCCATAAGCCTACAACTACAACCACATCAGAATCCTCATCAGATATAGCCCTATCAGCTTCCAACGAAGAATTATATAATTCCATTGACATTGTTATGGGTGGAATTGCTGAACTAGAATTCTCCGAGGATGAACTGACGATAGATGATCTAAAAGAAGCTGAAGATGACACAGTTGATGAACTTAATGAGAGAGTTGAGGCCACCCATGGTGACAGCGATAATGCTGACTCTAGTGAGGAAGTGAAGAAACCACGGGGCATGATACAAAAACATAAAAACCATCCAAGACACAGAGGAAGAGGGAGAGGTGAGCAAGCTCAATTTAGAAAATCAAAAACCTATTTTAATAAGTAGCTTTTTGCTTGAAAAGTTCATGTTAAAACATTAAGGTTAGATTGATAAATCATAGACAAGAGTTGAATACTTATAACGCAATTAAAATGAATAATGATAACATGTTTCAAAGGTGAGGAAATATGACACAACATAACTGTATTCATTCATAATTACATATTTCCCCAGGGAAATAAACAGGGAATAGAATTGATTAACTCAAAATCCATATCAGGTGAGGCCATATATTGACACGTGGGCTGTCGCCCTGTCAATATGATATTCTCCTTGACCAATATCACATTTCCCTTAAAATTCATATTCCATCACTCTGATTTAATGAACTTTATATACTCGTATTCATTTCAGCAAAGATATTGAAGCATTACTGCTGCAGAGCAGGATTCATCATTGCAAAGAAGAGCAAGAGGACTTCAGTGTGTAGGAACAGATCCAAAGATTTTGTCATGAAGTTCAGAAAGTTGGCAGGAATGGCCAGGAGAATCTGTTTCGTATCATTCAATAAATGCTGCAGCAAAATTTCTCCTCCAAGGTAAGCTTTATTATTTTGAACTCGATAATGTTTTTATCACCAAAATGATGCACGAATATTATTTCCCAATTTGGAAAACAAAATAACAGTATTAGGAAGCAATTTTGTAAATTTTGGGCCCCTCTATCCTATTAAAAAAACTTAGAACTTCTTCCCGATAAATGTAAAGAATCACTAAAATGATATAAACTTGGCATATTAGTGAGAAGAAAATCATCATTTGGGAATTTGTTTGCAATGTTGAAATTAACGATTTTCAGGCTTATTATTGCAAATTATTTAACCATTTCTTATCACGTAGAACATGTAATATGGAGAGGAAAGCCTTACAATAAACATAATGTTTCTGTGCAACCCTCTTATACTAAATCTTCAATAAAAAGGTTTAATTTTATTTTTACAGACTACCGACAACAACAGTTAAACCAGCCACCACCACAACGGCAATGTACAAGACTACCACAGAGGTAAGGTGTATTGATATAAAATACATTTATGTAAATAATATAGTCATCATAACCACCAAGGAAGAATTGCATTCAATGAACTAGACGACATCACTTCTTCAAGCATTACATATCATTCATATTATTCAATTTGAAAAAGTCATTTTGTTAAAGGCCCCGTGTAAAGTTTAAACCACTTTGGCTTATATTGTAGTCTTACCCAATGTTATCAAAGTGTGATATGTGAAACTTTTTTTTTAAATTTCAAAAAGTGGTTTTTGATAGACTTTTTGTTCCAAAATTTGTGAATTTATTTAAAACCAACTTTTAGAGGTCACTCATATCTTCTAATTAGCCACAATTCATACCAATGCATAGCATTCATCCTCCCATGTTTTTTGCCGAAAAAATTAAGAAAATTGGTTGATAAACAAGCGAGAAATGAACTTATCAGTGCATGAAAATGGTTCTGAGAAAAGTGCATTTCAAAATTTTAGTTCTCATAGAAACAAATGGTACAATGATATCTAAAACATAATTTATTCTTCCTTTTAACCTGGTTAGACAATCAACATTGGTTTTTTATGAAAGTCTAGCATATTTAGAAAAGATTGACATCGAAAAAAAAAATTTTTTGTTACCTTAGTGACATCACTAATGTTTCAAAATATTTTTGATAAGCTAAAACATTGAAGTGGCCCATTAAATATGACATTTTATTATTGAAATAGTGTGTCTTTTGTTCAATCTTTGCATTGGTGTTAAAAAGATAATCTTTTTCGAAATGCATTAAGAGATATTTGATGATTAAGAAATTTCAACTTTTTAAAAAAAATGGCGGGAAATTTGAATATTTGAGAAATGAAATGCTCACAACTTTTTTTTCCAAAATTTTTTTTTGTTCAAAAATCTCTAAAATCACTTTTTAAGTCCTAACAAATAGTAAATGAATTATAAAAAAATATTTTCAAACTTTAGACGGGGACTTTAATGAAAGCCCATTTAGACATTTGCAATTTCTTTTAATTAGGAAGAAGATTTAGAGGAAGTTGCCAATGAAATCTCTGAAATAGAGTTCTCCGGAGGTGAGATCAGTGATGCCGATATAGAGCAGGCAGAAAAGGAAAGTGTTGCTGAGCTGGAAGCTAATGACACAGATGATGAACAGGAGGGTGAGAGAATACAGAAAAACACGAGACAACAAATAAAGTGCACACATAAGAAAGAACACCATCGTGGACGTAAAGGAAAAAGTAAGTGTATGAAAGAATGATACACCAATCAAGAAGTGAAGATAATTCATAATAGGACATATTGTCAGTCTGACAGACAAACACTAATAAAATGACTACTTTCGAGAAATTCGAATCAAGAAATAATAGAATGTAAGCCGTTTAATGACAGAGGAAATCATCACTGGTTGAAACACAATTGCCATTGAACTGTTGAAACATATTGTGTACAATATCCGATGTAATACAAGAATGGAATACTATTCAGGTCTTTCAATCAATGAACAATAATTTATATTACAGAAATACCTCTGCTGAAGAGAAAATGTTGTAGAGCAGGACGCATGCAGGCCAGAAAGGAGAATACCAGCGAGATAGCAGTCTGCAAGAGTAATGCAATGGGCTTCTTGAAGAGACTAAAGAGAGTTGGACCATTCGCAAAGAGGATTTGTTTCTTCAGCTTTAAAAAATGTTGTAGTTACGAACCAAGGTAAGTAAAAAAGAACTAGCGTTGGTCTATTTTGGAATTGTCGTAACTAAGCATTTAGTAGCACGTCATTGTTGAACCAAAAGCCGAGATTTGTTTTCTCAGAATTGATAGCTATACATTTCAAAATCAGAGGAAATATTGATACACTAATAGCTTTGAAATGTCATGAAAGTGGCTTCTTATATTACCGAAAAGATTGCATTTAATTGGTAAGCCTAATCCGTTGGTGGACCTTATTTAGTTTTCATTGTTCATTTTCTTGAAATCACCAGACGGTACACAGTTCAATAAATTTGTTTCACTGAAAGTGTCCAGCATTTTTGAGCACTTTCAGTTGTTCATACATCGACGATATCGATCTTAAAGTGTGCTCCCTTGTCAATTTCAGGACAACAACAACTGCTGCAACTACAACCCCCGAGCCTACAACTATAACTGCAGATGACTACTCATATGAGGACATGGATGACCTGAGTGAAGAGAATTATTAAGAATATATCTGACACCATCATACAAATCTGAGATGAAGTAAAACCTTTGTGAATTGAACATCTCCACGATATCTAAATAGTGCTCCACTTTACAGGCATCATGATAAACCATGACATCTCAATTCTTCTCAGCCCTGAAATATAATGAGCTTGATTTGGCCGATCCAGGAGAGCCCAAAATTGAGGATTTTTGAGATCTTTTTCATCCCAGCTCATATTTCATCTAATTTGGGGTCATAAAACTTGTGTAAATGTACCTGTGCTAATATCTGCTGTTAAATACAATGCCTATTATGGAATTTATTGACATTAGGTAAATGATTAAATTAATATTGATAAAAATCAACCTGAAAATGTATTCATAATGTTATGCATTCATTAAGTTATGCATTCATAATCGTAATGTCTTCAAAAGATAAATACTTGTACATACAAAACAATTTGGATGTTTTATTAAGAAAACATTCAAAAACATGAACTTGCCTGAAGACTAATTTTGATATATCCCATTGCTTTAAGTATTATGTAATATAGTGTAAATAACAAGTGTTTGTACATAATGTCTTTGTAAAATGATTGCATAGTTTAGTGCAGTGTAGCTAGCTTTATTTTTGTTCTTGACTTTTATGTCATGCCATGACATCTAATGAGTCAATAAAAGATATAATTGTACAGTAGTTTTTAATATCAATGTATAAACAATGCAACTGCATAATTATAGATAATTATGAGACTTTGTGCAAATTATCCCATCACAGACAATCAATAACAATGTGAACTGTATATCAGTCGTTATATTATGTACATATCTATGTCCTGCCGAAGCATGTATAAAGTAAAGCGATAAAATATAATGTTAAATAAAATATTGAAACTTAAATATAGCTGTTAGATTTGTTCAATTACCCTGAATTTCATAAAATATCTTATTGTTCGCATTAGCAATTGTAGACAAAATACCTACACGTGCAATTAATTAGCCCTAAATTTAAAGGGAATGTCTATAGTTTGTTTATATCTTGCAATATCAGAGTTGTGATCCAAAATTATCCCTTCAATAAGAGGGGTAAATACCCATGACTTCATAGATGAACTGACTTCCATGATAAGATTAAAAGCGGAATATCAGTGAAGATTGGACACCCTGTACATATTTCACCGGCTAAAGTACTGTTTTATTATATACATTATACATCGCGATGGTATGTTTTCTCAAGGTCCTCTTTATAACGCATTTTATGTTCAGGTGATCTCGAATAATAGGAATGACAAGTCATATATCAAACATTCATGTTTATTTTGAAAGCTTTGGAAATGACCCAATTATTTTATCTCAGTAATTACAGTATTATACTATCCTATACTTAAAATAATCTCTAAGTTCTAACAGATTTTTTACTATAGTTCACTTGGGAATCGTTTTCAAAAGCATGAAGTACCGTACTTGATGAACACCTATTATTAAGTCTATTTCTAAAGGTTCGGAGGTTAAAATACAAGGTATGATAAAGTTATATTGTTTTCCGTGACTGAAACCAGCAAGTGCTCTGATCATATGTGGTATAAAATATATATCTTATGGAATAATATATTATCTTATATATTATATATTATATTATTATTATATATTATATTACCATATTATATATATTATTATTATATATTATATTATTATATTATATATATATTATTATTATATTATATATTATATTATATATTATCTTATATATATATATCTATATCTTATGGAATATATATATTATTGACTAGGTTTTCGAGACGTGTGTCCGAATGACAAGCAGCTGATTTAAACGACCTTTAAGTTCGGTTGTGTAGGACCCACCTCCAAATATCAACCAACGGCACTGAACTCCGACTGATTACAACGCTAGTCAAATGAAGCTTTTGAACCCAGCAAAATACAAAACGAAGGATTTTCAAACCAGTCATTTCAGAACTGGATTACAGTTTTTTTCTTTCCAAAAGGGACTGTATCACGTGTACTTTAACTCAATTTGTAATTTAAAGTCTAGATTTATCATTGGCAGCGATTGAGATGAAGCAAATATAAAATACTTGAACTCCGCCACGCTCATTGAATACCACGAATCGTAGCCAAAATATAAACGTATGTAATTGCCAAATTATTGCTTGGACATTTTTGCATTTTTGGACAAGTTTTTTTGCCCTGATCTCATCCTGGACGATTCTCATTCTGGCATGTCTGGTAGAGATAGTGATGGGCCAATCACTAAACTGACTAATGATACTACACTTCAAACGCCGGTCAGATTATCATACTAGAATTGAAATTTTATACAATTTTTTAAATATGCTATCCAAAAAACTTCAAAGGCATCGTACAAAATTTGAATTGATTTTTATTCTAGTTATTAATATTAATGTTAAATAAATAATAAAAATGTTGCTTATACATTTCTTGCGTCGACTCTTGGTAACCACCACCACTTGGTAACCCCCCTCCTTTCCAAGATTTTTTAGATTTGAAACCGAGTCTAGAATTGAAAGCTCTTGAGAGCTTATTAAAGTCAAAGCGTAGTAAATTATACGACAGAAATGACAATATGTCATTATCTACTCTACATCTGGAGATGGCCATCAGAGACCGATAGGAGCTAACATTCCTGAGAATGTCACACATGGGAAGTTAATAAATGCTTAATTTGCCTATTGATACCATGTAACAATTTGGCTATTAATGTCAAAAAGGACACAGCCAATTGCAAGGATAATATTGTTTTTAAAAAAAGTCTACTCTACGATCAAGCATAGAAGATCTCATTTCTTATATTATATTTAATTCTATTACCATAGTTTCTCAGGAACCCATACGGTATGTTAAATACTTTGAAGAAAAAGTGGAAATGTATATTTTAGTTAAATTCAATCAATTTTTTTAGTCACAGTCAAGAACACAATTTTTGGGATATGTTCAGAATACACGAGAGAGGGTTTAAATTTGAAAATTTTATGGGGGCATGCCCCCCGATCCTTCACGCACAACCCATCCATATCCATAAGTCGCCAATTTCCTTGGCAAATCTTTCTGACGCCCAGGCCATGGATAACAATTACTCAAGTTTTTTAAGCATGTTGCTCAGCTTTTGAATTTCCCCGTGACATTGACCTTTCCAACCAGAAAAATCTGGCAACAAAACCCCGGTTGGCTCAAGAGGGGGAGAAACCCCAGGGTTCAAAGATGACATACACATATAATATAAATCTGTATTGAGATGACATCGTCGCTGGTTGGTTTAGCGAGTCGATCGTTGATTGGTTTAAAACTAGGTCAATTTGAAAACTTTGAAAACCAAGATAGAGGGAAGTATAAATATAGGTACTTCCGGGAAAGGAGGTGCGCGAAGGAGGATATCGTATATGTCATCAATTGAATCATGGGGTTTTCCCTCCTCTTGGTTGGCTCATAGCCGATTTGACAGTGTGAATAGTAGTACTGAATACCCTCACATACCATAACCTTCTAGTTTGGTATTACATACAATGCTAAAACAAGGCATAGCATTAACACGAGAAATTGTTACATTTAGGTTGCAATTACAAAAGTGTAACCACTGGTTAATGAGGCTCAACGTCAAAACGCTGGCCACGAAAATGTTGCCTGTACAGTTTTTTCACTCAATGGTAAAGGAGTGGTATCGACATGGTGAACTTTTTGAACACGCGTTTCTCTTAAACCAGACATTAAAACATTCTGAAAAATTTACACATCGTCAATTTAATGGTCATATTTTGGATGGTAACATTATAATTTGAAATATATTTATATACTTTTCTCTATATTGTTTTAGAAAACACATAAGACACTTCTTTTGTTCTTGGTATCATATGTCCGGAATGAAATGAAACACTATCCGAACCTCATTGGACCAAAATGACATACACACAACGTGTTTGGGTCTCTCAATATTGTAATTATACAAAGGAAAGTTTGGTTGATTTTAAAAAGTATCTTGTTAATGAAATAAAAGGGTTATCTTAATTTTCATCTATTTTGGGGGGTTTTGTTTTAAGTTTTTGCATACTTTTTATGAAATCAACCAAAATTTCCTTTGTATAAGTATTATATTGAGAGGTCTAAGAAAATGTTGTATATGCTATTTTGTTCCAACAAGGTTAGGAAAGACATTTTATTTCATTCTCAAGAATTGGTAGAAAGAAACAAAAATCAATAACCCAGATGCGAGTAGAAATAATCTTGATTTACGTCATTAAAAATTCAAAATTCAGTCAAAGTAATATCATATTTGAAATCTACATGTAAAATTACATCTAGAAATGTGGTTTTAAAAAGTGTTTATCAACTTTGAAAAATTGATTTTTTTTGAAAATGTGACTTCTAGCTCGGGGAGATTCCCCATAGACCCCATGCTATAAAATCACAAAAAATGAAATATCTTTTCTTTTAGTGGACCGATAATATTTTGCTTTACTGGACATATTTTCATTAGTATAAGTATCAGGCACATAAGGATTATATGAAAATTGAGCCACTCAAATTGATAATATTCAAGTTTGAGGGAACTTTCTTATATACCTGCCATGTTAATTGACCCGAATCAGCCACCTGGTGGTGAAACTGGTAACTACCTACTCGCATTTGGGTAATTGCACTAAACAACAAAAAATGTTAACAAAAACAGTTATATAAAATATCTATAAATAATTTTTGCATTAAATTGTTGCCAATCAGTCAACATTACATAAAAGACCGTGTTTTTTACAGATTGTTATCAATAATTGGTTTAAGAGAAAAGAATTGTTGAATTCAGTTCACCATATCGATACCTATCCTTTTCGGGTCCGTTAATGCCATATCAATGTAACGTGTTGAGGAAGAAAAACACCCCCTGACACACCTACAAAAATAGTCGTTTAATGAAGACGGTGACCCGATATACTCCAGCCTATCTACCGAGTCTACCTGTCACCGTGCGATATTATAATCATTATGATAAATACACGAATATAAATATTTTATGCATATCTTTTTCCATTCATAATTTGGCAAATGTAAATGCCGCCGCAGGCCGCGTAAGGTCATTAGATGTTACCGCTTTCATTAAAAGTCACATCTTGTCCTGATAAATGAAAACACTGCATTTATATTCATTCAGGACTCGCCTCCTTCATGAAGGTTACGTATACTGTTACGAGGAGATGGGTGACTTATATACCCCTTTTGCAATGAGGAGACATTTTCTCGAGATCGTAATGTGTCTTCAGATAAGCATGAATAAACAGGATTAATCAACATTATTAATAATAAGACCATTGAATTAAACCCGAATGAGTGATAATTTTAAAACAACATATGTGAACAAAACTCTGATGAATATAATATAATAGCAACTGATGCACAAGGGCAACATTTGAAATAATAGTTACATAGATATATTACATATGTCTATGTAATGTATTGTTATACTTTCTTACAAGGAAGTATTGTCATCTGAAAAAAGTAGAAAGACTCATACATACTTCCGTAGGTTGGTCCCGTAGACAACGGCAGGCTATCATGCCCTCTGGAGCCATGTTTAGGCTGAGCATCGCTGTCATATTCAACAAATATTCCAAACAGAATCACAAATAAAATCTGGAACAATGAGAGTATTGTAAAAGTCTTTCCTCTTGTCCACCTATCTTCGAAAGCCATTGTGATGTACTGATGTTTCCAACCTCACCACCTCAGATCTAGAGTTTGCCGTTGCCGTTGCGCGTTTCTTATTCCAAACGCTGATGTATTTTACCTGGCTGCGTCCCAACCCAACTTCCAAAACATTCGATAAATATTTCAGCTGATATCTTAGCTCTGAATAACTGGCTCCTCTCGCATTGACAGGGAATGTATGATGACCTCGTATGCTCGACCAATTGTGACTTCTACGCCTTCAAGTTTATATATTCTCTTTTTTTGTAGTAAAGCATTACTTTCACCCTTCGTAGTACGGGGTGACACAAAAATACCACACGTTTATTTTGGAATAACTCATGAAGATAGAGAATAACTCGTGAAGATAGAGTGTTCAATGAAAGAGAGATTGATATGGTTGTATAGCATCAACAACTTGGAAATTAAGATATGGTATGGTATCTCATTTTCTGCGGAGGCATGCTCTAACTCAAAAACATGTAAATTAGAAGATATGTCATTTTAAAATTTACCCAATAAGCGAGTCAGTTCATCGTTTAAGAAAAATACGTAGATATCTCATATTATTGGTAATACTTCTGAAAGCAATCTAGAAATGACAAAAATAATGACTCAAATCCCAATTTCAGAAAATTGTATTTTTGACCATTTTTTGACGATTTCACCGAGAGCATACCGAGACGGAAAACGTGATATATCTAAATAGAGAAGGCAAACTATGTTCAACATTTAATGAGGATTACAAGAGGGAAACGAATTTTATTACAAAATGTACCGACATGTTTTCAAGATCAATTTATACAATTTTTTATTTTCTAGTCACGACTTTAACTCACCCAGTAAAGATGTTACAAAGACTGGTGCCAGATTGTTAAAAATATTTTCATTCTCAAAATTCCACATCAGATATAATATACCATGCCCGGCTATTTTCTATAAAATGGCCAATAGGTGTGTAGTATAGTAGGAACAAGGGGTTCCCATGCACCCATAAGGTGTGAATAAGTTACATACATTTTTGTAATCCCTAGGGTGTCTATTTAATGAATTCATTTGTTAACATTGCCAACTAATGTCCCATAGTACTTTTATGGCGGCATTCAGTTACCATGGTTACGCATCTTTAGACATCTTACCTTGGTATCTTAAATCATTTGTAGCTCTGTCATTATTTGGTCTATAGAAATGATATTGGTACCAAATTAAACCTCGTTAAATTTCCAATAAATTTATCGTATTCAATTATGCAAATTATCTAATTTGCATAAATTATGACGTCATCAATCTATTTTTGGTTCAGAATTTCCAACTATAGCAACGTATCTATTAGAACTGAGGCCGTATGGCAAAATTTCTGAAAGGTTTTGTCCTTTATTCTATTAGTAGAAGGTATAAGCAACATAAAAGTGAAAACAGATTCAAAATTGAATCAGTATTACGAAAGTTATGTAACTTTCGAGGCAGCTATCGTGAATGTCATTATTTGACAATAATATACATACGTCTTACCTTGGAGTCTTGAATCAATGTAGCTTCGCCATTATTTGGTCTATAGAGATGATATTGGTATCTGATTAAACCTTATTAAATTTACTATATGGTTACAATATTCAGTTATGCAAATTAGCTAATTTGCATTAATTGTGACGTCATCAATCCATTTTTGGTTCAGAATATCCTAGTATAGCAACATATCTATTAGAACTGAGGCCGTATGACAGAATGTGTGCATAGTTTTGTCCCTTATTTGATGAGTGGAAGATATAAGCAACATTAAAGAGACAACAAATCTTCAAAATTGGATCAGAATTAACAAAATTATCCAGCTTTGGAGGCGGTTACTGTGAACGTCATTGTTTGACAATTATAAAAAGAATATTAAATTAACAAAAAAAGTAACAACCATAGTTGTTTCAATCTTATTGAGTAAAAATGTGCATGTATTGAACTGAACTAATAAGTATGTGGAAAGGTTACATGTTCTTTGACTATCATTCACAGGGGTCAAAACGGTTATCTCGACGCTGTATATTAAAGATCCAATCTTATAATTTACCATGCACTTTCAATGATTCATATAAATAGTATACATATAGTCTGCTTTTCATCATATTCTTCATATTCTTGATTCTTAAAGCATCTGAAGTATATAGCATGATTAGAAGTGAAGATGATTCATCATATGGTTTATGTAATATTTCATATATTTCAGATGCTATGGTAACATCACTTGATAATGAGGTTTTTACATTTCACGTTCTTAATGAGTTAAAAGGAAGTTATTCTCCCTTTGCTTTAGAGATAAATAGTCGCATGAATTTGTTTAGAAAAATTATAACTTAATTAATTTAACCCCCCCCCCTGACAGCCCCATATATGAAGATTTTGGTGAAACCTGGCAAAATACATTAATTATTAGGTTCCAGAAGCCCCCAGAAGCTATATGATGGCCCCCAGTGTCCCAAAGAATCTATACAGGGGCCCCAAGTGGCCCCCAGAAGCTATACTGTGCTCCCCAGAAGCTATATGTTGGCCCCCAGAAGCTGAATAGTGGCCCCCAGGAGCTATACGGTGGCTCCCAGAAGCTATACAGGAAACCCTGTGGCCCCCAGGAGCTATACAGTGGCGCCCAGAAGCTATACAGGGGCCCCCAGTGGCCCCAAAAAGCTATACGGTGGCCCCCAGAAGCTATACGGGGCCCCCAGAAGCTATACAAGGGCCCCCAGAAACTATACTATGGTTTCCAGAAGCTATTTGGTGGCCCCCAGTGGCCCTCGGAAGCTATATGATGGCCTCCAGAAGCTAATTAGTGGCCCCCAGGAGCTATACGGTGGCTCCCACAAGCTATACAGGGGACCCCAGTGGCCCCAAGAAGCTAAACGATGGCCCCTAGAAGCTATACAGGAGCCCCAAAAAGCTACATGAAGGCTCCCAGAATCTATATGATGGCCCCCAATGGCTCCCAGAAGATGTGAAGGGCCCCCAGTAGCCCCTAGAAGCTATACGGTGGCCCTCATAGGCTATATGATGGCCCCCAGAAGCTAAATAGTGACCCTCAGGAACTATATGGTGGTTCCCAGAAGCTACACAATGGCCCCCAGAATCTATGTGGTGGCCCCAAATGGCTCCCAGAAGCTATAAAGGGCCCCCCAGTAGCCCCTAGAAGCTATACGGTGGCCCCCAGTGGCCCCAAAAGCTATATAGTGGCCCCCAGAAGCTATAAAGGGGGCCACAGTGGCTCCCAGAAGCTATACGATGGCCCACAGAAGCTATACAAGGGCCTGCAGAAACTGTACTGTAGCCCCCAGAAGCTATACAGGGGCCCCCATTGGCTCCCAGAAGCTATACGATGGCCCCCAGAAGCTATGCAAGGGCCCGCAGAAACTATATGGTAGCCCCCATAAGCTATACAATGGCCTCCAGAAGCTATACAGTGTCCCCCAATGGGCCACCATATAGCTTTGGGGGCCACCGTATAGCTTCTAGGGGCTACTGGGGGCCCTGTATAGCTTCTGGGAGCCATTGGGGGCCATCATATAGATTCTGGGGGCCATCGTGTAGCTTCTGGGGGCTGCTGTATAGCTTCTGGGGGCCATCGAATAGCTTCTTGGGGCCACTTGGGTTCCCTGTATAGCTTCTGGGTGCCACCGTATAGCTCCTGGGGTCCACTAATTAGCTTCTGGGGGCCATCATATAGCTTCTGAGGGCCACTGGGGGTCACCATATAGCTTCTGGAGACCACAGTATAGTTTCTGTGGGCCCTTGTATAGCTTCTGGGGGCCATCGTATACCTTCTGGGGGCCACGTGGGGCCCCTGTATAGATTCTTGGGGCCACTTGGGGCCATCGTATAGCTTCTGGGGGCTTCTGGAACCTAATAATTAATGTATTTTGCCAGGTTTCACCAAAATCTTCAAATATGGGGGCTGTCAGGAGGGGGTTAAATTAAGTTATAATTTTTTTAAACAAATTCATGTGACTATTTATCTCTAAAGCAAAGGGAGAATAACTTTCTTTTAACTCATTAAGAACGTGAAATGTAAAAACCTCATTATCAAGTGATGTTACCATAGCATCTGAAATGTTAGAAATATTACATAAACCATATGATGAATCATCTTCACTTCTAATCATGCTTTATACTTCAGATGCTTTAAGAATCAAGAATATGAAGAATATGATGAATATGATGAAAATCAGACTATATGTATACTATTTATATGAATCATTGAAAGTGCATGGTAAATTATAAAATTGGATCTTTAATATACAGCGTCGAGATAACCGTTTTGACCCCTGTGAATGATAGTCAAAAAACATGTAACCTTTCCACATACTTATTAGTTCAGTTCAATACATGCACATTTTTACTCAATAAGATTGAAACAACTATGGTTGTTACTTTTTTTGTTAATTTAATATTCTTTTTATAATTGTCAAACAATGACGTTCACAGTAGCCGCCTCCAAAGCTGGATAATTTTGTTAATTCTGATCCAATTTTGAAGATTTGTTGTCTCTTTAATGTTGCTTATATCTTCCACTCATCAAATAAGGGACAAAACTATGCACACATTCTGTCATACGGCCTCAGTTTTAATAGATATGTTGCTATACCAGGATATTCTGAACCAAAAATGGATTGATGACGTCACAATTAATGCAAATTAGCTAATTTGCATAACTGAATATTGTAACCATATAGTAAATTTAATAAAGTTTAATCAGATACCAATATCATCTCTATAGACCAAATAATGGCGAAGCTACATTGATTCAAGACTCCAAGGTAAGACGTATGTATATTATTGTCAAATAATGACATTCACGATAGCTGCCTCGAAAGTTACATTACTTTCGTAATACTGATTCAATTTTGAATCTGTTTTCACTTTTATGTTGCTTATACCTTCTACTAATAGAATAAAGGACAAAACCTTTCAGAAATTTTGCCATACGGCCTCAGTTCTAATAGATACGTTGCTATAGTTGGAAATTCTGAACCAAAAATAGATTGATGACGTCATAATTTATGCAAATTAGATAATTTGCATAATTGAATATCATAAATTTATTGGAAATTTAACGAGGTTTAATTTGGTACCAATATCATTTCTATAGACCAAATAATGACAGAGCTACAAATGATTTAAGATACAAAGGTAAGATGTCTAAAGATGCGTAACCATGGTAACTGAATGCCGCCATAAAAGTACTATGGGACATTAGTTGGCAATGTTAACAAATGAATTCATTAAATAGACACCCTAGGGATTACAAAAATGTATGTAACTTATTCACACCTTATGGGTGCATGGGAACCCCTTGTTCCTACTATACTAGTGTCCCTGTCATGATACTGGTGATCTGGAAATAATTTTGGATAAGAAAGTCGAGGCCCTTTTTGGAATTTAAATGAGTTTATGCTCCTTCAATCTTTAGTAGCTCCCATATCAGATTTTTCAATTTCCTTTTTTGGATTATAAACTTTGGATTCTTGTAAGAATGGGAATCATTGACATATTTTTTTAAACATTGCTTCCGTTTTTTCTCCCTATATTCTCTGCTAAAAAGAAACGACTGTATAGTCAAGGACTTCATTTTGAACATTGTAAGTGACAGTTTTATAACCTCACCATGTAACAGAACAATAAATTATAAAACATCTTAGCAAATGTAAGGTCATACATTCAAAAAGAAACATAGCCAAATATCTATTTCAATAAAATTCACAGCCCAGAAAAGTACTTTGAGTTCATCATTAATCTTTGAAGTCGAAAAGCCCAAAAATGGGCCCAAATTTGAAAAATTGACCCAAAAAAGGCCAAATTGGGGTGTCTTATTCTTATTTGGAGAGCACTCTCCTACACTTCAACATGGGGAATCAAAATATTTTCTAGCTGAAGTCAAAGAATAATGTTGATATGAAATAATATGCACTTTGTTCTGCACTTACAATATGACAATACACACCTGTCATAATATAACCTTCAATAGCTGATAAATGGACCACATATACTCAAATTACATTTTTTGCAGAAAACTTTATTACACATATATACAATATAAACTATAATAACAAAAATAAATCAAAGATGTATATTTATATAACCATCTGTCATGGCACCTATTGGTCACTGATAGTTATTTTGATTTATTAATACTTAAAGTAAACAAATAAAAACAAAATATAAACATATAGCTTTTCTAATACTAGTACCACAGACTTATATGACTTCAAAGTCCATGGTAATACACTAATACTGAGCGTTGACTAATTTAACAATATTTATGGAATGGTATTCTTCGGGGCACATCATCATGACCCCCTTGTTGAACATTCATGGAATGTGTATTTATATCTGATATATCAGACCTGTATCTTTATAAAACTGTTAAGTGGAACGAATATGCTCACTGATATGAACTTAACAAGATCTTAACAAGATCTGAATTTACATGTTCTGAACATACAGGATCTGAACCTTCAGCACCTGAGCTTACAAGATCTGAAGTTTCATCGTCATGCCGATCTCCCATAAAGCGGATTTATTATGAGCCAATTTTGAAATAGTATCTCACTAGAACATTCCACACTCTTGTTCTGCAAATCCACATCTAACACATATCCACAGAAATGACAGACAGTAACACTCAAATTGGCCACCTCTGCAAGTGGCACACTTCAGAATCCTACGACACTTTATGTTAAATGAACCTCTGTAAGTGGAACACTTCTCCCGAATGGAACAATTTGAAGAGTTACCAAAGGTGTTCCATGTACACAGGTGTTATACTTCTATATATGTTTATCCAACATATACTCACATATACATGTATGTCTTGTATATAGAATCAAGATCTTTTTGATTTTTGATTTTCACTCAATAATCGTGGCCATCTGTATAAGAGATCAGTCCACAAAAAGTCACCATTTACAATTTTGATTGCAACAAAGTTATATGACACACATATATGTCTGCTGGCCAGCCATAAAGCATTCTTCCATGGTTTAGTTCTCCCTAGAATATCTGTGATTGTGTGATGTTGCCTCCAAAGCCCCTGGACACAAGACTAGCACGCGAGACAGTACATCATCTATGTACTTCTTCAACTTTGAGTTCTCATCACGTAGATCTGAAACAGAAACATTCTCATTAATATTCCCAAACATAGTTACACTTCAGATTGATTCATTTCCTGCATCAATGATTGGTATAGGTGTTGACCATATATGCCATCTATTAATTTAAATGTAAGTTAAACTCACAATTGTGAAGAATGCACACATCGCAAATGATCTCTGAATTTCTCTTGCTTTTTTTGTGTTTTCTGTTTTCTTGCTGCTTTTTTTGTATGCGAGTGTATTTTTGAAAGTATAAATACAAGGATATTTAATGGATAAGTGAAATACCTTGGTTCTCAATTCGAAGATGTTTTACTTCTCCTATAAGTTTCTCCATCTCTTGATCTGCAAAAATAAATACTCAATCGTATTAGTGAATGTTTCAAAATATTGTATAAACTGGGAAGGGGGGGGGGGGGGGGCTTGGATATTTTGTACTATGGGGACATGAAATATACTTAAATGGCGACATGTATCGGACATTGACTTCATGAAGGATTGATTCTTTTTTGCATATCATGCAATACATTCTGGCCAACCATTATACCATCATGATTTACAGTCACTTTTTTATTGACCTCACCTTATATTTAAAGATGACCAAATATGAAAATATTAAGATTTGTTTATATGTTCACGTATGTAAAGAAAGTCTCATGTTGGGATATCCCATCGTCAAGAACATTATTTGAAACCTAATGTGAACATCTCTAAATATAAAATCTTTTAACTAGTTGTCACAATGTTCATTAAGAGGTTTTACAGTACGTACATTTATCAAAATTACCTCTATTGATTGCATTCTCCTTTTTACCAGTAATAGAGCCTTTCAGCTTTTGTACCAGTCCCTGGAAAGTAAATGCAAATGTTCATTTCTCATGAATTAAAATTATTTAAATGGTGTCTATAAGGCTGATGCTTGATAATTTTTTTGATCTTAAGCATGTTTTTTAAGTTTTTTATTCCTCCTTTCTACCAACTTTCTTTGAAAATACTATAACCAAATAAAATTGTATATCCTTTGAAAATATGAAATAAAAGTACAAAACATTTAAGAAAATATATGTGACCTCTATGTGTGACATTTGAACTCACTAAAAACCTTGATTAAAACAAACTTATTGCTGACCTTTGCTTCTTGGTATTAATCTTATACAACTTCAATCTTTATTTCAACTCTGCCATGTTTATTCAAACATACTTCACTGCAGATGTTACCTGATTGAGTATTTAGTAAGCCCCACTACATTTTATCAGCATTGATGAAACAATAAACATAAATGCACGAAACAAAGCATCTCAAATGTATAGTAAAAATAAGAATGATAAAACAAGATACATATACCTATTTACTACAAACAACACGCAACATCGAGTACAAGCAAACCACACCATCAAAGTAAAAAGGTACAATAAGTTTTACAAAAAAATCTCAAAACGAATGTGATAACTATGTACAAAGCACAAATTATACCTTCTTTCTAGGCCTACTCTGCAGCATGTAACAGTCATAGTAATGATTAAACATAAAGATGATGATTTGAGCAAAGTCAAGGATCCAATGGAAACTGTACTCAACAACCATTGATGACACAGATATTGCATCTTTCTCGACAATGGACTCGCTCAAACTGAGTTCACTTTTTGAATCGTATGATAAGCTACTATCAATGTTCTGAGAATCTTCAATAATTTTAAATGAATCTTTATTCCTTGTATTACGATCCATGATTATCAATATTTTCCTTGTTTTGCATAGGATGTAACACTGCACCTAATAACCCCAGAACTTACTTCAAAACACATCATCAATATTCAACAGATCCATCAACTCCTTTCAGGTTGAAAGTTCATTTCATTTGGAAGCTTTGATTTCTGATTGGGTGCAAGTGAACTTTGTTTGGATCAGTCTAGTGCACAGGGTTCAGAAAGTATGGCAGGTTAGATGGTTGTGAATTGTATATGCTTTAAATTGAGCTAGTTATTGAAGTTGTCTAGTGGACTGTAATGATTAGGAATTACATTCTCAATTTACTCAATGTTTATTCCTGTAAAGTTATTAAGCCACAAATGATTAGTTTGATTTCCAAATGTTTTCAGTAATTGCCAATTAAGGGAATTTAACCATGCAATCCTGAAACATTTGTGTAAGCTAATGGGGGGGGGGGGGGGGTATTAAGAGGTTCTTGAAGGTCAAATCTAATCCATTTCATGAAACAATGCACTCAGAAGCTTTAACAAAAAACCGCATGATTGCATGCTTATTGCTTATCACAGCATGCAGTGAGTTCATTTACTCAAACTTTTCCTCAAACATGTGTGTTTCTGGTACAGTTCAGTGAAACACAGTGTAAAATAATGCCCCAAGGAAGCCACATGTGGCATAATATACCATTTTAAAGGGTCATATTATTCTTTCTTGATTTATACACCCCAGTGAGCAGAAACGAGATACCACTAAAGAAATTTGTATGTATTGTTATGTGTTCTTAGTTGTTGCTCCAGCTACATTTACCCTGTTGTCATGTTGCCATAGTTACATGAAGACAATTATGTTATTGGTTGATTTTTTCCCTTATTTTCACTCAAAATGTAACAAGTATAAAGGGGGAGATTGAAGCCAAATATGAACAATATTCATCAAATGATAAAAAGGCATTAACTGACCAAATGCCAACTGCCAAACACCAACTTTTGTCAACACTTCTGGTTGTGACATAGAATTTGAATAAACTGCACAGAACGTTTGGATCAACCCTCCCAAAACTTACATCACAACAGGTTTCATCAGCATCCACTAGTTCTTCCTGTACATGCGGTTCATCTTTTACCTGTTGTACATCCAGTTTGGGTTCAACCACCATTGCGTCTGGCATCACTGGCTGCAGGGGGTCCTCATTAAGGTAAGAGAATGCCACCCTAGAGATACCTCGTCCTCCATATTGAGTGACCACTACAATTTCTCCAGGGCCAGGACGTCCAGGGAGGCTTAGACAAAATATCTTAGTAGGGGACTCATACTCCAGTGTGTTTAAACAATTCACCCCACAAACATATAATCCTGTTATATCTGAGGCACCGTTCCCAAGATTATAACCTCTGATTGTTAATTTTGTACCACCTGATGCTGGGCCTTCTTTGGGGGAAATACCTGTCACTTCGGGAGCAGAGGTTTCAGGGAGCATAGTGTTTTCTGTTACATTCCCATGTTGTGCAGTGTTCTCTGTAACGGTAACCAATTCTGAACTGCTCCCTGCCTTTGGTACTATTGCAAAGTCAACTTGCATGGGAGACAAATCTTGACAGGACCGAGAGAGTTGTCTAGACACGCCCAAGCTTGTTGGCCTCAGGGTTGATGGTTCAATAAACTCAGGTGTCTCTGAATAAAATGTTGAAGATGAAGATAATGAATTCATACTTTCTGCTCGAGATTTTCTCTGTAGTTTTGGAGACACTGATAAATACCTACATGTATCCTTGAATCTTGATATAGGTTTACTGTTGGTGAAGACATTTTTAATCCTTTGACGTTTACTCATGGGGCTTCCCTTGGGTTTGAACTTTGAGATTTGGCATTCAAAGAAGAGCCAACCCTGGGGGTCGGGGGATTTCTTTGTGGCCTCGAGGGGGCACGAGAGTCTGATTCCTGATTTAGTAGATAGCTGGGATAGTGGAAGGGTCACTTTACCAAGCACGTCATTGGTGTCCGTAACTTCAAATACAATTGGACGATCTTGACTGTAAACATTACTGAAATACAATGTGAGAAAACGATAAGTATTGATTTGTACATGTATAAGAAAGTAGACGTAATAGTGTTTGGAACTTTAGACCTTCACAAATAAAATATCAAACATTCTTTGTCAAACATTCTTTGTGCGATTTTAACAATGTTCATTTTGAAGTGTACATTAGGAAAATGGAGTAAAAGCTAAATAATTAATAAAAAAAATTACAATTCTAGATTAAATCATGAAATTTAAAACAGGCACAAACAAATGAGGACAATCCTACAGAGATAACTTCACATGTTGTTGCTATGGAGATTTGATAATGACATTACCTGTGTCTTACACGTATGAAGACAAACAAACTGGCTATGAGTATTGTACACAAACTTGATAAATTCCAGACAGTGTAGCATATGACACACACATACACTGTACTTCAAATACATGCCTAATAGACCCGACACAGCTCCAGAAACATTCAATACTCACAAGAACAACAGATACATGCCAAAAACATAAAACAAAATGTGACTCACAATAGACACCAAATCACAAGACATATGACATACCTACAATGTAGCAACACATGCCATAGTCACTGACACACAATCCGGACACATGCCATATACGCTGACACATGCCATAGACACTGACACATGCTCCAGACACATGCCATAGTCACTGACACATTCCCCAGACACATGCTAAAGACACCAACATACTCCCAAGACACATACAATAGACACAACTTCACAAAACATGCCACAGACAAAGAAATATGGCTCTTACAGACTGAGTCACAGACACATGATTCAGATATTGACACACATAAACATGTCCATACTTACACAGTAGATTCCTCATTCCAGTGTGGACTGCCTTCCTCACTGGTGACAAACTTAGTTCTGTATCTATGAGACGCAATACCAAATATCACAGAGAAGCTGCATTCACCTACAATTTTTTTTACATTAATCTGTTTTATTTGATTATATCATAATAGTTAAATACAAGTGTAGTTAGAAGTATGAGTGACAAATTGCTTAGAAAAATTAGCATTATGGGTACTGACACAGATACTGACACCTACAATTAAGGTGTTGATATATACTACAAGGTACAGGACATTAACATGGCTGCAATCACAAAAAATATGTACCAATTTGTTAGAGATGCTGATACCAAAATCTGTCATCACATAAATAAACTTATAACAATATATTGGCTATTTATGTTCGGTGGAGCGTAGCGACTTTAGAACATAAATGCTTTCTATTGGCTGAACGATGAGTTCAGTTCAATGTAGAGTTATGTGAGTGAGTGGATGTTTTCGTGGTGAAGGTAGAGTGTATAGAAAGACATTCTGAGCTTTGTCACCGTGTAGTCAACACATACACTTCGTTTTATTCAATAAACCAACAGATTAGACAACTTTTGTCGAATTTAATTCGAAAGTTCAAGACACATTTGAAGAAACCTCCATATTACTGGTTACTACATAATTGAAACAGCTGACTTAGCACAGTCATATGAGGAGAATATTACAAAAGTTCTGGATGTCCTACAGTATGTACCACTAGACTCAAGAGGTCGCAACTTGTTTTACGACAACAATAGTATCGGGCAGTGCCGGGGTGAGCATGATTACCAATGATGACCGATGTCTGGTTTCAATGCGGCGAAGCTGGGCCATATCAAGGTCATTTTGGGAGCAATGAGCTCAACGACTACTGCAATCACGAATAAGTTAAGTAGCCAATTAAATTATTATGTTTTCTTATGTTATTGTTTGAAATGCTAGATATCTCTTCAGGGATTTACATTACTGACAGTAGTTCGGTGCTTACAAGATTTGTTTAGAGGTCTTCTTCGTAGATTTCAATCTATGTACGTACAAGTACTTGTACCAACATGTTATAGTGTTTCCTCAATTGGGAGGCCTTTACAAGTTCTTTTCGTATTTTATGTTCTTTTCCTCGGTATTAGAACTGAGAGATTGATATTCAAAAGTGATAGGTTTGTTTCACAATAGCTATTTTAGATGAACCGATTCGTTTAAAAAATAAAGGGTATTACTATATAAAGCAGGCAGTAAAAAGAAATAATTTGTAGAAAGATCAAATTTAGTGGTCAATGTTCAGAATTTCAACTTGATAACAAGTAATGACATATTAGATTTTCAAATAAATACAGGTTTCAGAAAAGATCAAACACGTTTAAACGTATAGGAGTTAGTTAAAAACGTTAATCAAAGACTCGACATGTTTTACTAACTCGTAAACACAGAGGCTTGATTGGGAAAACGCGTTTTGGCTAGATAATCAGTTATTTAATGACTTTACAAGATGGTGATGATGATGTTTGATAGTGCTTGCACAGGCGTTATTTTCAAATGTGAGTTTTCTCACAGTAATTGTTCAGAAAAAGAAAGCAAAATATTTCAATGTAGAAAGAGTTACACGTATAAAGTAGTTTTATAAGCTTACTTGAAATATCTTCAAAACTAGAATTGTGGTTGACAGATTATCAAAACTTAATACGAAGGCATTTGGATGTGCCCAATTTTAAAAATGTTATAGGTTAATATAGAGTTGAGATTAGAGTTTATTCCAGGGTAGACAATCGTAAAGCATTTTTGTAGATCTAGATGACAGGACAGTGAAGCTTGATTTCGAACTACTACTTACATCAAGAAGGTTGTTCATTAATTTTAAAACGTAATGCAATGAGAACTTTAGCGTTGCAAAAGCTTAACATTTTGACTTTAGGCTTTTAAAATCATAAAAAGAGGCGTTTTCAAACAATCCTTTTGTGGAACAAGACCCGGGTAAAGTCAGAGTAGTTAGTTTAATTCACACGTTTTGGTGGTAAAAGTTAACATGTATTTGCTTTAAGATTTAGGATTCATTTTAAAGTTACAGTATAATCAGGCACAGGCTAAATAGTTAAAGCAATGGTTTATTTGACATAGATATTAGTTTGTTGATATAACACATTGAAGATAATGTGCACGCTTATATTAGCAAATGCATGTATTGCGCATTTAGCACAATTGCTATACAGACAAGCACACTGGGTTGTGTAAGAACATTCATTAACATCTTATACAGCTTAGCATATTCGAATGAACAGGTAATGACGTGCAAGAAAGCACGCCATGATATGCAGGTAAGCACATCACTAAGTGCAGGTAAGCATATCAAGATACTTTTCTGTGGAGGTAAACAGTGATATTCAGGTAAGAATAACGTGGTGTACAAGATAACACATTGTGATCTACATGTAAGCACTGTAATGCTCATACAATCAAATTGCGATGAAGAGGTACTCTCACTGGGATGTGCATGAAAGCACATTGTTATATATAGGCTAGCACAATGGGATTTGCAGATCGTACACACTGATTTACAGGTGACCACACTGTGATGCATGCATAGGTAAGCATATTATTGTGACATGCAACGTGATGTGAATGTTAGCACACCGTAATATAAAGGCAGGCATACCATTACGTGCAGGTTAGCACACTGATAGTTGAACGTAAGCAGACCATTATATGCAGGTAAACACACTGTGATATACAGATAAATTAAAACGGGACGTGTATGTATGCATAACATGGCACGTACAGGTAAGCCACTGTGATGTGTACGTAAACACACTGTGATATGAAGGTTAACCAACTGAGATATGTAAGTAAGCACAAAGTTATGTGATTGGTAGCACATTTTATTGTGTAGGTTAGCACGCCGTGACATGCAGGTTAGCACACTGTGATGTGCAGGGTAGCACACTGTGATGTGCAGGTTAGTACAGTGTGATATGTATATAAGCACGCTGTGACGTGAAGGCTAGCACACTGTGATGTGCAGGTTAGCACAACGTTATGTGCAGGGTAACACAGTGTGATGTGTATATGAGCACGCCGTGACGTGCAGGCTAGCACACCGTGATGTGCAGGTTAGCACACCGTGATGTGCAGGGTAACACAGTGTGATGTGTATATTAGCACGCCGTGGCGTGCAGGCTGGCACACCGTGATGTGCAGGGTAGCACACTGTGATGTGCAGATTAGCACACCGTGATGTGCAGGGTAACACAGTGTGATGTGTATATGAGCACGCCGTGACGTGCAGGCTAGCACACCGTGACGCTGCAACGTGCAGGCTAGCTCACCGTGATGTGCAGGGTAACACACTGTGATGTGCAGGTAAGCACACTGTAATGTGCAGAGTAGCACACAGCGATGTGCAGGGTAGCATACCGTGATATGCAGGGTAACACAACGTGATGTACAGGGTAGCATACTTTGATGAGCAGGTAAGCACGTCATGATGTGCAGGGTATCAGTGATGTGCAGGTAAGCACAGCGAGATGTGCAGGTAAGCACACTGTAATGTGTAGGTAAGCACACTGTAATGTGTAGGTAAGCACATTGTAATGTGTAGGTAAGCACCCTGTGATGTACAGGTAAGCACATCGTGATGTGCAGGTAAGTAAATAGTGGTGTGTAGGTAAGCACACTGTAATGTGTAGGCAAGCACATTGTAATGTGTAGGCAAGCACATTGTAATGTGTAGGCAAGCACATTGTAATGTGTAGGTAAGCACCCTGTGATGTGCAGGTAAGCACATCGTGATGTACAGGTAAGTACACAGTGATGTGTAGGTAAGCACATCTTGATGTGTAGATATGCACACCATGGTTGCAGTTAATCACAATATGATGTGAAGGTAAGCACACTGTGGTTTGAAGGTTAGCAAACTGTAATGCGCGGGCAAGAAAACTGGAAAATCCTTGAAACATACGGGATATACAGATGTAATGTGATGTGTATGTAAACACATTGAAATGTATAGGCAAAAACATTGGGATGTTCAGGTAAACATTGAGATGTTTAGGTAAACTCGCAGAGATATTCAGATAAGCATATTGAGAAATGCACGTGAATACACCAGGTTATACATGATAGTGCACAAAATGAGAATTGCTAACGACATTTCTATATATGTGAGATATATATGAGTTTATAGTTTAGACGTGTGTAATGTACCACTGCATAAGAATTACAATTCACAGGTAAACATGTCATGATACGCAATATACAACCTGATGATTTCTATATGTATTTCATTGGTCAATTACTTTTCAGGTATTTTGATCTGGATGGTGTCCATTTATATTGAACAATTTTCTTTAGATATTGCTGAATTGCAGATGAGCTGTTGGAAAATCAGTGATCGTTCACGAATAGATTTATTGTTCAAGATATTGTTGTAATTATACATTTAAAATTTGTTAATGGATATATTTCCAGGCTGGTAGAGCAGTAATTAAAGTAAAGTGATGTTTATATGCCGAACTAAGGGATTTTGGCACAGATGTTGCAAGCACCGTTGTGCTAAAGGGCTGATCAACACAACTGAAAGAATGTACATTTGCCTTGTGACAAATATGTTGTCAAATCTGACATAGGATGGATATACGTCATATGGACTTCATAACATTTGTGATTCAACATCAGTCAAATATATCAGCGATGGGACATTTGAACTGATATTCAAACAATCGCAGACGGAGCCAGTTACAGCATTGTTTGTTATGATTCTTCCTAACACGAAGCGATCATTGAACTTTATACCTCTTGGAGACATTGCAATGTGTAACTTAGGGTTTGCTGCTTTTTGCTTTACATTGAGATGACATTATATTTTAGCATTGGTTCAGTGTAAAATAATTCAAATACTGACCGACATTTAAAGACAGGATTGTTGAATAAGTATTTCTGCCGAAGACTGATACTTTTATCTATAACGTGTTGGTATCTAGAATCTGTGGATTCAAATTGACATAATCAATTTATTGTTCTATATCTTTCCCGTTCTTTAGATTTTCTGTGTGCCAAGTGCTCTCATTCCTTGAAACTGAAAGTTGGTGTTATGTTGAACGACGGGTAGTGATGAGAGAATAGAATGGCTATTTATGTTCGGTGGAGCGTAGCAACTTTAGAACATAAATGCTTTCTATTGGCTGAACGATGAGTTCAGTTCAATGTAGAGTTATGTGAGTGAGTGGATGTTTTCGTGGTGAAGGTAGAGTGTATAGAAAGACATTCTGAGCTTTGTCACCGTGTAGTCAACACATACACTTCGTTTTAATATTCACATTACAGTGTTGTATTCGTAAATTTCAAACATTATGTATCAACTCTTGTAAGAGTATTGTTCAGTAATAATATACATGTAGATAGTGGTTTTGATTGACATACCTTTTCATCTCCAAAGAAACCTCAGTTTAGATGAAGATGGTTTCTTTTTAAAGCTTTTAAGGAGTCCTCGGTCTCTCATAATAAGAGTAGAGGTTTTAATGGTGCCAATCAGATTCACTTTATACGTATTAATAGTTCTAGGATTCACTGAGATATCATTATACTTTATATAGGCTTGATTATTAACGTTAATTTGATCTGTATACATACATTTTACGCACAATGAGTCCTCGATAATCGAACAAACATTTGTGTCTTGTCAACCCCGTATTGGGGGATAACGCTACTAATAAACACGGGTGCCAAGTGCTCTCATTCCTTGAAACTGAAAGTTGGTGTTATGTTGAATGACGGGTAGTGATGAGAGAATAGAACAGTAATTCTTTGTGGTGATATTTAAATGATTTTTCATTTCAGTCCAACTCCTTCAAAATGTTGAAATAATCGTATGAGAAATAACACATGGGAATAACTAGAAATCAATGACATCACAAATGGAAAGGACATTGAAACACTGATCCACAAACCAAATGAATTATATTTTTTGAAAGACATCAGTCCCATCAGTGTCCTAAATTCAACTTATAGTTCAAGACTGCATTAATTTATACAAGGTCCTTGATTTATACTACTACTTGGGAAAATCAATGAGGCCTTTATGACAGCCATTCCAGATCTGAAAGTATCCAACTCGCTACTAGTGTAAGAGATGTTATTCAGTAAAGTACACATGCATGTCTTACCTGGTTTCTTTCCCTTTAAGCCTCGACCATGGCATACTGGAAGACAAATACATTTTCAATGACCTAATTTTGCAACATCCATATAACTTATTAGGGTAAAACTTACATCAAACTTCTGTTGATTGTATTGTATTGTATTGTATTGTATTGTATCCTTTATTACCACAAATATATTGTGAGAAAAAAGATAATCTCATGTTTCATTTTACATGTTTTACAAAACAAGGTTAAAAATAACAACGCATGACAAAACAAACTTACCTAAAATCCTAACTTCATCTGGTTCAAGTGCTGGAGTCACCCCACCAGTTGCCATATTAGCCTTTTATTTTTATCTGGTCCATCCAGATACTGTAGAACTAAAGCTTGAATACTGTTAGACGATGTTGCCAAGTCAATGTTCTTTAGGTCCAATACATGACCCGATATACTGCAAGGCCATTTTCACACTGTAATTGATAAAACTGGAGCTCATATCTTCAATTAGATAGTAGTATTTGTTATTGATCATGAATATTATTTAGCAAAGAGGTTATCAGAAGTTAAAGTGTGACTGTACCACTTATCTCTCAAGTATTTGAAGTTAATAGCATTTACAACTTATTCTATCTTTTCAAAAGGTCCAGTCAGAAAAAACAGATAATGTTCAAGTCATCATTTTACGATAAAATAACAGAGAGTCATGATGATTGTTATGAAGTAAGTTGACAATAATTGTAATATATTACATGATTATTTAAAAGCTTAATAAAATATTTTTCTGTCTGGTAGCAAATATGTCAATTAAGTTGTTGATCTTTATGGTCGTTATATACTTGTTGACTTAAATTGCACTTATAAATAACTCTGCAAGAATCACTATTTTAATGAATTAGGGCAAGATATAAAAGATGTACCTTTGGATAAAAGCTAAATACAGAATAACCCCCTAATATTTTGGTATTAAACAATGTAAAACAAGTTTGTCTTCCTACTTACCATGCAACGTCGAGAATTCTAAAAATCTTTAATGGTATCAATTTGATGATTGTTCAAAGACAGTAATTTTTGAATGGCTGGTAGTAGTACATGTAGTAGTGTCTCTAGATAACATAAAGGGGGGGGGGACTCCTGTGCATAAAGATATCACTTCAGGGAAAATATAATTTTTTCTCACCTCAAACTGCCTTATTATTGGTCAGATAATGAACCAAATCGGAGAATTCAGAATTGATCCTCGCTCTGCCTGTTGTGAGTGAATAGGCCGATCTAAAGGATGTCGTAATTACAAATTATAATGCCACCATTTTGAATATTTTTCCCACTTCGGATTTTGAAATGCCAGATTTGGTCTTATTCCATAACAAAAAAAGTTCAAAACACATAAGAGGTAATCGAGATATTTGTATAAACCTTTCAGCAGTGCTGCATGATAGCCAGTTGTAATGCCAGTGAATAACGACATCTCAGGGCTGACGCCAGTTTTTCCTGATTCAAGATGCCTAGCAACCTACTTTTTCATCCATTGGAATACATGTTAAATTGACAAAGTTCAAATCATAATTTCTCAAATCCCAGCCCATCGAATACTCGCATCCATTCAGATCATGTAGTCCTATTCAAAAACTTCCCATTCAGTTATATGGTAAGAAAAATATCCCATGAACGAAACAAGATTTTGCTACATTTATAAGCGAGCATTGATTTTTGGGTCTGTAAAAAGCATGTAGGACCTGATTATACCATTGATTTACTGAGACCGCCCAAAATATAATTCAATTTGGTTCAAAATTATAATCTGTCAGCGGTCCCTGACACTCCTACTAGCTATTACCAAACATTAATTGCCAATACATGTACAGATATACGTGCCATACATCTACAAAGTAGTGAACTAGTGTTTTAAGTACTACTTTTCCTATACGATTAACAAAACAAATCTCAAGTAGGTTGTATTGACCCACTGTAGATTCTTGTGGGCGATAATAAAGTTACGCGCAAGTTATAGCTTTCACAAAGTTACTTGCCGATCATAAAGGTGAACAACTATAACCACAAGAAGAAGAAATAACAAATCTTTTCAAATTATCTACATATATGAATCTAACTGGGATATTACCTGATATATGTGCCAAAATATCATCGGCTGCAAATATATTTTTTTACTTGGCAACTGAAGAATGAACGCATTAGTGCTATCACAAAATAATGTGGGGATTCACAAAATATTTCTGGATTACAGTGCGTGCAATATCCCCTTTATCATGGATTGTGAATCTCATATCGTAAATAACAATTTATCATAATTATTTTGCATTACAAGAAAAGGTTGGCAATTTTATTAATGAAGGTTTTACTTGCTTATACATCAGTATCACAAGTTCACAACTGAGTGTAAATGTCTCAGGTAAAACTGAACACCAACCTTTCAGACCATAATTTAAGCAGTCAAAAAGATGGCAGGATACTACCAGCCAGTCATATCTTCTCTTCAGTTTGCTAATCACCTCGCTATGTGAACCTAGTCCTTATTGTCTGGACTATATCCCACCCACAGGTACGAAACTAGGTAAATACATAGATGGCAGAAATTATCTTCTCATAATTTTCAGAAAACTGAAACCACTCATCCATTAATTTTCTTGAAAGAAAATGTACAGACTGTATGGACTAAATGATGCTAAACATTATTTGAAAGTGTGAAAGGATGGGTAAATTGCTGGTTTGTTTAGAAAATTGAATATAAATATTTCTTACTGTCACTAATTTTGTGTTGAAGAGAGATATTTGTTGAAATTCCTAACTTGCGAATAACAAGTAGATCTAATGCTATTGATAATTTAAAGGGCTTTTATACAGAAACTATTGTAAATGAAATCCTGTTGCTGGAAGACATTGATTACTTTGTCCTTATTTAAGGAGGTACAAAAATGCAAACATAAAATATTTGTTTGGATTATAATATAAGACGACTGTGGTACTATACTTAACTCTTCTCATGTTTATATTTCAATATACAATGTTTATTATAACAGAAGTCTATATCATTTTAGTTTATTAATTTATTTATTCTTAATGTTAAACTATTTGTCTACACATTTGCAGAATTTTGCTTAAAATTATAGGTATGTAAATCACAAATTTGTGTATACATCCTTCATTCCATAAAAGAAAAATATAAATAAATAAAATTCTATTTTCAATAAATTTAATAATGTGACTCAAATTCATTGTTTATTTTAAAATGTAAACATGGTTAACCCCCATGATGCAAATAATACAATATCAAAACAATAAAAACCAAATAAAAGAAAAAATTGTTGGCATTAAAATTAAATTGAAAATTTGTGATTGTGCGTAGAAAAATAAGTGTAAACATAATATATGTGTACAGTGTATGATAATGTATCATACATCAGATATCTATTATTATCATTAAGGGAGTATGCGCTGCTGGTCAAGTTTGGCAACTAAAATATATTCCTTTTCACAATGTATTTTACATGAAACTAAAATCCAAAACAGGCCTTCTGAATATGTGTACAGTAAAACTTGTGATTGTGAACACCTCTCTCTTGTGAACACCTGTCTCTGTGGACACCCTTCCTCCACACATACTTTACAGACATCTGTATAAATAACCCTCTCTGTAGTGAACACCTGCCAACATTGAACTTTTTCTTGACAATTAGTGTTCTTATACACAGGTTTTACTGTATTTGCATCTGAAAATTAGTAAACAGTGTATTTAGTATGATCTTGACAGTGACTATTCCAAAAGACAGAAAACCAAACTTCAAGCCACACCAGCTAACTCCCTTAAATTATAGTTCATAATAGCAAATTAGTATTATGAAAAGCACATTATAAAACAATATTGAACTAAGCCATAGTGCTATATAATACATGTATAGCAAGCAAAGTTACTGCAACAAATAGGCCAACTGACATCTTATCAATTTTCATTTACCTTTTTTATTAAGATTTATTGAATGATTTTTATGCTTGAGAAACTTGTATCGATAAACTATATTGTACTTTATAGTAGCTACCAAGGAGAGTCTAAAAAGAGCAAAACCCAATAATGGGAATGACAACAATAAATTCTCTAATCATGGTGCTTCCAAGACTCAGCAAAATTTCCGTCATTGCTTTAATTAAGATCTCTAAATATCACCATAATTATATAATATTTTTTAAATTACTCATCTCTGGGTGTTTGCAATACAAAGGTTTAACTCTTCTACAAGTGAACTACACTAGTATATACTATCAGATTAGCCCTCTAAGCTCTAAGAATAAGATACAGTTACATATTGAGTTACCAGGTTCTCTCAGCACGGAAAGGGCATCATGGTGTGGCCTACCACAATGCATGAGTAAAATCACTGGTGTTCAACCTCTTGAATAACAGAGCATCTTTACATGTTTTGCTTATTTTGCCATAAATTTATCTTTAATGTACAATGTTTGTGGCTCATTTTGCTGAACCCCAAAAAAACTACACACATTTAAATGCATATTATGAACAAAATGTGTCATAGAGCAATCTTAGTGAAAAATTTTGTTACTGATGTATATATCCATCACTCTGAGTTTTCAAGAGTTTAACAGAACAGTTTAGATTTGTTAATTATGCATTCAGCTTCATAAGAGTAAAAAGCAAGCTATAATATAGTAAATGTAATAAATGTCACTCATCCATGTAAAATCATCACCAACGACAGAGCGAAGGGCCATGTTTTGTTTCTAAAATATCCAGGGCATATTTCTAGAAAAGATTATTTCCCCTATTATGGTTCTTAGTGAATGTTGTTAATATGGTGATGTTACCATTTACATGATTGAATGACACATTCGTGTTTATGCATTTATATGTCCTATGTTTGAAGACAATACAAATTCAGTAGTCTTGCATCAAATCTCTGAAACTTAAACCTTCACATCCTTGTCTAGATCAGGCGTGTAAGGGAATAACAAGGGCTTGAAGCAAGACTACAATTTCAGATCCTTTAATAATTAACCACTTCTCTAAATGAACAATGACTGACAAGTATAGAAGTTAAGATTAGAAACTATCTAAACACATCACAGACACAGATGATATCTTCATTTTATGAAGACAATCATAATTCTACTTTAAATTACTAACAATGTTTCTTCAATAGTACATGTGTCCCATCTACAAAGGACTGACTATCAACCGAAAACAATTTAATTCTCTTTCACACATCATATGTAGTATGTACATTATCTTAATATTTGATATTGTGTACAATAGTACATACAGTATACTAAACTATGTATTCTAAAACTCTTTTAGAGAATTGTTTATCCTAATAAATTTAGTGAGAGATGTAACTATGCCCTATATAGGCTATATCTTATAAGGTCTTGGACCATTTTAAAATAAATTAAACACAATTTCTCATTTTATCTGATCTAGTGACTAGTCTATGATCAACAAATTTTATAATTCAAACAATGACGAACATACAATCATGTTACCGCTCAACACTGTTACAGTATAAGACAGAATGTTGTTGAACTTAAAATGTATGTACATCTCATATATTCTCCATCATAACACTAGATTTACTGATGGTATAGTGCATAAAGAATGTGCTAAATAGAAGTACAGTAAAACCTGTCTTAGTGAGCACCTCTCTCTAGTACACAACCTTACTCTCTGCACAAACTCAACTGACTTCTGTATATATTACCCTCTGTAGTTCCTTATATTTTTTCCTTATATATTATGGCTCCATAGGTGTTCATTGTATACAGGTTTTACAGTACCTTATGTAAAAGCAAGCTAAAAGCCAGATACTAATTGTTTCACAGATTTCACTTTTCATACTGTGTGAAACTACATGTCTGTGTGCATACATATTAAACATATGTTATATTCAAGGTTTTAATCGTTGTATATTTAATTTGATTGCCTAGATCATAAGGTGCTGCCACCTATAATGACAATGATATTGCTAAACCTGTACATAATTTTTATGTGCAAAATCCATGGAATTATTAGCAATTACAGTTGTTATCTGACATATTATAAAATGTGAGGCAAAATTCAAATTTTGTTTTATAAATATACAATTTAAGAAACGGTCAATTTATTGTGGTTGTAATATACAGTAAGTCATATTTGCATCAGTTACTGTCGGGGTTCACAACTTAATTTGAAAAGATAATCTAACAAATTGATGTTCAGATTTTCCAAGTTAATCGCCAAGAGGGAAGCTCTGAGATTTGAACCCTGGTCACTGTGAAAATAGACATTCTGTAGCAGTAATCTTTGAATCCTGGCTATAATTATGATCGTCATGAAGTAGACTATTCTTAATTGTACAAGTCAAGCATTTTGTAATCTGACTATTCTTAATTGTACAAGTCGAGCATGTAGTAATCTGACTATTCTTAATTGTACAAGTCAAGCATGTAGTAATCTGACTATTCTTAATTGTACAAGACGAGCATGTATTAATCTGACTATTCTTAATTGTACAAGACGAGCATGTTATAATCTGACTATTCTTAATTGTACAAGACGAGCATGTAGTAATCTGACTATTCTTAATTGTACAAGTCAAGCATGTAGTCATCTGGCTATTCTTAATTGTACAAGTCGAGCATGTAGTAATCTGACTATTCTTAATTGTACAAGTCGAGCATGTAATAATCTGACTATTCTTAATTGTACTAGTCTAGCAAAATATCATTGTCAACAATACTGAATAAATTCTTATTTGGTTTCACATGCAACATACATTTTCCTTTGCGTAGTTTTTAAATAAATACATATCCTGACAAAACAATACAGAACATATCTATCAGAGTTTCAGGTCTGAGAGGGCGTTCTCTAGGGATTATATGCCAAAAGGCGACTAAGCACCCTAGAGTACCCACCCCCTTAAAAGTGTCACATAGTCATAAAATACAGAAAGATTTACACCAAGGCAAGGTACCCTCTGGCACCATATAGGCTTATATACATACAGCCCTCTCTCTGAATGAATCACAAAATGAATCCACCATGTCTTTCAATTGGCTCGCTCAGATTTACTTAAGAGCCTCTCTTAGGGACTCATAGAAGCTGACAATGTTGGAAGGAAGCGCAGACTCAACTAGAGATGTAGGTAACATGCCTCCTATATCTGCTTGGCAGAAGTGGATTAACTTGGTTTTGTCCCTGAAATAACAACAAATGGACCATTAAACATTATAGATGTCTCAAATTGTAGTGGTCTGATTGGCACATCTGGCATTGAGGCAATAGTCAGACAGCTACACAGCCAATATGATTTGACGCCGTAAAATTCGGCACTGTTCCGGCACCGTTCATGCACCGAAACCTTTCAACACTAAAATTTGCTACCGGACTAGTCAGTCCATTTGGTGCCGAAACGGCACCGAAATTTGGCACCGAAACGGCGTCGAAAATCAGATTGCATTTTGGGAGTGTATATGTCTCCTCTCTCCATTATTACACTACTTCACATTCTTAAACAACTCAGCTTTGTGTTTTGTGGTAATTAAATTGCAAAATGCAAGTCAATTGCAAATGGAGTCCACATGCAAATCAGACAGCAACACTAATGTAAATAAATTTGACAATAAATATTCAGTAAAACCTGTACACAGCGAACACCCAGTAGTAGACTATGTGTGAAGAAAGGGTGTTCACTAAAGGCAGGTGTTTACTAGAGAGAGATGTTCACTAAGCCAGGTTTTACTGTAGTCATTATTGTTTAATAGGCCATGTCTACCAAAACAAAGTCTTTCATAATTAATTATGGGCTCCAACCAAGGAAGATTAGCTCCCAGAAATTTTGTATCACGACATGCCCATCTCTGGGACAGAATATCGATGTTGCACTCTGGGAGTCAATCCTCCTTGGGCTCCAACGGTGTGTGTAAATCATTTATTATTAACAATAGTTTAGTTTTCTAATAATACCAGGTATTCTCAGTATTTGAATGCACCTTTTGCATTGAACCATGGTCAATAATAGATGCAGGGGTGACGCATTGTTGTAGGCGATATCTATTAACTGAACCAACAATTGTCACTACTTTAACAATGAATCAGTATTAAAGCCTTGTGAACTTTACCATGTTTTACCAATCAAAGCATGTTAATTATTGCATCTAGCATAAAGCTTTGTTTAATCTGGTGTTTAATTTCTATTTAAGTTATGTTATCATATTCAGTGAGGTACCGAAGCTGTGAAAATTATTTCTCTTCTCGACAGTCAATATCTACCCTTTCTAGGAGCTTGAGGTTTACATCTTCTCTTTGAATCTGAGATAATCCTTTGATCTAGCTTAACCAATCAGAATATGTCAATCAAAAACAGCAACTAAATCAGAATTGCAACTTCAGAATTTAAAGCCTTCATAAGCAGCTGGGATTAATGTCATACTTTTATCAACATCACTGTATATTCATTTGTCTTATTCAGATGTAGTAATAGGCTCTGGGACTCTGTATTTAACAGCCACTCTTAATATTATAACTTGTATCCATGGAAACATACCTGTATCCATGGAAACAAAGGCTTAAATAAAAACAGAACAAGCCAGAACAGTCAGGCCCATAGTCGGCTTTTGCCAGTGGGGGTCCACTTTTCAAAATGTTCAAGGGGGTTCACACTTTGCAACTTTGGCCCAAAATCACTTGTAAAGTGCCTAGAAGGGTGAAAAATTGCATGATTTCGAAAGAATTTTTGGCTAGGAGGGGGGATGTTCGCTCGAACCGCAAAACCCACCCCCGCTGGCTATACGGACCTGACAGAATAGTGTGTAAAATTATATATATATATCTTTATGTATTACATCTTCTAGTACCTGATCCTCAGGGGTGTGAATGTACTCAATAAATATTCTAAATTCCCCTCCCAAAGTTTTAAAGTGAGATTTATATTTTGCTAAAAATACAATGGGCTTTCAATTAGCTAGTTGTATGTAAGCCCATGAAAATACAGACACTGGCACTTTAATCCAATTGGTGTCAGTCTAGTGTATTCTATATATGTTTAATTTCCTTAAGTTCCTTAAATAACTTTGTGGGAGATCTGAACAATCAAAAGATTGATGTAATTTCAGGAACTTGACCCTTGTTTGATTTTTTGTTGTAGTCAGTGTGAGCTCAAGTCATTTCATTATTAATGTCGTTGAAGTTTGTTGTTGGTGTGGTGTGGAGGGAGGGGGTAAAAATCATGAAAAAATCAGCTTTTTTATGTTATCTTTCAAGAATTTTGTGATAACTTCCAGAAACTGAAACCACTTTAAAAGATAATAAAATTTCTGAAACATATAAGTTTATTTGGGCTTTGGTAGGGAGATGGTTGTTAAGAATTTTCAGTCAAAGTTCAGTATTTTCTGTGTTTATTAATATCATTAAAGAATTTCCTTCCTTGAAATTGTTGACATCTCAAGCTGAGAATTTGATAGAATCTGCGTGTCAGCATTCCTGCTTGGATTACTCTCTCTATACTGATTGAAGAGACAAATTAATCATTCCTCTGTACACTTAAAATGTAAATCAATTAGATGTAAAGTTCATTGTGACATTTCGCCAGTATATGGAATTGTGCTATTGCATATATTTTGAAAGGGAAACTTTTATGTAACATACAGTATAAAATCTACAGTATAAAATCCCCATAAAGTGGACTTTTGTGACCGAGTAAAACTGTGTGGGGGTGCAAAGGTGCAGGTAAATTAAACATTGGAATCAATTAGATGAATTACCAGTGGATCCCTTGAATTGTTCATTTCATCACTTTAAACAAGCTTTGTGTGAAAAAAACTGACTACAAAAGGCTGTATTAGCCAAATACAATCATTAAACAAGGTAACTGCTAACAATGATTACACAAATTTAACATTGAACATACATACCCTTCTGGTCTACATATAAGTCCACATGGGTGATTGGTCCCCCGTACAACTCCACTCTCCTCTGGACAGTTACTGTGCGTTACACTCTGGGCTGAAATACAAAAAATGGAAGGTAACTTTGTGCTAAACTTGGGCTAAAATTCAAAAATGTAAGGGCACTTTGTGTTACACTCCAGGCTGAAACACAAAAACTGAACAGCTATTGCATGTCACACTTTGGGTTAAAATACACAAACTGGAGAGCTATTGTGTGTCACACTTTGGGTTGAAAGACACAAATTGGACAAATATTTTGTGTCATGCTTTGGGTTAAAAGACACAAACTGGACATTTATTGTGTGTCACACTTTGGGTGAAAATACACAAACTGGAAAGCTATTGTATGTCACACTTTGGGAAACACACAAAATGGACAGATATTTTGTGTCAAGCTTTGGGTTGAAAGACACTAATTGGACATTTATTGTGTGTCACACTTTGGGTTGAAATACACAAACTGGACAGATATTGTATGTCACACTTTTGGCTGAAATACAAAAATGAACAAATACTTTGTGTCACACTCTGGACTCAAATACAAAATATAAACATCTACTGAATGTCACACTTTAGGCTGAAATAAACAAAAACAATCAGCTGTTACATAATAAACATTGACAAGGACAACTGTAATCTTTGCTTCCCTCTTGATCCTAACTACTTTCAGTATGCCAACCCAGAGAGAGGGGAGGGAATGGAACAGCTGAAAAGACACAATGCAAAACTAAAGCTTTCAGTTTTTTCTTCTGTTACCAGGTTACATTGAACTATTTTGCGATTACATCATATCCAGGCATATTATCAATATTTATTCATGAATCACAAACTCTAGTAAATTCTTCAAATCTATACATAGATATTAGTCAAACAACAGTATTGCAACTGCTCTGTTGGTGAATTGACACATATGTGAATATTATTAGAAATATCACGTTCAAGTCATTTGATGATATGCCAAATTCACCAAAGGCATCATGGAAATTTTAGAAAATCATACCTCTAATTAACAACAATTATATCAGGTACATTGGTGCACAAACAATTATTTAAATGAGATACAAACAAGGGAATAATACAAAAATGAAATCCCAAAAACATCTTTTTAAATTCTTTATATTATGACTATTACCAAAGAGTACATATACAGTGATACCTGTACATTCGAACACCTGGCTACTCCAAACACCTCCAAATCTGAATGATTTTTTCCCATCCCATTTTTTCCTACCATTGACTGATATGTTAAAAGAACCCCCTTGAAATGTGAAAACCACCCAATTTGAACACTGACTGATCAAATTTGAAAAATTAACCTGTCTCATCTGACCACTTTTCACAAAATATCATGTTTCTTACAAAATTGCTCAATTATTTCAATTTAACACTGAATTGTTATGATATCAAACTTTCATGGAATGGTTTCAATCATAATTGGTCTTTCTAGCATGACAAAATCCATTTGAATTGAATTTTCATGTAACTGGAATGCCATGAAGCTAGACAGAACTAAATATCAATTGAAAATGTGTTCACATTTCTTAAAGATCCCGATAAATGCAAAATCCAAAAATGTGAACACCTGCTAATCCAAACGCTTTTAGGTGATCCCAATGGCATTTGGATTAGACAGGTTTTACTGTATATGTACAAGGTGGGCCAAAAAACGCCATTTTTTTCAAAATGCTATAACTTTTTTAATTTTTGGTACAAAATCATAATTTGCATACCAAATGAAACTTGAAGTTGTTATCTAGCCATGGATCATGAATTGTACACTTTTAATTGAATAAAATATATCAGCAGCGTCTCACTTAAACATGTGGTGTGCCATGAGAAATAAGAATAATTTGCAAAATGTTCCTATCGCCTGATGACCGCCAAGCGGTATAGGGTTTGGGAAGGTCCCCACGAGATTGTATGAAGGCACCAAATCTAAAAAATTGCTCAACTAAAGCTGGCAATTAAGACATGTTGAAAAATTTATATAGCTAACATTCCATTGATACTGCTATATCAGCAAGGCGACTAAAACTAAAATATATCATCAAATAGGGTGGCAGACCAATTGAACTCCTCTTTTAGATACATTGTTACATTATATTATTACTAAGAACCCCTGGCACTATATAAGTGCAAAGTTTGGGGTATGTAGGTTAGAAAATAAAAAGTTATAGTGTCTTTAAAAAAAGTGGCGTGTTTTGGCCTGCCCTGTATATACATCCCCATGGCATTATATTTGGCATGATAACAATTAAGATTGATTATGCAGTAGATGGACTTCTCCTGGGCTACAAATTTAATCAATGTCAGTGTGAACTATTGCAGAGAGACAATGGGCCAGGATATAATAAGAAGTACACATATACCAAGCCCGCAGCCAGGATTTGCTAAGGGGGTTCACTTTTTAAAAATTCCAGGGGGGCTCGCTTTTGACAACTTTGTCTAAAAAATGGCCTAAATCACTTGAAAAGTGCCCAGAATAGTGAAAAACTGCATGATTTTGTAAGAATTTTTGAAAAAAACCCTGGCTATGGGCCAGTATACTATAAATTGTTTTCATCACAACTATTATTTCATATTTCTGTCACTTTAAACCATGCCCTTTTTGAGTTCAACATCCTAACTATTCATCATTCTCTGTGGCCAATCAATATAAATGGTATTTATATTAGATTGAGGTGACTAACAATAGCTATTAGAAGTGCACATGTACTTTAAACTACAACTATCACAATAACGTGGGGATGAATCAATGAGTCCCACACTCATTTACTATGTTTTCTTTGGAGATATCAGAAGCAATATGATGGAATTGTTCAATTCATGTAAATTATTGAAACCTTATATGCCACTGACCCAAATGCTGAAAATAACGGAATGAATAAAAGTAGGTGAATAATTCACTTTGAACAAAGGTTTTCTATTTTTCTCCCCCATATCATAAATAATATATGGCTTTCAGACATGACACTGAAGAATCCCATATGGAACCTATAATATACACTAATCAACAATCAATCCTAGAAGAGCTAATTTCACTTGACAATTGTAAAAATCCAATTTAATGATAAGTGAATGAATCAGATGCCTTATCACAAATACAATACCAGTCTATGAATCAAGATACCATATTGTTTTTAATCACTGGAAAATTAGTGTGACACTCAAGATGCTAATGGTTTGGTTTTTGAAAATCATGAATGGGTGAATGGGACAAAAACATCACAATCGCAGAATTTAAATGACAGGTTATCAATTTTACTATTTATTGCTGTTTATTCATGCTGATATTGATATTCACTCATGGATAAAAATAATGCCCCTCATATATCACAATGTTCTCTCAAGAGAACTTTCTCAACTGGGTGCAAAATTCTAATTGTTTTTTTTATAAAATATCCAAAAACTGGTCAGATTTTTCATGATTTATTTAAAATTTATCAATAACATGCCAATGGATTCTTAACCCAATTTGCTATTGTTAGATGGGTCATGATTTTTGGACCGCAACCAAAGATGGCAGAAGATACTTCAAGTAATTTGATTGGTTCCTTAAAGCATCGTCAACTCTCATCTTTGGTTGTGGTGCTCTCCCATTGTATATATAGATATTCATTACCTATAGTTGCTACATAATCATCTGCTTCCACTGTCACTGTTACATCAACAAAATCTCGTGATGATATAAGACCCTTGGCAGCGCTGTGGGTGACTGTTCGTACTACTGACGTTTTCTAAAATATAAACACATTTTGAGAACAAGGCATCAACATTACAAAATGTAATCTACTTGTAGGTAATTACAGAATGATGGTCACAAAAGTGAAACAAGTTCTTACAGATGCTGACGACAATCAAATGTCAGTCACAGAAAATGTGCAATACGCCATGACCTAAAAATATTTTTTCATATATACAAAACATAGTGTGATAACGACAGCCATAACTCTTTCACTGATCATATATAGTCTCTAAACAACAAATGTGATAGAGGTTTTGTTAAATCAGCGTGTCTTCCTTAGAGTTTTCCTTATGTGGGTGCAAAGATTATTTTCAAAATTTCAAATAGGATCAGCAGCCATATGCTTCAGTTTCACATTTTTCTGATTTAAACCAAACATAAACTTTTTAGCAATAAAAATTGTTTTTATATATAAAACTATTTTTAAAATCAATTTTAGAATTATTTTTAAAATACATATTTTCAACTTAATTCAAAATCAAAAAAATAGTCATATTTTGACCTACTTTGGATAGAATTCTGAAAATTCCACTGAGGAAAAACCCCAGAAACTGATAAATATTAATGATGTGCAACTGTACCAAAATGGTATTAATTCTAAAAAATGTTCATGTGGTAAAAAGAACCTTTCATAACGATTTACAAACCACTTTGATACAATAAGATTCTTGCTAATTTAGTTAGAGTCTAATTTGGAAAGTAGCTTTTTTGCCTGAATTAAGTTTTATCTGGGAGTTTTATGTACATACATGTACATACATCACCAATATAATCAGTCTCCTAGCTATATCCAACAAAGTTTAATGAGCATCAACGAAAATAACTTTATTAAAGTATTTATTGGAGCAATTTTCATAAAAATCATGTGCACAGTTGAAAAGTGAACCCAATAACAGGAGTCGATTACTTACGCTGTGTTACCTGCAGGGGTTAATTAGACAAACAGGTAAAATAGAACACCTGTGATTTTACCTGGATGTTAACATGCCAAATATGCCAGCTATCCTACTACTCTGTGGTTTGTAAATATTATGTTATAAAACACTAAATATTTATCAGCATGCATGATATGTTTATTATGAAAAGCTAAATGTGGGTAGTCTTACTTGATTATTTTTTATCTTGATAAGTCTAGATTCTAAGCGAGAGAAGATAACGAAAAAACTTGAACTATGAAGTATATAGTACAGCTGTCTCCACATTCTGAAACCCATCTCATTGCTTTTCTTACAATGGTTTTGTATGAAAAAATACTGTGGGTGTCAGAATGATGCAATCTCAAAGGAGAATTAATAGTCAAATAGTCAAGAATTAATAGTCAAATAGTCAAGAGAATTAATTAGTCAAATGCAAACATTGTGATAGAATCAATAAGTACATCATTTAAATTTAATAACCACAATTCTAAACAGGACAGCCTTATTGGTTATCAGAGAATGTTTCAAACAAAAAATAAATTAGGTTTTGTCATGCCGACACTTTTAACAAACAGGAGTGGCACTGGGTCTCAGAGAGAGATTTCAAACATTAAATAAATAGTATTCGAACATGACTGTATTCACGCCTTCTATAAACTGTAAACAAAGTCAACATTTCACCCAGGGTATATTTGCGAACAAAACATCTGGTAATACGTGTAATGTGTGACGTCATAATGGCGGGCCGTAGTAATGGCGGATCATAATGAATATTCAAAACATTTTGGTGAGTTTTCATGTTCGAATCATAATATAGACCTCAGAGCAGGTGTAATATTGCCCAGTACACCCCTTAGGGCTAGGCACAAAAGCTTTCGAACCCCTCACTCCCTTCGGTCGTTTGGGGTACAGAAAACGTTTGTGCCTAGCCCTGCGGGGTGTATTCAACAATATTACCCCTGCTCTTCGGTCTATATTTCTTAAATATATCTTTATCGTGTTGATAAACAGTTAAAGAAAACAGTGAATAATGGCTATGAATAAAAGAGATATCAGGATATAAAGTCAGTCATCAAATAAAGAAAGTGATATCATTAATGTGACTTAAAATTAACCTCACTAATATATAAGGAGTAATTTATCTCTATACAGATAGCTGTATCTCATTCACAGATGTGAACTTTATAGCATGATTCACAGTGCTAACTTCCCATAGAGATAAAATAGCCATTCAATAAAATGACAAGAAGATTTATGAGGACTTATATATTTTTCCGCTCTTAGATTTACTTTTGTCCCTTGGCCCAGTCAGTAGGTACAATTGTGAGAGGCTCATTGGATAACATTACATGGTATATCCCATAACTACTAAGGTTATATCCTCCGAACGCAGATATCCAGACATCATCTACCTTATTTAGAGTGATAATGTCTGTCTTTTTCTCTCTTAGGACCTAGACGTCATCTACTCTGTTCAGAGTGGATGATGTTTGACCCCCCCCCCATTAAGAGGATGTTGTGGTCCTAGGTAGATAACATGTGGAAACATAAATTGTACCTATAGGAAGCAGGATTCATATTTCCTACAATGTGACTTAAATGCTACATCCAGGATAATAATTAGCAACCTTATTCCCGCTCCGTGAGGGATAAACACTGTATCTAAAACCTTGTAGTACATAACCCTTAATTCTGGAATTACATCAGCTGGAACAACCTGATTTAGGCTTAACTTAAAACCTGATTTAGGCTTAACTTAAAACCTGAGTTAGGCTTAATTGAGATAACTTAACTAGATCTTAACAAACTTAGCAGACTTGATCTTCAGAGAGTTCCTTGATCCGACATAGCGATTTAATGTCAGATAGAGCAGTAAAATGCCAATGAAAGTGTCTACTAGCAGTCTAGTAAATGCTTAGCAACATGACTAATTCCAATTAAGATGCACAAAATAAATGTTACTTGGCGACAAAAAATCTCTGTTGCATAAAAATACAGAAAAAACTAGAATTTAATCGTGGTTCGTAATATATCATAGGAAAAGTGTCGATACCTTAGAAATGGATTGAATTGTACTGGTTGATCTACTATATTGCCAAGTTTTCTGTTTTTTCAGAGAGAACAAATGATGTGGAATTACAGACATGGAATTACTGGCAAATCCCAACCAAGCAAATCAATTTCTTTTATAAATAACTGTTGTAAAACAGTAAAACCGGTGCTAATTGTAATTATTACACACCGAAACACCTCCACATTTGAAAAACTTTCCCCCGAATCCTATACAAGAAAACATCACTTTTTAAAATGAAATGTCTCTAAAAAGAACAATTTTTCTCCCTATCATTCACTGTTGTTTCTCATAAAATTGAGTATTGAAAACATTCCCTGTTGAAAATGAAGCTCACGCATCTACCAGTAAGCATGACGGGGAAATATCGCAGGATATTTTATACATGTTCGGGAATCAAAGAACGTGAAACACATCAGGGAGAATAGTATAAAATTAATTTCTATGTCATATTAATCAATGAACCTCTCATTTAAAAAATTTGAAGTGAAATCCACTTTTCCAAAAAGGGTAAATTTAAAATTGCCGAAAACAGTTAAATACCTGTTCATGAGTTTTTTTATTTGTATCGTGCCAAATTTGAGGATATTGTGTGTAATTGATTATGTTTTCTCAGTTTCATTTACAATTAAACCTACAGTTAACAAATTGCAGACATTATATCCATCATTAGAATGATTAGCCTCCTAATAGCTTGCTCATTTATCATATAGCCCCACATTGGAGCAGACCTCTAGCTATTAGTGAAGCTTTGAGGTGTGCATAGACTACTAACTCTGGCCAGAAATTCACCTTTTGTGATACATCTCGCAGTTGTCTCATTGCTTCAACGATCAAACCAATTCTTTCTTTCATCTTTAGTCTTTAATGATTTCTTAGCAGTTAACGAACAACCTTTTGGACTTTGGAATGATTTGTAATTTAATAAGGGGGATCTCAACCTATATTGGCATCACTGCAGATTGTGGCGCATCCTTTCAATATTTGCTTGTAAAAAAACTCTTAGTCTAGTGACCTATTATCATAACTATCAGATCATTTGCAGACCTAGTTTTGTGAATAATCATCCTAAAAGTGGCTTATAATGTACCTTACAAAGCCGCTATTGTATGTGTATTTATTTTGATAATTTGAAATAAAGAAATACAATATATATAAAAAAAACTCTTCAAAGATTCAATGTCAAAACACTTGGTATAGACATTGTACAAGATTCAACCACAAAACTGCAAAACTTGCATAAAGAAAGAATGTATATGTACTGTATGTTCCAGACATGAATCAGGAATCTCAAAATGGAGATTGGGGAGCAAATAAGAAATATCGTAAATTCCTTTCGCTCTTTTTGTAATAGACTCTTTTGAGGCCTTTGGTTTTTATCAATGTTATTTAAGACAGAGGGCTATTGATGATGGCGGGGGTTCGCTAATATTTGTTTAATAAAGAACTAAGGGGTAAAAGGAGGGGTAATATGTAATTATATTACTGTACATACAATCATTATACAAGTAGGCAAAATTGTATACCTGCCAAATTCATTTTTCGAATCAAGCTGTACAGTTTAATATCACCCTATCAAGCTAATTTCTGATTTCTTCTATCCTTCTATTTCTTCTGTTATTCAATTTTTTCAGAAAATGACTAAGGTTACACATTTACAGCATGTATCAGAGCCTCCCAAAACTGTTTTTACAAGTACCACATATGGCACCAATCATTTGGTTAAAACATTCCCCAAGTAAGGGATGGTGTACAAATGTTAACATTTTAATTACATTTATAGTTCTTCCCCCCCACCCCCTATTCCGTGATTCACCATGTTTCAAATGTTGAAAATATTCAAATTCACTTGAATTTTTCAAAAATGGAGATGCTTCACTTGAATGAAATCATCATTTAGCCTTTTCCCTTAAAGAAATTATAATGATCATTATTCCATGAGTTAATTCACATTTGGACACCATCCCTATGGATTTGATAAAATTTGAAAAACAACTTTGAATCATTTGAGTTTCCAGATAAAGAACAGGAATCAGAATGCATTTTATCATTGTTATCAAATATCCTGTAATTCTGAGATGTGTTTGTATCAAAACAATATCTTGTACTTTGGAGTTTCAGAGAAGCCCATGCTTGTCCTCAGAAGGTTTTAATGAGCTTACAATAAAAAACATTTTCACAGCACCTATTCACAAACTATTAACTGTTAGGTGAGGTCTAGTGATTGTTTGCATTTTTGATTTTTTTCGATCATACTTTTTAATTTAATCAGTACGCACAGAGTGATATTCCTTCAGGATATAGTAATCGAGAAATGGGACTGGTAGCCAATGGAATGTACCAACCTGGTCATATGACAATGCCATTGTTTCGATAGCCAATTACTACTAAATTCACAATTTAGAGCAAGCCCCCATTCTATTCTATCCGCTACATGTATTAAATACTTTTGTCTTGTGAAAGAATGACATGCCGCACAAGACATTTTCATTGACATATTGAAGAGAGTAGTGGCTGTGGTTATAACAATGCTGAAAAGAGGCTGGAATCCAGAAATATAGATCAAGAAAAACACAGGCACCCAAACACAGTAGTCTGGTTACTTACATCATCAACTGTTTCTAATGTCTCTAACCCTTTAATGGCTTTGTCCCACCCAGGTCTTTTGCCATCAGTCTTTGGTTCAACCATCTCAAATACTTTCTCTTTAGGAGAATCTATAACTCCTTCTGCCTTGTATCTGGAACAATAGCAGGAATATGTATAATGGTATTCATACGTTGATAAGTATTTTAATTATATATCTTTTACAGGGTGACCCTAAATGAAACATATAAACATAAAATGAACATGTTCACTGTTCCACAGCTGGATGACTCTAACTGCAGTTAGCGTCATTCAAGATGGTTACCGAAATTCTTTCGTTTTCGACAAATCTCCGATTCAAGTTAAACTAAGCTGAATCTTGATTCCAAAAGTTTCACCCATATCGCGGTTGTTAGAGCATTTATCTGTGGTTGTTTACAATTGTAGCTTTATTAGTTTGCAAGGCGAAATTCTGGGATTCCAGATTCAACTTAGTTTAGCTAAAATAGGAGGCTTGTCGAAAACGAATGAATTTCGGCAACCTTCTTAAATGACGCTAACTGCAGTTAGAGTCATCCAGCTGTGGAACAGTGATGTTTGGGTCACCCTGTAGTGAAAATGGGATAACCACAGTATGTTTGAAATGTCAGAGGCAGACTCCAATATTAGAATTTAGCTCATATGGGATTCAATAGTTATATTTTGAATATAAATTCTCATATCAATGGATGATACAGTACATATTCAATCTAGGACTATTCCCAATTTTATACTAAAGAAATATTACCAATAAATTTGCAAGATTGTATCTGACTTCTATTAGTCTTATCTCTCCATTTATCCAAAATAATTTATAAGATGACTTTTTTATTAAAGACAATGTACTCCATGACTTCCCACGAGAAGTGCCCCCATCTAGTTTAAACTTAAAAACATCTAATATCATGCACATTCCATAAAAAATTCTCTTCTCTTTATAAATGGGCAAAACATAAATGTCTAGCATCTCTAAATGTAGCAGTAACTTCATGGCTGGTCAATACTTAATATTCCCCTCTATTCTACTTAATATTCTGTTAAAACATGACAACCTCATCGTTTTGTCTATGGGCCCTACTCATTGTATTGTACACATTATGTTTGAACTACTCTCAAAGTGCATACAAATTATACTCTTTGACTTGGAAATGAAAAAACATGGCTTTTTTGAGTTGCAATTAACTTAATGTTTTATTTCCGAATGCACTAATTACAATATGGTAATACGTTGGTGGTATTATTGACGAAGTGGCATGAACTCATTAATTCGGTCTTTATTAATGATTTATCGCCTACAAATTGATGTTGCGATTTTTCCTATCGCCATAAAATACATGTGGTTTTTGGTTAGACTTCAGCTTGGCAAAAGAATTTGTAAAACAAATGTTTAGTAGAAAACTGACACTGAGATACATTGAAGAAAGATGTGGGTAGAAGGGCTATAGGGTAAACAGGTGTACTCAATGGCCAAACTACTTCAAGCTAACTTCCTTATGATCAAGTGCTTTTCATATTACAGGCCTTTTTTATCTTTCTAGATACTATACACAACGGCATACAAAATATTTGTTGTCATAAGTTCAGTTTTTAGTATATGTATGATAAAGTACAAGTCCTCAATTGACTTTTTGGGTTATTTAAATAAAAAGTTGGCAAATACATAATATATTGAGTAAAATGAATGTTTTTGGAAAATGATTTAAGATATTTAAGTGGACTGTTATTTAACTCATCTCAACTCTTTTTCCTTTAAAGCAATTCTCATCTTAAAAGCATTGCTCATAATCTTCTTTGACTTTTCTGGTCTACTTCAAAAGCCGACAACCACACTTCTTTTTGCCCCTGGGATTCCCAGTCTGTCTTAGATATGAAGCAACTATCTTAAAATAATGAGATTAAAATCACTAGTTTTACAGTATTTCTGGCAATTTTCGAGTCTTTACTTTCTAAATTAATTAGAATGAACCCTGGCATCATAAAAGTTCACAGTTTTTAGAGAAGCATTTTTGACTCAAATTCATTTCTGTTACAATTCTGGATGGCCACATTCTAAAGCTTGCAAGTATCTTTCTCAAGTCTTTTGGGATATCTTTGATAAACACGATTTGAAATGGGAATATTTCCCATAAGATGTTTAAACAATAAATGACGTTCTATATCTATCGAAAATGGATATATGCTATTCCTTGCCTGACGTTTACATCACATTGGCTTCCAAAATGCCATTATTTTGACAGTCTTGCCATTCGTTGGTGTTTTATTAATGTGAACGTACTCTAGTTATTTAGAGATGTATCCAGTTGACTGAACAGTGCCTGGTACTCATGCTGTAAGTGGCACCATTGTAATGAGATCTTTGCAGACTGATTAATCTAAATGTACTGAAGAATAGTCATTCATTATTAAATTGTTTTACACATTTCCTACCAATGATGTCATTCTAATTAAATGCGATTGCTCCAAAAAATAATGAGAACTCATATATTCAAAGAATAAAGCTTGACTGCACTTCTACAATAAAGCCTGACTGCACTTCTACAATAAAGCTTGACTGCCCTTCTACAATAAAGCCTGACTGCACTTCTACAATAAAGCATGACTGCACTTCTACGAAAAAGCCCAACTGTACTTCTACAATAAAGCCTGACTGCACTTCTACAATAAAGCATGGCTGCAATTCTACAGTAAAGCATGACTGCACTTCTACAATAAAGCATGACTGCACTTCTAAAATAAAGCCTGGCTGCACTTCTACAATAAAGCCTGACTGCACTTCTACAATAAATCCTCACTGTACTTCTACAATAAAGCCTGACTGTACTTCTATAATAAAGCCTGACTGCACTTCTACAATAAAGCCTGACTGTACTTCTACAATAAAGCCTGGCTGCACTTCTACAATAAAGCATGACTGCACTTTGACAAAGCATAGCCACACTTTTACAATAAAGTACAACTCCTTTAACAATAAAGATGATTGCACTCCTTCAACAATAAGATAGACTGCACTGTACTTTTACAATAAAGATGATTGCACTCTTTCAATAAAATAGGCTGCACTCTACAATAAAGCACTAAGATAGGTTTTACTGTATAGGCTACACCAAAAGAAACATTGACTGCAGCCATATCATAAATTGAGCCATATCTTGAAATCAAATAAATCACTGATACTTTCCGGGGAATTCTGATTCATTTAATAAAAGGGTAATGTCCGACTAAAGCAGACATATGGAATATTTTATTATTCTCATAAGACATAATTTATCGAAATTGAGCTTAGATGTCCAACCTCAGACTGCCAAGATCCAAATATTGAAACTACTGTAATCTAATTTCAGAAGCATAAAGCAATTTGAACATTACTCATTCTCTTGCATTATTTTAGTGTTTCGGGAAATATTAATTTCATTTCATTTAGATCACAACTTTAAGATCTTTTGACAGTATATTTGTTTTAGCTTTTATTTCATTAGCATCAATTGTGAGTTGACTTTTATGACACAATAAATTTTAGTCAAGCGAGGTTGCTTGCTTTTAAAGAGCACTTCTTTTTAGAAACATTGTAAAAACAGAACTCTTGTCAACTTAAAGAGGAATAATTAACTGGAGTTTCTAAAATATTGTCATAATTCTAAAACATGCTAAATACTGTATTCAAAAACTCCAACAGCTCTGATTCTATTTCATTATAATGCCTTGCGTTTTTAAGATATCTGGCAATAGTTTTGAAAAAGCAGAAACCTCCTTTTCAATTCTAATGAATTTTGACATTTCTACATCTTAATTTTTTAATAACAGTTCAATGTGGTTGCTTCTTGTGATCCACCCACTTGTGGTTTTTAATTCAGAAAAGTTAACATAGTTACCATGACAATGTGTCAGTAAAAATAGTTTAACAATCAGACTAGCATAAGGTGCAATTCAATAAATCAACTTATTTTACTGGTATTTGCCAAAACATCAAATAGGAACTTGTCTTGTAATTGAACATTTCACATCCGGGTCAAACTGACCCTATCTCAATAAACCCTTTTCAATAATACATATCTGTCACTGAAAATTAAAAATATGTATTTATATAGAAAACTCCCGGAATCATGTTTTACAAAAGACAAGGATTAAGTTTAGAAATAGATTGTAATCTCTAAAATAACTCGAGATTGAATTCATTATTTTTAATTTCAGATAAAATCAATCTTTTTTGAAGGGATCTATGAAAGCACGCTGACCCAGCCAGATGCATATTCTGGGCATAAGCATTAACAATTGTCTGACAGTCTGTTACGCTATTCTGTTAATCTGTTACAAGTCTGTGGTTCAGAAAATGTTAAATGTGGTTATAGAGGAAAGAGCAGATCAGAGAGCATCACCTGTACAGAAAGTATGTTGTGGTTACTACAATCATCAAGTAGAGACTGCCGCATGTTATTCATCTTCATCAACTGATCAAGAAAATTTTTTAACAGTTCATTAGCTTTCTTTTTAACATTGTGACTGTTCCAGACCGTTAACATTTACTTTTTCCTGAGGTGTCAGTAGAAGTAATCTTGATTTTTATGATATGAGATATTCAAAAGAAACGATTTATTTCCAGTGCTAGATTACATTGATCACACATAATTAATCTAAATGATACAAAATAGTTTGACCTGCTAATATTCAATTATGAATTATGAGTATTTGAATTATTTTTATAGCAACCAAAAGAAATTCTTATTAGGATTCTCATAATATCGAAGAAACAAGAAAAGTATTTTCATTTATTGAGATACTCTGATCAAAAATGAATAAAAACACCAAATCATTAATTTCAAAAATTGAAGTCAAACAACTTATTTGGTAGCTCAGTCAGCCACGTAGCCAGCTTTTGCAAAGGAGGCTCAAATTTGACCCAAAATCTGCTCAAAGGAGTGAAAACTGCACGAAAGACCTTTTTGAAAGACTTTTTTTGGCTTGGGATCGAACCTACCGAACCCTCCTGGCTAAGGGCATTTAGGTCAAATTAAAACTTTAGATCCCGCTAATTAATTTCATTCATGGAAACATGATTTGCAATGACATGATTTTGTGGTCAACATCATGATACAAGAACAATAATGTGGGTGGATAGAGGACATCTTTTAATGATCACATCTCAGTTATAGGTTACCCTTTTCAATATAAAAGACAACCAACCTCTGAACTCAAACTAATCAGAGCCTGTTGTCCCTAAAGTACAGCTCTCTCTCTTTGAAAAGAAATGAGCAGGGCTCTGTTTCACTCTCTGATTGACTGAACACCAAATTTAAAACAAAGCATTAACATGCAAAATATCACCACCCGCCATTTGCTACAGATAAGGATTACCAAAAACCAAACACAAATCACAAACACTACTTCTGGTGCTGACATAATGATCCCTCTTTGTTAGAGGGTAGTGTTCTAAATAGCTGGTTTGGCCAGGGTAATATGAGGATAGTTTTGTGGTGACATGATAGATATATCATAGAAATGGCAGACCACAGAAGTGGACCACCAGATATGACACCGGAACATCAACTATCCTATTCTATACTCAATTGCCGTATGACGTATCGCTTATTAAAAGATATATGTGATCTCTTTAATTAAACTTAGATTTAAATAAATTCATGATTTTTTGAACAATAAAAGGTCCTCCAAAAACCAAATTTTGAATTCAAAAAAAGTGTCACATATCACATTTTGATAACATTAAAGTGGTTTAAACTATGGGGGCTTTAACAGTATGCATTTAAGTGTGGGAGAGATTCTTCCAGCTCCCTCTGCTTTATGGAAGTCCATGCTGAATACTTGTGAAAAGGTGGGTGAGAAATGTTAAAAGGATTTTGACTAATGACATGTCAACATCTTATAATACCACCTATTTACTTAATACATGTACTACTGTTAACATTGGGTGTTTTAGGAAACAACATAATCACTACCACCTACAAAGAGGGTGCAAATCTTTTAGGTTTTTTAGTCATGGAGCATACCGAATAAATTTTTCCCAAATAAATTAAATAAATGAAAATGTTTAAAAACACACAAATATATGGAGAACCTGTATCATATCACAGTTGATATTAATAGAAACAAGAAATACATTCAGGGATTTCACTAGAATTTCTCACAACAGGCTAAATAAATGAGAACAACAGGCAAAATCAATGGAAATCATAAATTTAACATAGAAAAGTTGAAAAGTATATAAAAACAACAGGCGATTTTGTGAAAACAACTGGTGAAAATCATCTGTTGGCTGCTGCTAATGAAACCCCTGACATTACACTGTATATTTTCAAAATAATAAGAACGTCATATTGGTGTTTAGAGACAATGTAACTTCATGATTGTCATTGGGGTGAGTGGCAGAGGGAGATGTCTCTAATGTGATTCTGAACAGGGTAATTTTATTCTTCCATTATTTCATCCAAATTATTACAGTTCTAAAATTTTGGCAAAACTAACTCTGCTACACAGCAGGTTGGTTAACTGCTTCATTATAAAGCATTTTGAGCTTCATGAACAAAGGATTTTTGAGGTGTAACACATAAAATCCTACATTACGAAGATTTTCGTCAAAATGCTTCATAAAAAAGCAAACCCTGCTGTGTACCAGGTACCATAGTTATTCTAACCTGTATCAACATTCCAAACAGATTAGGGAAGAAAGAATAGCAATGAATCTTGTAAGATTTACATCTTTACATTCAACAAAATTCATATTTTCTATAATCTTTAATAAGTATCCCTTCCAATCTCTACATCTATATCTATATTAAAATAAGGTCATCATGACATCTGAACAATTATAATTTTATAACATCAGCCACAACATAATCTAAATTTGGCATTTTACACAAAACACTTGATTTATTACAAATGGAGCTCTTTCTGTGCTGGAATGTGTTAATATGTTATAAGCCCTGGATTCTGCACACCATCTGTCTTTGGTACCAGCTCTTATGTTTGCTTTTGTTCTGAACAGGGATAGGTTAGGATAGATTAGGGATTTTTACATTTTTATGAATTATGTTTTTAGAATCTTTGTTAACCTTATGTTTTAAATCAGGCTAACAATAAAAGTGTGCACCCTGTAATTGTTTTAAGCTCCATCAGGTTAAAGACAGCTGAAGTGGCAAAGATGAGAAATCTTTATGCTCGTTTTCTTTGTATATACAGTTTCCAGGCCCGTAGCCAGGATTTGCCAAGGGGGATTCAGTTTTCAAAAATTTCCACGGGGGTTCACATTTGACAATTTTGGCCCAAATATGGCTAAAATCACTTGAGAAGTGCTCAAAATCATGAAAAACTGCATGATTTTGAACCCCCCCCCCCCCCGGCTACAGGCCTGGTTTCTATATGCATTCAATATTCTTGTATAGGGAGATGGGGGTTCCTTATCATTACATAATTACATAGATTTGTATATTATTAACATATTGAGCTCTAGAACACATGCAATTAAATATCTATAAATCATTATCAATAAATAATCACGACAAAAGCAAGAGATTGACTGAGTTTATGGTAACAAAGAATACAAAACTAGAGACTCAGCTGGAAGGTAATGAACAGTTTGAAGTTCAGTATTACATTCAGGAAATACCAAATGGGAGAGAATCGATTAATGATTTTTTGCATAATTCAATTTGAAATATTGGTTCTCTTGTATTTAGTTTGCTTTTATGATTGATCTTAGTGTGAACTTTAACTGAAGTGGGTTAAGTAGCTCGGGATGCTTCTAGCAAAAGCCGATTGATGGTCTACTATACTTGGAAGGAATTAACTATAGGGGCAAATCATTCAAATGTTGCCCTCAAAATGTTATGTCACACTAAATGTATTTAAATAATTTTATAGCCTACTAATCAACCAGAATTTTAGCTGCAAAATCTACCAGAATGACCAATTATATTGGCATAATCAAAACTATACTTTGACCTTCCAAAATTCAACCTATACATTTTTTCTTAACTGGGTTTAATGGGTGGTCCCTCAGGCCCGTAAGACACTTTTCTCCAAGGGGGGTGCGGTTTTTAGCTTACTAAAGAGAATATAAAATTGTCATTTTTTTGCCGCGTAAATCAAATCGCGTAAGACAGAGGGGGGGGGGGTCAGTTACTCCCTATATTGATTTGGAATTAACAAATGCAACTTCCAAATGTTCCAATTGTTTTGTGGGGGGTGTGAGGAGTGGTCCACTCCCCCTAGAAAATTTTACAGTTTTGAGATGCTATTTGGTGCTTTCTGGGCACCTTCATAGTGTAAGTTTCTAAGTAGTACGCCACCACCACGGGAATAAGAGTTGAGTGAATAAAAAACCTAGCATTCAGGGGGTTTGGGGGTTCTCCCCCAGGAAAATTTTGAAATTTGGTTGTATTTGGAGCGAATTTGCAACCAACTGGTACGCCTGTGCGTTATGAGTCAATAAGAAAAATGTGAATTTTTTTCAAATTCTTTTGGGTTGTCAAAGAGGATGAGAGGGTGAAGTTGGGTGGGGTGCCAGTAGGGGAGCAAGGGGTTGTCCCCCAGAAACATTGACCATATCAAGGTGCTATTTGATGATGTCTGGGCACTTAAAAAATGTCTGAGACAATACATGGGGGGGTGGTGTTCAGGGAGGGGGGCTGCCAGAGGGGGAGGTGGAGTGGGGATGCCAGAGGGCGAGTAAGTGTTAGTCTTCCAGAATCATTAACTTTATCAAGGAGCTATTTGATGATGTCTGGGCAATTTAAAAGTGTCTGAGACAATACATAAAACAAATTCAGAATTTTTCCATTGTTTTGTTTGGGGTGTGAGGGGTGGCCCACTTCCCTAGAAATTTTACAACTTTACGACGCTATTTGGTGCTTTCTGGGCACTTTCAAAGTGTATGAGTCTATGAGATTTTAAGAAAATCACAATTTTTTTTTGGGGGGGGTCAAGGGGGGGGGGGGGTTGCCAGAGGGGGGGGGGGTATGCAAGTGCAAGATGCAAGAGGGGGAGTAAGTCCCCCAGAAAAACTTACTATATCAAGGAGCTATTTGATGATATCTGGGCACTTTAAAAGTGTTTGAGACAAAACTCTAAAATAAATTTAGAACTTTTCCATTGTTTTGTGGGTGGTGTGAGGGTTGGCCAATACCCCTAGAAAATTTTACAATTTTAAGATGCTATTTGGTGCTTTCTGGGTACTTTCAAAGCGTATGAGTCAATGAAAAAAAAATACAAAAAAATCTTTTTCAAAAAAAAAATCTTTCAAATTTTTTTTCAAATTTATTTTGGGGGGTGACAATGGGGGGTGCGGTCGCACCCATCGCACCCCCCCCCATCTGACGGCCCTGTCCCTTATAGGAAGAATTCTTCAGCAAACAAATGGCATAATCACACAAGTATATGTCAAAATATACTTCACTTTTAGTACTTAAATGAGACCTAAGTGCAGAAATGTAGAATTGTCTAAAGAGGCTCAGTTTGAGTTTAGACTGCTTCTGAGATTAGAGCCACATGAGTTAATATCAACAAAATTCAATTGCTTTGGTCCTAAGGTGCAATTTCAGGCATTAGATAAGATAGTCTAATTATCTGATCATCCTAATTGGGTTTATCCAGGTATTAATTGCTGTATGCTATTATAACTCTTGGAAACTAATGAAGATTATGTAATAGGTCTTAAGGATTATTGTGTACTATGCTTCTAGTAATTGAATGAATATTAAGCTTTTTAATGAATCATTATTTTGTAAAAAACAATTTCGTGAGGCCATCAACAAAATCAATGAGGCTAGGCTAGTATGAGTTCCAGAAAGACTTGCAATTACTCATAACATGTAATCTAACATTGTTGGGATAATTAAATGAAGGAATATTCAAAATTTTATATACTTACAGGCGTCCTCCAAACATTTCTGACTTTTTAGCCCATACTTTCACACCTTTCTACAAGGCAAAGATTGAACAACGTGACAAACACATGCAACAACTCAACAGTAGCCACACACATCTAAGCAAAATATCTTGAATACCATAAAGGGGCCATGTCAAAATATCAATTTTTCTCAAATTTAATTAATCAGAGGTTCAGACCCTTCTAACCCCTTTTCACTTAGCAATGAATTTTCAATGTTCTAACTGGGCTTCCTCCTTCCAAGCAAAATTAGTTATGCAAATATGAATTTGAATTTTGACATAGCCCCTGATTGCATTAACAATTCATAAACTTCCAAGTATTGTTTTGACCCTTATTTTAATTCATATATTGAACACTTGAAAATTACTGAACTGTGGTAAAGGTATCAAAGTTAATTACAGCCAGGACATAGAACATCCACAATATAAAATATGCAACTAAAATGAAAAATAAAATTAGTTAGCTATTTTATTCATAAATGCACAAGGATACAATAAAACCTGTATTTAAAGAACACCTATGGAACCACAAAGTGTTACCTGGAGGTAGGTGTTTACTACAGGTGTTCACTACAGTATTTTATACAGGAGTCAATGTAAAATGTGTCTTGGGGTGGTCTTCGCTAAACACAGGTGGTAGAGAGAGCTGTTCACTAAGACAAGTTTTACTGTATATTAAAATACAATACAAGAACAGTCAAAACCTAAACAGAGAATGACTATGATGTCTAAAGGCGGCATTGATATTGAACTTTATTGAAATGGATCAATTCATAAAGGTTTTTTTCAGTTGCGTGATCTGATATTAAACGTTATATAGTTAATAATTAACCCAAACGGTAAAAGGCTGTTTCCTTTATGTTCTCAAATAAAAGGTTATGAATAAAGAATAATGATGATTAACGCAAGACACGACAAATATGCATGTGATATCCTATTATTTTGATGATTAACGCAAGACACGACAAATATGCATGTGATATCCTATTATTTTGATGATTAACGCAAGACACGACAAATATGCATGTGATATCCTATTATTTTGATGATTAACGCAAGACACGACAAATATGCATGTGATATCCTATTATTTTGATGATTAACGCAAGACACGACAAATATGCATGTGATATCCTATTATTTTGATGATTAACGCAAGACACGACAAATATGCATGTGATATCCTATTATTTTGATGATTAACGCAAGACACGACAAATATGCATGTGATATCCTATTATTTTGATGATTAATGCAAGACACGACAAATATGCATGTGATATCCTATTATTTTGATGATTAACGCAAGACACAACAAATATGCATGTGATATCCTATTATTTTGATGATTAACGCAAGACACAACAAATATGCATGTGATTTTGAGTGACATGAGTGATATAAGTTGATAAAATGATATCACAAGAAATATATTATGTTATTCTATTTATCCTATATACTTCATCTACATTCTAAATGTATATAATCTCATGGTCATTTCCTGTTTAATTTCACTGCATTTAGCTCCCTAATTATAAATTACATCACAATTGTAAGTGTTTTTCAAATCTATAACAAGGCATTAACATGCAAAATGTCACCACCTGCCATTTGTTACAAATGCTAAACACATTTGAAAATTATCATAAATTGTAGGTAAATGTATGGTTGACATTAGTTGTCATCATACAGATTTGATATCATCTAAAGGGTATAATGCAATCACATAACTGAAAAATAATTGTAACTTCAATTCAATCAAATGAAATAGAAAAACAGCATATTCTGACCATGCTAACTCATAAGACGAGAAACTGCAAACAACGAAACAACAACAACACATTTAAAGCATTCATATATAGTATTTGGTAAACATTCACTTTATACATAGCTAAGTATAATTTACAGATGTATATAGAATGCTTCCATTTTTATTATTGGTTGGAGGTAGGAGATATACTTGGTGACCCAAAAAAAGTTTATATTTATTCAGAAATCTCTTTCTGTAAACTGTAAACCTAGTTTTGGGGCACCCTGTATAATTGTGCATAGAGTCAGTGAACTCCCTTCATATTTATTTTATCAAAACTGAGTTTGTCAATTTGAGGATTAGAAACAGTGAGGGGGGGTATAATGTTAATTCATTGATGTTAGCTCACAGCTTGGCATGCTCGGTCTTCACTGCGACCAATGAGAGGCGAGTGAACAAAGATGGTTAGCTAAGGGATATAAGGATTATACATCTGCTGATAAAAGAATAAAAAGTGAACGTTCCCCACACACATGCTAATGTTTACTCACAGGTGGCCATCAAATTTGTCCGATTTTTTAGACCAAATCTTAACATTATCCTGTCAAAACAATAAATTGATTGCCAATCAATTGGAAAATAATGTTTACAAGGTCATACACAATGTTTCAGTATATAAATATAAATGTTAAGAGGACAGGTTAACATCTGTAATAATACAGAATACCTGCAACACATTATGTATTTATGTAACACAACTGTAGCAGATGTTTAACAAGGGAATAAGTAGCAATATAATATAAAGTTAGATATACTCTTGAGATGTGAGGAAAATCTTTATTAAATTTGCAGACAATGGTCAAAGTGGCCAAACTAGGTGATATTCTGTAAAAAATGTGAGAAAATGAGAGTTCTTCCAAATATAATTTGTTAATAGTAGCATTGATTGATGAATATGTTCCCACAAATGAAGGGATATTGAATTAAAGAATATAGGAGTTTATATTTACATAATTACAGTGTACATTTAAACAAATCATTCTATGATGTGACAGTTTACTCATGGAAAAACAGTCATAAGAGGGGTGATTAATACATAATGGATGCTTTTTATACAGAAAATGATAAACAAGTATCTGTATAAAAAAAGTATCCATTTCTTATTGATCACCCCTCGTATGTCTCAAATCTCAAAATCTTAAATGAGACATTCTAGATCTACCCTTCCAATAGTTTGATTTTATTCTGTTAAAAGTGAGCTTCATCTACCTAATGTACTAGGCTTCGACTCTCCGGGTAATCATATTCGGATGATCTTTTCTCTGTTTTTTAACTAGAAATATCAAACCTAACAAGAAATAAGATGACACAATTCATCCCAATGGAAATATCAGGTCTATAGAATAAACCATCTGTTTTATAGTGCCATTCAGTCTAGACAAGACATTGCAATGTTACCTAGAGACTGAGATAATTACACCCAGTAGATGGATATAGTAGGAAGCAATAACTGAATGATGTGAAAACCATTTTACGGTTGTGAATAAATCAGCCAAGATGTGTCAGTACATTAACAAACAATTACAAAATGAATTATTAAAGTAGCTCAGTCGCCTACATGTACTTAAATCCCCTAAAAAATCAAAATCGATTTAAATTTGGTTAAGCCTTCGTTTATATAATTATTACATTGCAAGTAAATAAATCACCTTTGTAAAATTGAAAAGGTGTGCACATGTAACTTTCTATTTTGGAATTTGTCAAATGCTGTTTTCGAAAGGAAAGTAAATTTTTAAGCTTGAATATTGACTGGAAAGAAGGTTGGTTTCAGTTTCAAACTCTATCTGCAGGTAGAGGACGAAAACTATGGTGACCAGATAGGTACATGTAATTAGATGAAGGAAATGAGTTTGAGATGATGGGTGACATGTATACACATGTTCAAATGACTTGATGGGGAGCCGTTCGGTATTTTCTGGAAAGCATTGATGGCAGAATAGTGCACTTTTCAAGTCCCCCCCTCCAAAATTGGTCTTATAAGGACCTGGGGGCATTGTTGGATAAACTCTTGGAATCAGGTGAAAATCTGGGGCATTGTTAGACCCTTGACAATATATATCATTGTATCGATAAACCGATATTTCCAATTTGAATAGTCCCTAAAACAAGAAATTGTTGTCAATGTGCCTTTTCCAACAATACCCCTGTCTGGGCCTGTCCACTACATGTCTGCCGGTGCAAGGAATAAGGAGGGGAAAACCATTTCCATTTTGATTGAAATTCAGATCATAAAATTTTGAAAGATATTTGAACATTTTTACAAACTGAAGTTTGTTGAAAACTAAAAAATTGAAAATAAATTGAGTGAAACTCACCGAATTTTTCACCTCCTTCCAATCAGCGTCGTCATTGAGGTATCCCTCGATAACTTTGGTAAGTTCAGCTGCCTTCTCTTGGTACACCATTGTTCAATCGCTGCTTCTGGAATGCAACAAACCGACTTTTGCGGCGATATTTTAACAGCAGACGAGTCTAACAGGTGCTTTGACCCAAAGCCTTTGACCTTAAAGTTCACTTCCGGAATTGAAAATGCGCATGCGGATTCGTGATTTTACGACATCAGGAGAGCGTATTCATTTACGATATTTTTTCTAGAAAATTTTCATCATTTTTTTATTTTTACGTTTTAGCAGGTTTTAAGCATTAAATATTTAACGATGAGCATGGATGACTTTTTCAGAGGATTCTTTGGTTTTCACAATCCCCCAGGATCGTTTGGGTACGTACAGTAATGTTTCCAATGTATATGGCCAAATGTAACGGTTTCAAAAATATTAGTCTAGATTTTTTCTCCTTGGGATATTTTTCCCCAGCTGTATTCTCTGTTTACTCACTGATATTGATCATCCTATTATTTATTTGTTGCATTCAGAATTTTATTGATTTTATAATGGTGGTAAATTTGGTAAGACTTTTCCCGATGTGCATCACGATGTGCATCGATGTTCACTAATGAAAATTGCTAATGCATCGATGTACAATTATGGCACATCCGACAACACTAATATATACCATTGTATTGCAGTCATAGAAGACCCCAATATGACCAAGATGACAGCAACCAAGATGACCCCTGTGACAATGATGATGATGATGTAACATTTAGGTTCCACTTCTCGGAGACAGAAGACCTTTTTAGACATTTTGAAGATATGTTTAAAAACATGGGATTGGCCGACTTTCCACCACCTCCAATGTTACCTGGTTCAGTGATTCCAGGTCCAGGTAAATACAACAATGGGATCGTTTGGGGGTATTGTTAACCCATGAGGATAGCCAGGGGGGGGTGTGATAGATGCGAACCACCCCCACAAAAAGAAAATAAGCAATTTTGTTGAAAAATATTAACAAATTGATTAGTTTGAAATGCTTAGAATGCACCATTACAGGCTGGTATTGAAAGATTTGTTCGCTGTCACGGAGCATGTTATTTTTCATATAAAACACGAAGAAAACTACACAATTTATTTTCAACTCATATGTTTTGTTATACCATGGGCTTTCAAGAGACACTCTTTAAGAGATATAAAGGTTATTAATGGTAAGGATGAAATATGAATTTTATTCCAAGGGAAAATATGATAATGGCCAAGGAATGGATATATCATTTGCGGGTAACTTTCACTTCTGTTTGAAGTCCAATAACGCTGGGAGGAAAAGCTATTGAAAATGGCGCCGAAGTAGGAGTATCATACTCCAAAATGTACCATTTTTTGTTTAACTTTTTAACGGCACGATATAGTGACACGATAATATTTACATATTTTTTCAGCACAACTATGAAGGTATTAATGAGATGTTGATGTATTGGGTCTTTTTAATTCTTTTATAAAAATAATATTTACATTTTTTGTCCGCTGTGACTGAGCAGTTGCAAATGTGAACTGTGAAACTGCTCCGTCACAGCGGACAAAAAATTTAAACATTATTTTTTATAAAAAAAAATTAAAAAAGCCCAATACATGGCTCTGGCTCTCTCTCCGAGTGTAAAATATGGAATATACCAATGAGGCATTGCTCGCCAAATATGTCGGTAACCAAGATACAATACAATGGTAGTGTTGCTATGCAATACTGCCATATTGGATTTTGATAAATTCATCTAAAATATAATATGATGAAATCCGTTTTGTGTTTTGTTTTATTTATTCAACATGCATGCATATGAATGTTTTTTTAGTTATTTCTTGAATTATACAATGAAAAGTACACATACTTTTTTCTTGGAATGTTTGCAGAAAGCATTTTTTTAAATCCCAAGTCAATGCTCATATATGAATAATGGGAAGTTGCGCACCCTAGATGTGCAATATGTAATAGATACTAGGTAGTCTTGAAATTAGTATTTTCTGCAATGCTGTGACAAAATGCAGCCTTAACTATATTACTCTATTGTAATTTCAGATGGGAAGCCTGGTAGAAGTCAGAATCCACGTGACAACATGCTTAAGGAACCTGATGCTTTTACAGATGATCCAAACCCTGATCGTTCTAAAAGACCCAAAGTTTTTGAACCAATATTGCCTTATAAGGACACAGAGCCATCCAACAAACCATTTTTTGTAAGTTATGACATTATTTGAATAACCAATGGCGATGTTTTCTGTTTAAATCTATACTAAAAACAGGTACATGATCAGTATCATCTCTTTGAAATTCATTCATGGCCAAATACAGTACTCTCAACCTGATTAGATTGTTTAGATCTATAATGCAGTCTAATGCTAGGATCCATGGATTAATATAGTGCCATTATCCCTTATTTCAGACTGAACTTGTATTAGGTCAGTTCAGTGCAAACTCTATCAACACATTAATTTCGGCAGTTTTCAATGTTTTGTAAAGAGAGTCAAATTGTTAAATTGTGATGAATTTAAAATTAAGATTTAATTGTCTTAAGTCAATCATGTCAAGTTCACTCAGTGTAAATGCTACTGATTCATTGACATGGATGAATGCAAAGTCAACGCAAGTCATTCCTTAATATAATAACAATCTCAATTTCTAATTCAGTATTTTCTGTCTGTGTTTAATATAAGATAATAATTATCTGGAACAACAACCAGTCTATCAATAAATAATTCAAATATTTCTGGACCTATTTCTTTCAAAATGGCCTCAACTTTAAAAATGTGATTTTTTAATGTAGAAATCTGAGTTTTTCATTTCAAAGTACAATATATAGAAAACCTGATTTTCTTTGATTGATCTCTCTCCTTCCTTATTTACTTTCCAATCAAAACAGCAATCGGAAATATGTTCATGGTGTAAATATTTTCCACAGAGGCTCTGGTTTACAGATGTATGGTCTGGGCTACAAACACTACATATGTGTTCTGTAGGTTGCACACATATGCTCTGCATATTATTCATTGGAGTCTTGTAATAATAAAAAATGGTAAGAACAAAAACATTAGATGATACAATTCAACAGTAATTTATCGCATGAATGCAAGCTCTAAATTACCAGATATGATTTCAATGTATAGACTTTATTTCAAGTAGGGTTGACTGGTTTAGGCCATTAGTGGGTTTGAGTAAAGGTTTGGTTTGTTTGCATATAGGACTTCATGGTTTGAGTATAGGGTTTGTTGGTTTGAGTATAGCGTTTGTTGCTTTGTTGATTGCTTTGAGTAAAGGATTGGTTGGTTTTAGTATATGGTTTTTAGGGTGAATAAAGTGCTTGTTGGATTGAGAAAGGGGCTTATTTGTTTGAGTGTAGCGTTGGTAGGATTGAGTAGAATTTGTTTCTTTGATCTTTAGGGTTGGTTAATTTGAGTACAGAGTTTGTTGGATGGAGCAAAGGGTTGGTTATGGTTCGTGTAACAATTTGATTTGTTTGAGTGTACAATCAGTTGGTTGGAGAATATACATGTAGCTTGTCAGTTTGAGTATAATTGTGAGTTTTGCAGGGTTTATGGGTTCCATCTGGATATACTGGAAAGGGTCTTGAGTCACATGTTAGCAAGCAAGAAGCTCTGGAGAGATGTGCAAACCAGCTAGAGTTAAGCCAGAAAAATATATTTTTGTATCTGGGTACCAGAGTTACAAATTTTACATGAGCCAGCCAGGCTTTCTTTTTGCAATCATTTTATTGAATTCTCTTTACATTTGCATGAGCTATCTCTGAAATCGAAAAAAACTGTCACTAAGTGATGTTTAAGATGTTTTTTGTTGTTGTATATCTGATGCTAGGGATATATATGTATGAATAACAAAAGAGAAATGGGATACTATCATTCATGTTATTCTACATCTCTGGGGTTGCTTTTATGCACACACATTTCCTCAAGGGAATCAGCCATCTCAATTTTGGTTTATTAAAATTGTCATTGTAAAATTACCTGACACAAGACATGTATTCCTGGTATTGCCTTCAGTTAAAAATATTTGTCATATAAAAATAAAACAAGTTTACTCAGGGTGAGGCTGTCTTTTACCTTCCTAATCAATGCCTGCAAATCCTAGAAATATTTTGAGATTGAGAACAATAATGTTGGTTTCAGAGATACTAAACCTTACCATATTAGGTATATTTTATGTTTGGAAGGTGAAGGGGATCGATAGATCCTACTTTGAAACCTAAGTAGTGATCTCCCCTGCATTAAAGCAAGTGGGCGCAGCACCCACCTGAGATTGTGAAAATAGGCTTGCTGCCACCTGAAAATCCATTTGCACCCACTTGAAAATGAGAAAAATCATGAAAAATTGGCATATTTTGAAATGAAAATTTTTGACCTACTTGAGAAAAAAATCCTGTGGAGATCACTGCTAAGATCATTTTTGACACCTTAAAGGCAGAATCAGATCTATAGTGACAAAATTGCACCTACCTATGTATTCCTTACATCTCAAATATATCATCTCCCAAAAGATCCATGATATCTTATCAACTAGAGTAGTTATTTTTACTAAGTGCAAAAATGGAAACAATTTTTGTCTCTGACTACTTGCTTGATCTGATACCCAGGATCTGATAGTACCTTTAATGTTACAGGGAGGTGGTTATACATGTATGTTACTAATTCTCATATTCTTATTTATTTCATTTTAGTTCAGAGATGTGTTCAAGATACCAAAGTGGGGTGGTGTTCATCCAAGAGACAAGCAAGATAAAGGTAGGCTTACTGCAATGCTATATTGAATGAAAAATTGTTTAAGAAGATAGATGTGGAATGAAAAAGAAAAAACTGCTTTACTATGGGCTCCATTTAGACAATATTTTTTTCATATTTTTATCTTGAGAAAAACTAAACTAATACTGAGATTTTGAAATCCTTATAAAGATTACAAGAAGCTATACAGCTGTCTGTCTGTCTGTCTGTCTTTCCAGTTTTGTAATATCTTTAAATGACTGAGTAGAGTTTCCTGCTGTAACGTCATTTTACTATTCATTTGATTTGCAATTTCCAGATCTGGATGGTGAAATATCTTCTGAAGATTTCGATAAAATTGTAGCAGAATCCAAAAGTAATCCCAAGAAAATAGTTCCTGTACAACCAGAACAACCAAGATCATATTTCAAAAGTGTCTCCATAAGCACAGTTAGAGGGCCAGATGGGGTAAGTACAGTAAAACCTGCCAAGTGGAACACCTTTGGTACCTCTAAATAGTGTTCCACTTGGGAGGTGTTCCACTTATTGAGGTTCATATACTATTAAGTCTGTTGGTCAATTGGAGTCTGAAAAGTGTTCCACTAACAAAGGTGTTCCACTTTTAGAAGTGTTTCAATTACAGGTGTCACTTTATTCTCTTCCTGGTAAGGGTGAATAATTGTTGTACATCAAATATTTGTTATCTTTGCCTATCATATCCGTATCCATCATCCAGTATCTAAAATTATAATGTCATTTGCTTTATTTTCTATGAAATCTCCCATATTTAGCATTTTTGTTTCATTTTCCAGAAATCTGATTTCATTTGTCCTATTTTATTTTGATGGATATATCACAAAACATAAAGCTAATGTTTGTGTTGATAAAAACTACAAGTTGCCCATCACGTAAAAGTTATTTTCAAAATGTATTGTAATATCAGATCAAATCAATAGCTAAATCAATGTATGTTTATGATCGATAGATACATAACATATTGTAGGACCCCTAACATACTAACCTATACACACATTATTTTATTTTATTTCTTTGTATATAGAAATTAGAGCAGAGAAGAACAGTGCGTGATGGTGCAGGTAATGAAGAAACTACAGTGACACGCTCACTTGGGATCAAAGCCACACCGTTGTGACAAAACGTGACAATAGGGGACACGAGGAACAGACAGAAACATTCAGTAATATCAATGAAAGTAAGAAATATTCAAACTTTATCAGATAGGGTGAATTGTTTTGAACTATTTTATGTAGAATATTGAAAATTAAAACTTCTCTGACTTGTTATTTATACATTAAACCCTTTGATGTGAGAGCATTATCTACATGTACAAGCAATGTGTATTTTTAAAAGCGTGAAGACATTTTGGCCTGAAGTATATATATGGCTCAAGTTACCCAACTTGCCTTATTTATACTGTGATTTAATGTTGATAAAATAGTAAAATAATCTAATAGTGAAATTGATTGCCATTATTATTAAGTTCATCATTAGCAGTATAGTGCTGTTTTGCCAAAACCATTAATACATAGTTGGTATTAAAATCGCAAATTTTGTAAATGAGTGTTTTTTAAATGGAGTGACATGATTAATCATGTTCGTCGAGCTTTTTTGAGTAACAGTTAAATTGATTGTATTTCCAGAAGATGTGCCAGAATTTACTCATGATTGGAAGAAAAATGATCATAAAACTAATGACCCTGGACACTCAATGGTGAAGCCATATTATACACCTTCAAGAGACAGTGAACTGCCCCATGAAAAGGACGATGCTTCCATATTTAAAAACATTTTTGGATTTTCATTTCCAAAATTTAGAGACAGTTAGGTTAATGCATAAATTAATAATATTATAGAACCACATGTGCAGTATTCAGTTTATTTATTTATTTAAATTGAGAGTTGACATAAGTTGTTGTTTTATTGTTTTATTTATTTTCTCGATAGTGAGACTGGATGAAAATAAAATACATGAAAATTTTTTTTATTAAAAATATTTATTCTCTAAATTAAAAATCAAATACATAATAACACTTGACACTTTTAATAAGTGTATCAGAGTGAAAATATTTAAATACCCATCTGAGTCACATGGAAATGAGAAAAAAGAACAATTAAAAATATTTACTCAGTCAAATGAGAATTAAATTGATTACAATTGATAAAGTGTACATATATGTTTGTCAATAATTTAGTTCAATCATATTTTGATATCATATGAATTTTAAAATTCTTTTTAAAACAGTTAATGGAAGATGATGTTTATGATTATTCCAAAGCTGAGCACCTGAATATTCTATTGAGTGTTGACTTATTAATTGTTCTAAATTTTTTCATGTGAAGACAATTTTGGAGTCTTGTTTCATGTTCATGAAATATTAAATTTGGAGTAAAATAATTTTCAAATATGTCAAAAGGAAAACCAACAGGTTTTGTTGTGTATTGATAGAGAGATTTTGCAATTACAAGCTTATGAATGTCAAAAATATCTAGAAAATTGAGTTGTTTAAAAAGAGGTGGGCTATGTGCTATAGAGTTGATTGTGTAATATTATGTACTGTCTATTTAAGAAAAGAATATAAACAATTATACCGATGATGAATCATTGGTCTCAGGATGGAAAGCTGGATGATTTTGCCACACCAAACTTGGCACCAATTTTCTACTCTCTGAGATCTACGATTTAATCATCGGCTAATTTGGTTAGCTAATGTTATTAACTAATCAACAAAAATGAAAAAATTCAAAATGACATGATAGAGCTCATAAATAATTGGGCAATGTCCATAAATCCGTTTTGACTAGAATGTGTGATAATCCTTATGGCCCTGCTTGTCATCCACATGGTTATCAGATTGAGCCAAGAGTTGGGTCTGTTTCCTACAGTAATACATTAGGTAGATGGGATGAACACAGGTCAGCAGAGTGAGGACACCTAACACTGTGTGTGCCTGGAAGAGCAAGAACATTACAAGTAAATTAGGTAGATGGGATGAGCACAGGTCAGCAGAGTGAGGACACCTAACACTGTGTGTGCCTGGAAGAGCAAGAACATTACAAGTAAATTAGGTAGATGGGATGAACACAGGTCAGCAGAGTGAGGACACCTAACACTGTGTGTGCCTGGAAGAGCAAGAATATAACAAGTAAATTAGGTAGATGGGATGAGCACAGGTCAGCAGGGTGAGGACACCTAACAATGTGTGTGCCTGAAAGAGCAAGAACATTACAAGTAAATTAGGTAGATGGGATGAGCACAGGTCAGCAGAGTGAGGACACCTAACACTGTGTGTGCCTGGAAGAGCAAGAACATTACAAGTAAATTAGGCAGATGGGATGAGCACAGGTCAGCAGAGTGAGGACACCTAACACTGTGTGTGCCTGGAAGAGCAAGAACATTACAAGTAAATTAGGTAGATGGGGTGAGCACAGGTCAGCAGAGTGAGGACACCTAACAATATGTGTGCCTGGAAGAGCAAGAACATTACAAGTAAATTAGGTAGATGGGGTGAGCACAGGTCAGCAGAGTGAGGACACCTAACACTGTGTGTGCCTGGAAGAGCAAGAACATTACAAGTAAATTAGGTAGATGGGGTGAGCACAGGTCAGCAGAGTGAGGACACCTAACAATGTGTTTGCCTGGAAGAGCAAGAACATTACAAGTAAATTAGGTAGATGGGGTGAGCACAGGTCAGCAGAGTGAGGACACCTAACACTGTGTGTGCCTGGAAGAGCAAGAACATAACAAGTAAATTAGGTAGATAGGGTGAGCACAGGTCAGCAGAGTGAGGACACCTAACACTGTGTGTGCCTGGAAGAGCAAGAACATTACAAGTAAATTAGGTAGATGGGATGAGCACAGGTCAGCAGAGTGAGGACACCTAATAATGTGTGTGCCTGGAAGAGCACGAACATTACAAGTAAATTAGGTAGATGGGATGAGCACAGGTCAGTAGAGTGAGGACACCTAACACTGTGTGTGCCTGGAAGAGCAAGAACATTACAAGTAAATTAGGTAGATGGGATGAGCACATGTCAGCAGAGTGAGGACACCTAACACTGTGTGTGCCTGGAAGAGCAAGAACATTACAAGTAAATTAGGTAGATGGGATGAGCACATGTCAGCAGAGTGAGGACACCTAACACTGTGTGTGCCTGGAAGAGCAAGAACATTACAAGTAAATTAGGTAGATGGGATGAGCACAGGTCAGCAGAGTGAGGACACCTAACACTGTGTGTGCCTGGAAGAGCAAGAACATAACAAGTAAATTAGGTAGATGGGATGAGCACAGGTCAGCAGAGTGAGGACACCTAACACTGTGTGTGCCTGGAAGAGCAAGAACATTACAAGTAAATTAGGTAGATGGGATGAGCACAAGTCAGCAGAGTGAGGACACCTAACACTGTGTGTGCCTGGAAGAGCAAGAACATTACAAGTAAATTAGGTAGATGGAATGAGCACAGGTCAGCAGAGTGAGGACACCTAACACTGTGTATGCCTGGAAGAGCAAGAACATTACAAGTAAATTAGGCAGATTGGATGAGCACAGGTCAGCAGAGTGAGGACACCTAACAATGTGTGTGCCTGGAAGAGCAAGAACATTGTTTATTGCATTGTAAAGGGGTCTCTAGAGTTCCCCTTTAGTTCTGAAATATCATGTTATCAAGTATTATATGAACAGATATTATGATATCAAAAATAAACAGACATTATGATACCAAAAGTAAACAGACATATCAAGAATAAACAGATATTATGATATCAAAAATAAACAGACATTATGATATTGAGAATTAACAGATATTAATATATCAAGGATGAACATTTATTTTGACATTAAGAATAAACAGATATTATATTAGAAACAAGTCAAATTCTTTACTTCAGAGAATATTTTTAATTTATTGAGACTTTCGACTAATATCCCTTAGTCTTTTTCAAAATATAACAGCATGTATACATTTATGTGACGTTATATTTTGAAAAAGACTAAGGGATATTAGTCGAAAGTCTCAATAAATTAAAAATATTCTCTGAAGTAAAGAATTTGACTTGTTTCTGATATATTAACCAGAGAGATGAACTTACATAGAGATATTATATTATTATTAGATGACAATATTATCATAAGAATCCCCCTTTGCTCTATTAATGCAAATATAATACATTATGATACAGTTTATACATTTGTGATATGCCACTTACCCATGGTGAGTTAGCCCCCCTTACAGCCCCTCCATTTGCCAGCAAGAAGAATGGGTATTGTAGTAGACTACATATGAAGGCAATAGCATTGAGAAGACCAGTCAGTTTGCCAAAATGTCTTCCTGGAAAACTGAAAAAATGAAAATGATTTTAGAATTTGAGAATGGCAAAAAGAGAACTTACAATGCTAGTTTTCTGAGTTTCTATATATATTTAACTCAATTTTGGCTGCAAAATCTTAAAAACTGATCAAACTCGGTATGAATATCTAACTAGCCTGTTGTATATTATTATTGAAAGTGTATCGTTATGAACTTACGCATTTGCTATAAATCCAAATGCTGGCCCATAGGTGAACACCCTGTAGAAGTTGAATACTGCAAATGTAAGGAACTGTATTTCTAACACAGGAATGGCAGCCAAAAGACTCTGTAACACTCCAATAGCATTGTGTAGGAAAATCACAAGCACAAACTTCGACAGCTTTTCTGAAAAAGATGCTACACCTCATGTATGCACTGGTGGTGTAATGTAATGTAATTGTCATTGACTTGTGTTAGATGTAGAATCAGATCTATAGGGGGCGACAAAATCGCAAGCAACATGTACAATTGGCCTACCAATTTAATCTTTATGATATCAAATACAGTATATCCTGAAAGGTCCGTGATATGTTACAAATTGGTTTTAAAGTGCACAAATGTTGAAAGGTGTTTAAATTCTCCCAAATGATAACCATAAAAATAGAAAAATTACATTATTGTAAAAATCTTTAGTTTTCTTGAATAATGGTACATCTATATAGTTTTGGGGACTTTTAGAAAAAAGACATGACAATGAGTGATATAGCCCAAAAATATTCTAAAATGAAACAATTTTTGTTTAGCTTGCTCGCTAGATTTAATTCTTATCTTTAATGCTATTAGTAAGTAGCCATTATCAACTGTAACCCACTTTCTCTTCTGAAGGACTACTATTGAATTATTTGGAATTTTTAAGAATGACAGCATTTTTGTGATTTATTTTTTTTGGTTTTAAATGCTTCCATATGACAAAAATGATGTGTAATTACCTATTCTGTATAATTCTGTGCCAACAGGAGCAGTTGTCTTGCGGTCTGTTAGCGTGCCTACTAATGGAGACAGAGCTACAGCTGTTAGGACTACGATGGAAAATGTGCTTGTATATAAAGTCACTGAAACAGAGAATGAGGAGAATGTAGCCAGGGGGTTCTTGGGGTGTAAGTCAATGCCCCCCCCCCCCCCCCCTTGCCGCTAAAACTTCACAATTTTGAGCAATCTTCACTTGATTTTTGGCAAGGATTGTTGTGAAACCTCCTGAAATTTTTCAGAAATTGAAGTCCCCTTGGCAAAAGCTGGCTACAGGTCTGATGTGTTTAAGCATTTAATGCAGTCTTTATATTGATGAAGTCTATACCTTTATGCTTTGTCTATTTACTTTACTCACATACCTGCTTTGGCATTTCCCTGACTGATGAAAGTGATCCAGGCATTAAAATTCCCCAGGAAAAAGAGAACCCTAAGATGTGCTGTAGAGAACCAGATTAGGTGAAAAATGTACAAAGGAGTCTTGAAGTAATATGTCACTGAATGGTCTTCATTGTTATTAGCCACTTTCTCAATATTCACAGTTTCGATGTTCTCTTCTAGACATACACTATCATCATTCAGGCTTTTAATCTTTTCATCTTGGGTGTTCTCTGTTCGATGTGTTGCAAAATGTTGATTGGAATTAATTTTGGGTCTTTTGATTTCACCATTAATGTCCTTTTCTTGATTTTCAGCTCTGTCTTCCACTTGTTTGTGGTTGTCACTCAAAGATAAAGATTTCTTTGCGTATATTGCTTCGTTGAGTTCATCATCTGTATATGCCCTGTTGATGTATCCTGGTGGAATATTACCATTTCCAATATTTGTACCTGCTGGATTCACCCCATCAATAGACGTGTTATATATTCTTGACTCAACATCTGTATTTCCATTTTTGATAATATAACTCTCATTGGATTGACAGTCGACTGTTTTCTCATCTTTTGTGTCTAGTGTTACCTCATAGAGATCATCCTTCGATGACCTTGACCTCGCTTGACCCTGCTTATTACAAATGAACAGCTGGATGTCATCAGGGCATGGCCACGGGATAATCTTCCTGGGCATCCAGAATATGGTACTGATGATGACAATGATGAAGGAGGCACCAACGAAAGTAAATGAGATGTTGACAGAGACTCCATTATCACTGGCCACCTGCAATACAACAGAGAATGATTTTGTTAGAAAATTCCAAAAAGTGGCTTGTTACTAGTTGTCATGTCAGCATCAGAAGTGGTGACGTATTGTGATAGTCTAGAACTGCAAACACTACAAACCTTTAAAAGTTCATTTACTCTTAAAAGGATCACAATTTCAATGTGAAATCTCACTTCACATGTCAATAAATTCATAGAGTTACATTCCAGTGGTGTTTTAAGTTGATCCAAATGGAATAACTTGTTTGATCAAGAAATTAAGTGACTCTGGCAATACATTTATATGTATTCTTGCCCTACCAACACCCGCGATGCCATCTATTTTTCCATTTATATGGAAAATGGTCAATTTCGATAACTCAGTGTTCTATCATAGGTATTCCAATATTTTTATCTATCCCAGCCGACGAAGCTCTCTTTTAAGAGGTGAAGTCGAACGAATGCAAAAGAGTATCAAAACCCATCCGAGCGCCGATTTGGTTTTTATAAGGAATTCGAAAAATGACGCTAACCTGAACAAGAAAGGCTAAGACAGGGCTTGTGAAGGCCCCACTAATGACACAGATGACTGTGCCTCTGGCTGAGGTGACAAGGTTTCCCAGTTGGAACGTTGTAAGTAGAATGAGATAACCTCCATACAACATCAGCACTGTAGCTGGAAACAACACCAGGGATACACCTGCAAATGGATTTAATAAACTTAATACCAGGCGGTGGATTGAATATCTCTGCACATTCAATGAAATAAACAAATGACCAAGACTCAAATGACAGATCATAAAAGCTACAATTTAGATCGATAAGATTTTATCAAGAACAAAGCTGTTCAATCATCTGCAACAATCATTGTGGTAACAGGTTAGGGGGAATAACCAATGAGAAAATAATAAATACTTATCCCAAATTGCTGGTCCAGTGCAGTTGCATCCCATATACAATTAAGTTCGTAATTTTTAGATGATGGTGAAAAGTGATAGATTTGTCATAACGTACGTGGTTTGTAATGGTTCATATGGCTTTAAGATATTTGTTCCGATTTATTGGGAACTTTAGTTTTTTCCTCACCTGGATTTGATAGCACCACTATTGCAGCTCCCGCAACGAAAGAGAATCTGGAAAAGGGAAGTATTTATTAGTATAATTTGTATTAATATAGAGGTAAAAAGATAAGCTTCTTAGCCGGTGAAGACTTGTGATAGGGCTCAGGTCTGACATGTCCAATTATTATATTCAAACCCCCACCTGTTTTGTAATTGTGGCACACACATTGTATATAATAGTTTAAAAAACTTTTTTAGGATTATCTTTTGGTGCAATTAGACCTCGAGACCGCAGAAACTTCAAAATTCAATTTCAGTTTGAGTGGTTTATGGATCCTATTATCAATCATGAATTGGGTCCCTCAATTAAAATTACAAACCAAAGAAATCTGTTAACTCGATGAATTTTTTTCTGAGACACAATGGTTTTAATTTGTGATTAATTTGCGGACACTTTTTCGAGCTAATTCAGCGCTATATACATATGTATAAATGAGCTAATTGTAGGGACGATACACGTAATCCTCAGAAGAAATGTATTTTGATAATGGGATTGTGTCCTCGATGCTAGTCCTTATCGAAATATTGGCCCCATTTTATGACCACTTTTGTAATCGAACATTGACATGTTTACAAGGTTAGGACACACACACCTTCAGACACACACTCGTCCATACATGTTTGACCCAATCGCATAACATTGTGATATTTTGAATAACAGATTTAAAGTTATATAGTATATTTCACAACTATTGAATGGCCGATTCATAACATCTATCCTCTTGTATGGTTATGCCGATAACAATAATGTTCACATGTAACGTTCAAACAACAATTATAAGAATTAAAGTGGCTTTATAATAATATCATCCAATACAGAGGGGTAATGTAAAAAAAATCATTCTAATTCGGAGTCCAGAGTTTTAAACCATACAATACTTCTATGCAGTTTTCGTTTCTGATCTTTAAGTACACTAAAATGAAAAATTCAAAATGCTGCATTCATTAATTTGGAACCATTATATAGTATATTTAATTTGGCGTTTTCACTCAAGGAATTAGCATCTACTGTATGCCAAAGACATTTGAAAGTTGAAATTATATTATATATATTTCCCGTAAATGGACATAATTAGAAATAAAACCTGAATGAATTAAAATTATTCTAAATTATTCAAAACATTTCTTCACAATTAACCCAATTAAAACCACCAGTAAATCAAATTGACATTGTTTCTGTAATGTAGCATTGTATTCAGACGTTTTGTCACATGGAAAATTATCGCGACATTTTATCTTTTTTAAATATATAACTTAATTACATATTTTTTCTATCATAGTGTCACGATGCCACCTTTCCTTATGTTAAAAGTGTGTGAAAAACCTGTAAATGGTCGTTAGAAACAAAAAAAATACAAATTAATTTCGAATATCTATTAAGCATAGTACGAGTAAAGGCGCTTTCAATTTGAATTTTCACGCGCCTTCATCTGAATTTAATTTAACTTACATGCCAATGGCCCTACAAAGGGCTGTTCCCCATCTATCAAGGAGTATTCCATTTACAAGTTGCAGAACACCAACAATAGCAACAGACACAGTGAACACCAAGTTGAGTTCCTCATCTTGAGAGACACATGCACGAGACACTGACACGGTTGTGTTATCAGTATCTGATATTGTTCTGTTTTTACATCCGCTGTTGAAATATCCTTCCTTCTTGAAAACATAAGAAAGTGATGGCCATCCCAAGATGAAGCCGCACAGTAGGATCTCAATGATTCCCCAACAAATATAGAAAATTCTGCTTGCTTTGATGTCACTACATCCCATCTTTAACACTGATGTTATTTAAGAGCACGAGATAATTTGATAATTATATGTGTGTAGCACATGTGAAACAGTGAAGTTAACTTTCTACACTAAAGTAAACTTTACGAGTGTCTATGATTACCATCTTCGAGTTCCAAGTGGTTATATATAACACTTTAATTGCCCCAACTTACTAAAACCTTGAGAATCAAGATGTATGATCAGAGGTTTTCAAGTTTCAATGATTCTGTTTGCTAATCCTTTATGATTTTAGCCTATCGGAAGGGTTTGGAGGGGATGTGGAGAAGACGTTAGTCCGTTTGTTCGGTTTTCCATTCGTTCCTGTGTCAGTTCCGGGCGATAAATCTAATACCGGTGTAAAATAAATTATGGTCCCCTTTGATTTGGTTTTGTATTTCAAGTTTGAAACTGCTCCCCCAAGCTGGACAGTTTTTTATAGAAAAAATTAAAAAGACCCAAAACATCTAGATCTTATTAAAACTTCCAGAGTTATGCTAAAATCATATGTTAATATTATTATTTCACTATATCGTGTTACATCAGTTTTTCAGGGAAGTTGCTCCGCCCTTTTTGTATTCTAGTACACAACTGCGCGCAGATTTTTAGAGGCTGTTCGAACACAATTATGGGTGAAGTTTTTCAGTATCGTCGTTTCATATAGAAAATCTGCGAAAGGCTAATGAGCAGATATACAATGAATCAATAAATACGTTGAATTTACAGATTTCAGTCTAGACCCTAACTCATATTGATAGTAACGATCCGAACCGTCACTTATAAAATAAGGCAATGGTTCTACACTCCCCTCCATAAGATTGGCAACCTTAGCTCCCCCATTGAACTATGTGTTAAAGCCTCTTTACCTTTGAATTATTATTTACTTAACCTGCGATGAAAATACTAATACTATTGATTGAAACGTAATTTGACTTTATTTCCAATACCTCCAAATTTTCTCAATTTTTTTCATCGATTACGATAGGTCGAAAATTGATGATAAATTTGATGAATTTTTGAAAATCGATAATTCCCATGTTATCCAATGGAAAATGTAGGTTTGCCGCAAGTCATATGACAGAATATCCATTACTCCAAGTCCTTGCAAAAAATACAAGCTAGGTAGGCAATTGAATTAGCTAACTTTATTTAACAAAAAATTGATACCTTTTTTCAGGATCAGGAAAGTCAAAATTATTTTTCAAAAAACCTCTCCCATTGAAATAACACAGGAGGCGAAAAATGATTTTCAAAAATGACTTTGAAGCTCTGTAACTTTAGTATTCATCAAGTAAGATAAACACTTAGCGTACAAAAAAGTTAGACAATTCAATTTTCTATATAAAAATATTTTTTGCTGAACCTTTTATTGAATAGATATCCTGATTTCTGATTTGCCCCGAACCCACCATTTCCCATTGGTTTACATGGGAATGACGATTTTCAAAAATTCATCATCAATTTTCGACGTATCGTAATCGAGGAAAAAATTGGGAAAATTTGAAGGTATTGGAAATAAAATCAAGTTACGATTCCATCAATATTATAAGTTATTTCATTGCAGGTTAAGTGAATAAAAATTCAAACATAAAGAGGCTTTAACACGTAGTTCAATGGGGGAGCTAAGGTTGCCAAACTTATGGAGGGGAGTGTAAAACAGAGGTTCATACTATAGCGAAGAAGTGGTCAAAATATTGTTTAATTACTGTTGATTTATTACAAGGTTGACAGGTGCACAAATACTTTGTATATGATCCTTACTTAAATATGCTTCCTTGTCAAATAAGCTACGTATGGGCGTCCTTTTTGTTTTTCAGTTGATGCTAGAAAATATCTTGATCTCCTACAATGAGATATTGGCAAGGTTGTATCATTTCAAAACGAATCAACATTATCTTTAATTTCTATACAATAACAAGTTTATTTGGTTCAAAATTATGAATTGCTTTCAAAATATATGGTACATAAAGTGAAGGTCTCCTCTCCGACATACTAGTACCATCTTTTGGCAATGAATACATGTACCTCTCATTTAGTAGCTTAAATAGTATAAATAGAATTTCCCAGATATCCTTAATACATGTAAACAGCATTCTATGAAATCATCTAGTAAAAGCATTCTGTTGTATTTTACATTTTTATTCAATTTGGTTATTAGGAGTTGAAGTCTTTCACTGTAAAGTTAACAAAGATGTATTTCTGTACATGGATATATCTACGTACATTTCATATCATTTTATTTTTTAAATTCAGTTATTATTGTGACTTATTGATATTTTTCTATCAAAAATGGCTAGGTGTCAATCTTGCTTTACTTTAACTTGCATAATAATCCAGGACTGTTACATATACATGTACGATTTGGGTACTGCATTGTTCCCTCTGTGTCTTGTGTTTACGTCGAATGGGTGTTATGTAAAGTGCACGCAGTGTTGTAAAGGTGTCACAAACTATATACAGACGAGATGAACTTATCTAAAAGTACTTGGATGAAGCAATTGTGATTACGCTATTGTTTTTGACCTCAAACTTTCTTGTGACCTACATTCAGCGTTGACGTCAATTACTCAGATACGAGTTGGTAGTTACCAGTTTCGCCACCAGGTGACTGATTCGGGGAAATAACATGGCAGGGTATTACAAAATTCCATTAAACTTGAATATTCATCAGTTTTAGTGGTTCACTTTTCATATTACCCTAATGTATCTGATAGTTATACAAATCAAAATATGTCCAGTAAAAGAAAATATTATCTGCCCCACACAAGAAAAGATATTTCCATTTTTGTGATTTTACAACATGGGGGCTATGGGAATCTCCCCGACCTAGAAGTCACATTTTCATAGAAAATTAAATTTTCAAAGTTGCATGGTAAACTCTTTTTAAAACCATGTTTCTAGATGTAATTTTTCATGTAGATTCCAAATATGACATCAGTTTGACTTAATTTCGAATTTTTAATGACGTAAATCAAGATTATTTCTACTCGCATCTAGGCTATTGACATGTTATAAAGACGTAACGACTTTATAACCAGATGAGCCAGGTCACTGCTACCCACCTAGTTACACAGACATATCGTCAGTGTATCATGGCGGAACTACTTCCGGGATTTGAATTCGGTAAGATATTTTTATTTCTCGATTTACATCTACTTATACGTCACGATGTGGATTATAATTTGGCTCGAAGTTATGGGAGATAGTCTAGACTGACGAAGAGGTTTGCTTACACTGACGAATGGATACTATTATAGAGAAAGTTGATCTGTGGAATGTCATGAACATAGGACGTAGCCATACGCCCGGTGACATTTATAAAAATCGCCTCGATATTTTCATACATGTTCCCGGGCCTATGGAGGTAGCTTTCTATCAAATCTTGGAGATTTCTGGCAGGTGACCAGGGGGAGGTATGTGAAGTTGAAGCTGAGATATTGAATCAAATCCTTTCAATTATTCTTATGTAATTATGATATGTGCATAACATCTCGAAATATTTAAACAAAACAGGCATCATATTCTCAATTAATGATAAATTGGAGTCCCAATTTACTCGTAGCATATAACATGCCATTGCGGTTGATGTGATAGGCTATTGGGAGTGCGCAGTTTATTTACATTATTTTGCTACAACTATCATCACATTTGTTTTGACTGGCTCTTATTGTAGTTGACCAAGAGCCATCTACTTCTACTGCAATGGCGGACACTAGTGGAGTAAGTTTCATGTTTGCTGTTTAAGGATTTAGCCTCAGACTCAGTGCATTGTGGAATGACCATTCCTTGAAGGACGTTGCCTTCCAAAATTTACTCGAGATGCTTGCATCAAATGTCAATTTTAGGACACAACGCTTGAAAGGAATTGTCATTCCACAATGCATTGATTCTTGGGCTTAAATTATTTTCACACATTGCAAAATATTTTCTACAAAGTCACCTAAAACATACAAAATCACTAAAATAACATATTTCTGCTGAAACCTTTTGCGAGGGTCAAGTATTTGAAAAACATCAATTACAGCTCCTCACCTAGCAACTATACAAAACAAATGCATTATTGATTATTTCATAATTCACTTAAGTATCATCATATTTGAAATGTACACATAAGATTACATTTAGAAATGCTTTCAATTCATTTTTAATTATCAGATTCACTTGCACTGTTGATGAAGATTTTGATGATCGATCATCTTTAGCCGATATATGATCGATTCTTTTGCATAAATAACATAAATTCACTAATTGTCTTTAAATGCCTCTGACTATTGAAATTAATAGGTGACAATTGATGAAGCACGGGATGGTAAGACAATATTTGTAACTTGCTCTTTTCCTTTGTATGTTCAAAATAATTGATAAGGATTGTTCTCCCTAGAATGATATTTGCAATGGTCATGTTCAATAATGCAAAACTGTGTACGTTTGACCACACCCGGGGACAACACAATACGTGTAACGTGTTAGAAACATGTCCATGGCCAGAGATACCTCTCCAATATACGAGCTTTGGCTTTTTTCACAATTTTGGCTAAAAATCATACGAAAGTGCTAAGAATGGTGAAAACTGCATGGTTTTGTAAAAATTGTGAACATCATGATATCATTGTATGGGTAATAACATCTTTGGCGCTTGCCCCTCCCCTATTACAATAGTAGCATTTGTATTTGGGAGATCCACGACTCTCTGAAATAGTTTAACCATACATACGAAATTGTTACCTAGTATACACAAATGTTAAAATGGTTCGTCAGTGTTGCAACAGCTCCAAATCAAAGATTCGTCAGTGTGATATTGGTCGTTCGTCAGTGTAACAAAAGCGAGGGACTAAATACGTGAATTGTGTCTCCGTTAACATATACAGGCCTGTCAACTTGGGAACACCTAACATGAGTGACTTGGAAATGTTGAACACCTCCCCTCAAAATGTGGACACCTTGGTCCAAATCTGGACACCTTGATCCAAATTTGACACCTTGATCCGAAAAATTTCGAACGGAATGCGTGACATATACGTAATTCGCGTGAAAAGTCCGAACGAAATGCGTACATTTTTTTCCGGCGTTCGTATTTTTGCTGTGTAGACGATCTTTTTTAGAAATTTTTCTACAGAAATATTTT